TCCCTTTTTTTTCCCCCCACTGGAGAACATTTCTCACCGCTGGCAGATAACACGGTGGTGGCTTTCCTGCTGTTGGAAACACAAGAAACACTCGGAGGATTTACAGTTGATCAGCACCTCTAACACCCTGCGATCACACTCACACACACACACACACACACACACACACACACACAGCTCGACACTTATCTCTCCTATCGCCCCCTGAGACTCATCTTGTCGTTCTCATCTTTCAGAGGATTGTGAAGGAGTGGAGAGGCCCAGGTGACTGCAGCTGTTTTTCCTCCCAGCCCGTCTTCTGCTAATTAGACGGAGGAGTTATTAATTAAATTAGGAGCGGACGTGCTGATTGGCTGTCCCAGGATTTAACTCTCAGCGGATATCACACTTCATCTGGCACATCGATGAACTTGACAAAATGAAACTTCAATAGCCGCGTGTCTGTGTGTGACTCTGTGTGTGTGCGATTTTTGATAATTGGTCGTGTTGAAGATCGTCGTCGTTGTTGTCAAGTCATGTGACATCACCTGCAGCAGGTTTCCCTTATCAGGAGGACAGAGAGAGAGGAAGACGGCCTGTGTGTGTGTGTGAGTGTGTGTGAAGAGCACTGAAGTGCACATTGTGGAGTGTGACCTTTGAGAGTGTGTCTGCAGGCGGGCAGGTGGAGGGGAACATTACGGCGTGGTTTGATTGGAGCTTCTTGGCGTTCACTCAGAGAACATCCAGATCTGGACTCACTGCCGGGATCACAGAGTGTTTTTGTCTGTTGGACCGATTTGTTCGGTTCAGATGTTTCCGACATCTCCGACATGATGTCGTTTCATCGTTTTGTTGTTTTATTTGAGTTTCATCCAAAGCGTTTTACCATTTTACCGGACCGGTGAGTTTGTGTGTAAAGACTGACGGTTGATCGAAGTCAGTTTGTGGTCAAAGGTCAAAGATCCCTCAGGTGGATCCATCAGGGTATGAAACATAGTCTGAATTATGGCGCCCCTAAATATTTCACATTATGTCGAAATCACTATTCGCCCTCTCAAAGATAAAATTATGTTAAAATCAATAAAAATAAACAAACAATAATATTTAATAACATTTAACATCAACAGTGTCAGTGTTCAAGATGGATTACCTACACCTTAGTCCTTTATTTTAGCTCAGTAACAGATGGATCCATTTTGAAGACAGAGACTCAACTACGGTGGCCGACAAGGGCCAAAGTTCTGCAACAGTCCGAGTTGTCTTCATTAGAACAAACCTGCTGCAAATAGAGAAATTAAACAACTTCTAAACTACTTCTGTTCAGTTATTGTTCTTTTGTAGGGCTGAAAGGATTTGCTCAAATTTTCACGTCGACAAGTTTTTGTTGTTGACGTTATTTCAATTACGCCGACAACAAAAATTTTTGGGTCGAAGCGTCGTGTTATTGTTGTTGTAGATCAAACACCGGCGGCTTCACGCTCATCTGTAACTGCAGTGCACTACAGGAAGTGCTGGAGGCAGAATCGCTTACTGTTTACATCCCACAAGGAAACAGAGAAGAAGAAGAACGCACAAATTATGACAGAACAAACAGACGAAGAGGCTCAAAAACTCCGACCCAAAGTTTCTGAAGTTTGGAACATTTTACTGAAAATTCACCAGCGAAACACGTTAAATGTGATCTCTATGAAGCTGAACTCTCCTCCTATGGTAACGCTACCACGATGCATGAACACCTTAAATGTCGACACCCCAGAGCCCCTGTATCATCAGGTCCTGTAGAGAGATGAGTTCACAAATAAAGTAGATATTCTTAAACCACACACTCGTTTGTTAATTAACCATCAGCCTAAGAGACAAGTACATAATATGTTTACGTCTATTCATTGTATAGCAAATACCAGCCTTTGTAACAGTGTGAAGGTTAAAGTAACTTAAGCTTAAACGCAGGTCCAATAAAAGGTGCTAACGAAGATAATCATGAAAAAATATTCAATAGATTAGTCGACAACAAAAATAATCGTTAGCTGCAGCCCTGATCTATTGTCCTCAGTGTTATTCAGATTCAGATTCCTTTATCAACCATTGTGTAACACGCATAAGAATTTGCTTTGGCAATTACATGAGTGTGTTTCAGATCTTTATGTTACACAGTATGGAGTCCATTTATGGTATAGATGTCTCTCACTACGACTTAAAACTCGACAAAGGGGAGACTGCGAAGCATCTGCTCGAGGATTGTACGCCAAACACTTGAGCCAGTTTTCAGAGCTGCATATACAAGACGAGTGCCGTCATCGACAGACAATATCTAGTCCAACCCGACGCGTTTTATTTAAAGAGTACCAGTTGCTGCAATCCAACAGGAGATATAGAGTCCCTAGAACTAGATTAAACAGACTGAGGAAGTCTTTTATTCCTCAGTCTGTTAAAATGTTGAATCATTTGGTTTAGCTGGTCGAGTCTCATCATCCTCTATGCAAATGCAAAAATACAAAAACAAAAACTATAGTTCAGTGTTCTGCACATGAAATCAAAAATGCTGCAAAAAGCCAAAACTGCATTAACAGCAAAAGAGCTAAAAGAAGGATCGTGCTCCAGGCTGGGGTGTTGATCAACATAATACGTTTAAAGTTTCAGGAAAGTTTTGAGGGAGAGGGTGAAAAAAGAGCGAAATGCAGCAGCTGAGCCAAATAAAAAATTAAAAGACAGAGAAGAATAAAAGCAGGAGAACAAAGAGCACGTAAGGCTCATTTCAGCGTTTGTTTTCTGGTGTTTCATCCACCTGAAAGTCTGCAAAGACCCAACGCAGCTGGAGGTAAACAGAGACGAAGTGCTGCCAGAGAGAGAAGAAAAGAAAGCCTGTGTGACTTTGGGCTAACAGGTAGTTTGAAAAGACCTCTGATCCGTGTGTGCGTGGGGAGAAATTGCAGGCAGTGACTTTGACAAAGTCACCGTATTCACAGATAATTTAGCGCTGACATTGGGCTATGGCTCTTGAGCAGAGAAGTGGAGCGTGGAGAGGCTGAAGGTTCCTGTTTATTTACCATCACAGACTGTGTGTTTGTCTGCCGGCTGCTTCTCCAGCACCCAAATTTCCCCCCTCATGAGTCTCTTAGTGGTAACAGCTCAAAGCGTGGAGAGTCTCTCCTGCACGATGCTGGCGATGACAAACCGGCTGAACTCTGACATTAACAGCTTTGTCTCCGCTCCCACTCATGATGGTTTCCACCCACTGACAGCCAGAGGTAGAATGAGGTTTGTTACGTATATTTCTGACTTTGTCTCGTCTCTTCCTGCTGGTTTCTCTTTTCTGACTTCTTTTTTTTTTTTTTTTTAGCGTTATCAATTCAAGAGGTGTGAATGAAAATGAGGATATTTTTTTTAGCCGTCTTTTAACAAACTCCTACGTAAACCATCTGAACCAAAGTGTTGTTTTCATCAAGAGTCTGGATAACTCAGTGTTTTGTAAACCTGAAGCTCTAAATGAAAGGCAGGCGTGCAGAAAATAAAGTTATATGCTAACCTGGAAGAGCAACATGCGGCTGGATTTGTAGAAATATTGGTGGAGAATCATTGTTAATGTGACTGCAGAGATGTTCATTATCAGTTCTGTATTAGGTTTTGAACCAAATATGAGGTTTGCTGAAATGAATTCACTCAGCGTTTTCGATGTGGACCTAATTGTGCATGATCCTGATATTTAATAAAGTTTACACATGTTTTTAAACACAATTAAATATAATGTGTTTGATTGAGTCCAAGCTCTTATATTGATGTCTAACTGATCGAGTCCAAGCTCTTTAACTCTCTGCTTCTTCTGCAAAGATCTCCTCTTTAATAGCAGTATTTCCAGCTTCTTTTACAAATATATATACTCTAAAAATGACATAATTTCCTCTCCTGCGCTCTAATCATGTCTGAGCTCTTTGACTCTCAGATTCTCCTGCAAAGATCACCTCTAAACAGCAGTATTTCCAGCTTCTTTTACAAAGATATATACTCTAAAAATGACACAATTTCCTCTCCTGTAAACTGATCATGTCCAAGCTCTTTAACTCTCTGCTTCTCCTGCAAAGATCTCCTCTTTAACAGCAGTATTTCTACCTTGTCTTGCAAATATATATACTCTAAAATGACATAATTTCCTTTCCTGCGCTCTAATCATGTCCGAGCTCTTTAACTCTCAGATTCTCTTGCAAAGATATATATACTCTAAAATGACATAATTTCCTCTCCGGTAAACTGATCATGTCCACACTCTTTAACTCTCTGCTTCTCCTGCAAAGATGTTGAACAGCATTATTTTCCTTATTTCTTGTCGATGGCATTATTTTAAGTCTCTTTTAAGATTTCCTCTGTTTGTGGCATTACTTTCAGCTATTTTTCTGCGAAGCTCTCCTCTCAAACAGAAATATTTTCATGATCTGCCTCTCCAGGAGGGGCGGCTCCTGAAAATGTCAATAATGTTTTTGGTGTTTTCAAGCTCTGGACCTTGTGTCAGCTCCTAACAAAAACATCTTTTCATTTGTCGATCTGAGTCCACAGTCTCTTTGCAGAGACTTGAGTACTGTTAGTTTTATCTCAGAGTAATGCCTCCTCTCTATTTTTAGGGAGCCCAGGACACTTAACAACACACTGCTTCTCATTCTTACAAGTACTGACGACTGAACTCACTATGAGCCCAAAACAATCAATGTCCAAAAAGCTCATTAATCACTCAAAACACAGTCTGTTTGATGAATTTGGTGAATAATTTAAGTGGCCGGTGCCCTAAAAAATAGATCTGTGGTCGACTTCATTTGGAGGGTTGTCTCAGATTGATGCTAAAAACCTTTTATAGGAGTCTGAGGAAATATAAATACACGATTCTCAGAACCCAACAGAAAGTAAAGGATCTCCACCCTCACCGGGTTTTCTACCTTCATAAGTCTGCAGTGTCTCAAAGTCAGAAAAAATCCCCACAAGGTTAAATCTCTGTGGAGCAGCTCGAGCGAACATGTGACAGCCGGATCTTTAAAAGAACAGAGAGCTGCAAGGACACACTCCGCTTCCATTTGATTGTGGGACACTTTAATTTCTTCATTCTGTGGCGGCGGCAGCGGCGGCACGACGGAGATGAACATCCGCTAATCACCTGCACGTCCATCACATCGACCTCCTCCTCCTCCTCCTCCTCCTCCTCCCACGATTCCCTGCACAGGATTGAGTTTGGGCTGGGGGTGAAACTGTTGACCCCTCCACCTCCTCTCAGGTGAGAAAAAAGGAGGGATTTTCTTTCTATTCTGTCTCCTTCCGTCTCTTTCATCACCTCGCTTGTAATTAGCCGGAGCTGAGATTTTTCTCTTTTGTCGGCGCTCTGAAAGGTGGATAAGCGTCCTTTGTGCCTTCTCACACCTTTTTTATTTCTTTTAACAAGTTTTTTTTTCTTTCTTTCTTTTTTTTAAGACGAACCTCAGAGCCAGCCGCTGCCGTCTCAGAAGGAAGCTGATAACCAAGAGGGAGTTTCTACTTCTCTCTTTTGCCGCCGTCTTTATCTCCCAGGACACAATTAGCTGCTCTATCGCTCATCACCATGCCGGTATTTTTCCTCTCTCTCTCTCTCTCTGTCTCTCTCTCTCTCTCTGCCTTTTCTCTCTTTTTCTCTGCATTTAAAAGACGCCGTTCTTTGTCGAGGTTCACTCTTGAAAAGTTGAAAGCACATTTGGGTCTGCAGTGGAAGAAACACAACTGTGTGTGCAGAGATAAAATGGTCTCAAACTGCTTTGTTCAAAACAGAAACAGCAGCATCCTGAATTTATCCATTTAAAGAAGATCTCACTGAAGCACAAAGACTCAAGTTAGTTTTCTGCCCCAAGTTTTAAGTCTTCTCACTCTTCACCTCCGGCTCTGCGCCGTGTTAAAGAGAACTGTCTTGGCTCCTTTTATGCCGTACCTTCACATCATCGGATTATTTGTAGCTTCCTGAACAGCTGCCGGTTCCTCGCTTGATCGGGTTTTCCTCATTAACCGAACTAATAAAAGAATTATGGGATAAATGAACTCCCTAATGTCTGCAAAGGGGCGCCGAATTCCCAATTCAGTTCTGACATCCACGGATCCCCCAGCATGTGAACCCTGTCAGTGGACCCAAAGGGGGTCTCCTCTCTCAGGGAGAATCCCAGTGTGCACTTTTTCAGTTTCTATAAGACCGAGACATGACTGTGACATTTAGGGATCAGGACCAGGTCAAAACCAAGACCGAGACCAGGTCAAAACCAAGACCCAGACCAGGTCAAGATGAAGGTTTCTATCGGTCTGCCGTCTCTTGATGCTTTCTCTTTAAAACCCGCGTCATACCCCCGCTGACTGAAAAACTAAACACCAATTTCACGCCCTGATATTTGCTTTTATGAACCATTTTCTTATAATGATCAAATTTGTGTTGCAAAAAAACACAAGAACTGGATTTGTGTAAAAACACATGAATGGACTGCACAGTTACAAAAGGCTGAAGGTATTTAAAGGGTTAAAAAGTTAAACAGATGTGAAAACATGTTAAAAAAGTCACTGAGACTAACCCACTGAGCATGTTTTGGTCTAATAGACGTCTAAATGTAGCCTTGACGACTGGTCTAAAATCAGCCAACCACAATGAAGTTTTCTAGAAATTTAGACTAAGTCTAAACCTGGGCTATATCTAAACTACACTGTATATCGCTCAATGGCTATCATAATGATTCTGGTTAAGTTCTTGGAGATCAGTTTTGCAACTCATAGTTGCTTTCTGAAGTAAATAGTTATCAAATAATTATAAAAGTGCAGCGTCTAAATTCCACCTAAAAATATACAGAATCTAGACGGTTGAAATTTGGTCTAAAATAAAAACTAGACGTCTGATAGCCTCTAGTCTGATGCTCAGTGGGAAATAACAGCTCATTCTAAGAATGAGGTACAGTGTTTAAAAACGGATCCCTCAATGTTTTATTTACTTTTATGTCTTTAAAAGCAACATGACGTTAAATTTGAGTCTGCTCTTATTTTCTATGTACTTCATCAGGCCACTAGAGGGCGCATGGTCTCATTTACACCGATCTTGATTTAAATAACTTTTGATTTCGAGAGAAGGTTAAAAGACTTCTTCAGATTGATCTCGAGTACCTCAGTACTAGTCCAGCAGCACATTCTTGGTGTCGGATTTGCTTTTGTGTCTCTAAAAGTTTCAGCAGGTTCAGGTTTTAATAAACAAAGACCGTCTCAAACACCAATAACACCACGACGGAGGACAAAATAAACAGGATTCAAGACTGTTATAAACGACCAGCAGAAACAAATCAACACAGACACGAGTTTAAACACCACAGCGAGAAAAATTAAGACCCATAATAGTTAATTATTTTTTATTTCTAACCTGCACACAACATCGTCTCTTTTTACTTCAGCTCGAAGTCGATGGACCATCAAGAGAGCATCATATGATTCTGTGCATTTTAGTGCTCTCAAAGTTAACAAATTCAGCCGTACATTTGGACCTAATCCATCTCACTTTAAAGATTCATAATCATCGCAAAACTAAAATGAAAACAATTCCAGACCCTGAAGGTGTAGTGGACCCCGGATCACCAGCCTAAGACGATGTGACTCGAGTTAAATGAAACCCGAGTTTGGAGTCCGAGCAGCAGGATGGTGACCAGTCTTCACTCAGTAAATGTGTAAAAAAACAAGTAAATGTAAAAATATAAAGTTAAAACAATAAAAAAAGATATTTGAGGGAGTGGATATGAGCTCTTATTCACATGGATGTCTGCTGAAGAAGAAACACTCATTTTTCACCTGTTTATCTTCACTGTTATCCGTCACCACCTTCAGGGCAGCCGATGATTTCAGACGCCGAGTTTCTCCGTCTCTCCGGATCCCTGATTCAGTTTTTACTTTTTAAATTTAGCTTTTTTGTTTTTGTTGTTTGTGTCTCCTCGTCTTTCTGGTTTTTCCAGTCTCTGAATTTTGAAATTAGCCTTTTTGACGTGGGAGCGATGTGAGTGATCTCCGGCCTCTCTTCTGTTTATCCCATTTTTTAATCTTTTCATGTGTTTTTAACGATGTAAACAAACATCCAGCCTGATGCTCCGCGCTTCATCTGCAGTCAGAGAGCAAACGGGCAATTAAAAGTGAAGCTGTGAAGCTGAACGGCGTTCATACAGATTAAGAGACAGCACCATGAGGAGCCAGGATTTGCCTGTGATAAATGAAACTAATAGCAGATCCGTCAGTAAATGAAACAAACTGTTTAAAGGGTTTTAACAAGCAGCAGTATCTCCTGTGAGTTTGATCGTCTGGGGCTCGTTTCTGACCAGATTATGATCAAGAGTTAGCGCCAGAACCTAAAGGGGAAATTTGGCATCTTCAGACCTGGACCAGATTTACCATGTTTGAGATTTTAAGTGATTTGGAGGTTCATGGAGCTGAACCGCACCAGCAGATTGCTTCAGCTGGCAGTGGACTGTGATAGCTGTTAGGAAAATGTGCATAAAGAAAATAAGTTCTTCTCCTTGACTCCGAAAATCTGTGGATCCTTTTCTGCAACTTCATCAACCACCTTTCCTCCAGATACGACTTTTGTGAAATGAAAAAGTCCTGTTTTTATATCAAAGTTTTCACCAGTTTTTAGGTCGTGCACAAACTTAAAGCACGACGTAAAATATTTGTCATTACCGATGAACAGGACGGCTTATGTTGCAAATCATAAAAACAGGAATACACTGTATCTGAAAAACATGCTTCCATACAAGCTTCCAAACCAACTACGAACTTCCACTGAGCGAAGAAGCGACTTTTTTTGCCCCTGTAGCAAATTTTGTGAACATTTGTTGGCGAACTGTTACATAAATCTCACGCCAATCATAAATCTTACCTTGGATATGTAGCGAGCCGTTGCTCTGGATCAATCGTCTCTCTGTAATTTGTTCTCTCCTTCTGCAAACGTGGAGTCGGCTGATGGAGCAGTTCTTGAGAGACTTTTTCTAAAGTATTGTCAGAATTTCTCAGGACACAATTTAACCTCCTGGATCGTTGTGTGGAGCTCCCCCGTTTCTTGTCGCACGGTCAGTATTCGATGTTCCCGGACACTTTGATTCTTGTTTTTCTTTTTGTTATTTAATCGGCTCACAACCATGACCAGGTCATCATCACTTAAGGATGTAGTCGCCGTTGTTTCCTCCTTCTTCTCTCTCTCTGTTTTCCTGTGGCGAATTTTTATGCCAATATGCAAATTTTATTCGCGTCGCACCAGATGTGTATAGGTAAGGTCGGAGCTGAATCTTTCACATTTTTGTGTTGCTTTGTTAATTTACCGGTGTGTAACGACCTTGAGTCTATGTTCACCAAAATGCACAGACGAGCAGTTTGGAGGAAGTAGGACGAACAGAGCCCCATCTCAGAGTCACAAGAGCCAAACGTGAAAATGAAATTAGCATAAAAATCAAACTAATGTAACGACACACCGATAGGATCAGGTAAAACAGTGGCCTTCAAAAATTTCAAGACATCGAATGAATCCTGAAATCTTTAGAAAAGACAGAGCGAAGAAACATCCGACAGGAACAGAGAAAACAACCGTTGTTGTTTTTCTAATTATTATTTTATATAATTTTTTCTTTATTATTATTATTTTATTTTATATAACATTTTGTCCCCAAACCACATACATTGTACTCCTTATACTCCCAATATTCCTTACCGTACATTTTGAAGAGTTGTGACTGATACTCCCAACTTCTCTCTCATTTGTATTTTTGCTCTGCTTGCCTTTATTGCTGATGTACCATTCACTTTTTGTTGTTGTTGTTTTTGTCTCTCGTTATGGTCTTCGTTGGTGTTTTTTTCAAATTTCTTGTTATTTCTTGTATCTATTTTAATTCTAATTGCACTTTACTTCTCTGCATGTCTTGTTAAATGTTTGCAATAAAAAACAAAAAAAAGAAAAATACAACAGAAACTCCTGAAATTGTCCAGAAACATGTCAAGGACATACGACGAACCCTACGCCCGGTGAATTTTGGTGAAAACGGTGGAAGATGAGGATGAGAGCTGAGCTGAAGCTCGGACATCACCTGGTCCATATCCCAACGACAAATGAACAAGTGAACTGAGACCAACCTCATCAGTGAAACCCTGGTCCGGTCTGGTCCTGACTCGGGTTTGATTGACAGCTCCTACACCCACTCAGAAACAGACTCATGTGTCTTTATAAGGTCAGGTGTCAGGAAGCCCCTAAACGTGTGACCGTAGAGGAGGGCAAAACACGGCGCTCCGGTTCCAGCTGTCTGGACTAAAAGCTGGTGAAGTGCAAAGATGCTTTATTTGGTCATGGCTAAAAGCAACAGGCGGGAAAGAAGTCAGTCAGTGGAGCGTTTAAGCCTTTTCAGCTCCTCTTTTGAAGGACACAAACTTCTTTTCTCGAACCGTGAGCCATACAGTGATGTGCTATTTTTACTCTTTTCAGAGCACAAACAAATATCCACACAAAGACCCATTTTCTATTACAATCACTGCGAGAGAAGAAATAAAGAAAAGTAGGGCATAGATCTGCTTTTTCTCCTTTCAATGAAAGACCTTCATTTTTGAAGCAGTTACAGGCAGAATCTGCTGCTCCCGTGTTCAATCTCATGTTTTCTGAAAACCCCAAAGTGTTGATTTTTCGCCTTTCTATACTCCGGCATTACTCATGAATCCTGTGACTGTTTATAAAAGGAAGCATTTACAATACAAAGAGGCACGGCGGCATTGATTTTTTTTTAAAGACTATCCATATCCATACGGGATAAAGGAGCACTCAGGCGTTTTCTGCCTCAGATATGCTCTATTGATAACATATTTTCAAAACGCAGCACAAGGACCCTCCGCAGATACATGGTATGTTCAAAGAAGCCTGAACGAGTCCCTGCCTGCCTCTGAAAGAGATTCAACAAAGTCTGACAACCTCGTCGTCATTAGTCACACTCGGAGAAAACACAGCACACTTTCCATACTTCAATGGATCCTCCTCTGATGGAGGATTTGCTTGTTAAAAAGTTCTGTCAAAATAGTTGTTCATACGTGTTTTTTCCTCTTTGTTCGCCGCCGGCTTACAGGCAGTATTTAATGATAGCAGAGCCGGTCATACATGGAGAGTCAGACTGCAGGAATCCCTTCTTACGATAATGAATCTGAGCATGAAAATTCAAATCATGCCTCACAAGGGAATCGCAGCGGGGATGTGCTCTGATTCTGGCTCCGCTGGTCAATCATTAAAAGCACAACAGGCTTGTCTTCTGGTCAATTTGGAAAACCACAGGAGGGTAGAGATCAATAAATATCTCTAAGTGCGAGTCCTCACCGTCCACAACCCCCCGAAGCCTTCGCTGAAGAAAGAAATGTTGTCGTGAAGTCGACATGGCGGCCATCATTTCGGTTTCCTGTTGCTCGTGCGGAGAGATCAGGCCGGCGGGGGGCCAGTTCAGTCAAAACTTTGATCTTAATAGAGATGGGTTCAACTTTTTGGACCACACAGACGTGGTCCTAAAGTGCATGGTGGTGTAAAAGTCCAGCGTGTTCAGAACCTGGATGTAGCCTCAGCGTTGGTCTTGTAGTTCAGCGACTGCAGAAACGATGAAGTCGATGGTGTTTTTTGTCATGACCTGCTTGAGGGTGAAACCGTGAATCAAACTAAAAAGGAATAAGGTAGGGTGACCATATTCTGAATCCCTAAAAAGAGGACACAACAATTTTTTCGGCTGGGTTAAGTGTTATTTATGCGCTTTAACCCCAAATTTCCACCACATCTGGAACGTCAGCGATTTTTGTCATCTGCCAATTCCTACCGGATCTGTTTGTGAGGTGAATTTTGTGGCAGATTACGGACAGCAGGAATCATGAGAACTCACAAGAACCTGCAGATTCACGTGCAATCACACAACAAGGAGTTGCCTCCTTATTGTGTGATTGCACATAGACATATAAGCAGTAGATTGTGTCCTTCCAGAGGAGGAAATCTACTTCTAGACTTCTAGAATCAGCATCTCCTCATCCATGGTGTCATCGGGGTGAAATGACGTCTAAAAACCTTTCACTTGTTCGTCTCCGCCAGTTTGCATGGTGTGAAATACGATCCTCCTGAAACACGGAGTGTTTTATTTTGAAAAGAAGCCGGATCTTTTATTTTGTGTCTGTGCCCGACTTCCTTTCCAGCACGGGTTGAATTTATCCGGCATGCTCCAGCGTCTGGAAAAAATTGAACTTTTGTGATCAGCTGCAGAATTTCTCCATGTACTGGGTCACCTGACCTCTTGACTCACCTGCACATGAATTACACCACCATTAAATCACCCTACCAAGACCAGGAGACCCGAATACGAACTTTACTTGTCGTTAAATAAGAATTAAATAGACAGAACTCTTACAGAAAGGTTCCTCAACAACGTAAAGAAGTAGATTTCTCCTTTATCTGAGGGTATTTCTCACTTTTTTAAAATGACGACATCTAATCGTAATTATTAGATACTTGAATGATCTCGCGGTTTCAGTGACTTCTTATCCTCGTAGAGTTTGCTGCTCCCGACAACAACATCAGACACATTATCATCTGACTGACTGTTATGAAATGGTAGTACTCAGTAGAATAATATCATTTTGAACATCTCCAACCTTTCACTTGATGTGTTTATTTTCCTGCAGCCTGAAACCTTCAGTGGCGGACTGATGGCGCAGGAGCAAAATGTCGCCTCCCTCCAGGCCCGTCTGAGTGAATGTGCTGAGGTCTGACATCCACCAGGTGCATTGTGGGTTTGATTCGACAGGGAGGCAGGTTGTTTTGTTGTTGTGAAGTGTAAGAAACATCAAACCAGCAGAGTTACACCCGCCTGAGGGTGTGGAGCCGATGGAAAGTGTGGACGGAGAAGTTTCGTGTTTTGTTTTTGGCAGGTAGGGGCGGCAGCGGCGTGATTGATTTTTGGAGAGTCAAAGGGGCGACTTTCTCTCTCAAATACTAAGAGGAATCTGCACTTTTATTATGAGGAGAAAAACACAAATATTTGGAGTTTGGTTTTGTAAGAAAGCTGACTTTAGTCAATGCTTTTCTTTTCTGCTGGTGAGTTCACATTTTGGAAACAAAAGACGCCGAATCCTGCTGATACAAGCAGGATTAAGGCTGCAAACAGGATCCAGTCCCCCCCTCTGGTGTTCATTTTCCCACACTCACCAAAATGAATGAATCATAATTTGGTACCAAATGTTGTAAATGGGATTGACCCCTCGCCTGGAGTCTGATAAAATGGACAACACAGCACTCCACACTGACGCTGTGTTTACACCACATGGGAACAAAAACACTTCTGCGAGTGAGTAACACGTAGAGTCGGTGTGAAGGTGAGATTAGACCTGAGTTTTTTTAAACAGATTATACATTTAATTCATGAAAACTCGTGACGTGTTCAGACTTATTTTGTAGGAGTTGAAAAATCTGAGCTGTAGTGAATCACTTAACGCTCCAACAGCCAATCAGCATGTAGGTTCCCTGGTGACATGGATGCGACACTGATGTTTGTTTTTGATATCGAAACAGGGATAAGACGAAGCGACCTCGAGGAAAGTCAGTTAGACAGTTGGAGTATCCGGTCAGTTGTGCAAACATGACAAATCCTCGTTGTGTAGTTAACCTAGCATAAATTTGTGTGTTTGGGCACTTCGATAGACGCAATACGGCACGCTAGTGACTCACCTACTCTCTTCCAGCAGCCGCTTGTTTGTAGTGAGACCTCGGGCCAGTCCATTATGGACAACAGTGGGGTGACGCAGCTCAAGGAAGAACATTTACGATCAGTACTTTATAGAAATAAGGTCTCCGTACAAACAAGCAGCTGCTGGAAGAGAGTAGGTGAGTTGTGTTTAGTCTCTTTGTTAAAGAAATGAGTCAAAGTTAAAAAGATGTTTGGTGTCTAGTACTATGTCTGTGACCCTATATGTCCTGTTGATGAAGTTAGGTGCTGTTCTGAGCATTATTTGTGGCTATAGAGTGGCGTTTTGGTTGAGGTTTGTTTATGGCTCCTGCGGTCGTTACATTCATCTCTAGACGGGTGTCTAACTCGGTGTTTAAGTGTGTTTGACCCTAAATTAATTTTACACCGGAATATCCCTTTAAGTGAGTTGATAATTTAACAATGATTCATCGATAGATTTTATTCATTAACAACTGGGCTCATTGAACACAACTACAGCTGAAACAAACATGGCCGCCGCAGGGACGGTTTTTGCTTAATGTAGCTAGCTGCTTCGAGATCCAGTTCATCTGTTCTGGAACCAACTTCTGTTCGACTCATTCATGTCATTTTACCACGAATCAACAACGCATTTCACATGGCTGTGTTTGCTGTGAATAAAAATCTTCCTGCTTCAGTCAGCTCGCATCCTGATTGGCTGTCATTTTGAATAAACGTATTATTCATATATCAACAGTCGTTAGCTTGTATGTGTTTTGGCGAACATCGTACCCCGCTCATGTGCTGAAGTTACTCTCCTGAAAACAGGGACACAGCAGAACATTCTCCCATCATGTATCTCTGCTGTTTCAGGTGTGCGGCTGCGAAAGATCCCGTCGCTCTGAACTTGCGGCGTCCACCTCCAGCTGAGTAACTCTCGTTGTGAGTAAGTGACCTCATTATAACTCTTTTATTTGGAGATTCGGGCGTCTTACACGTCATTTCATCATTAAACAATAAATCAGACCAGATGCACGAAGCCGAGTCTCCTCATCGCAGAACCGTCCGGTGTTTTTGCCAATCTGTTGCTGTGGTGACGGCCATGATGGTTATGATTTACATTCGTTATCTCCCTCGCCAACCCTCCTCCGTCTCCCTCCTGCTCTCATGGTGGGCGGTGTGGTTAATACTCGTTATGTTCGTTACATTCATTACATCTGACAGCATAAATAGGCTGCTGTTTTGTTCTCCTGTCTGATTTTTTTCTCCTCTCTTTCTGTCGTTGACGGCCGGTCGCTCTCCCTCGTTCCTCCCCCTGCCTCCAGATCAGGTTTTTTTTCCCTCCTCCCTCGTCTCTCTTGCCTCTCTCTCTCTCCACCTCACTGATGGTTGGAGCAGAGAGTCTATTCACCAGAGAGATGAAGCAACAGCTTTCCAGTGCAGCCCCCCCTTCCTCTTCCTCCCTCCATCCCTCCTCTCTAAACCCCACAGACACATTAATCCTTCGCTCAGGCTCAGTTTACAGACACAATAGGCCTGAAGAATTGGACTTGAGATAATTGTGTTGCTATCCCATTTCATCTGGAATGGAATTGGGTGGTGCTCACCACAAAGCTTGGAGTACCCTGCACACACACACACACACACACACACACACACACACACACATAGGGACGGAGTAGATTCTGGCGAGCACAGCGCTGTAATTATTTCCCCTCTATTCATAATCATCATCATGAAAATTCACCACCACAGGCCCCGAGTCCACACTCCTGGCCCCGCCGTGTCTGTTTGATGTGTTGTCATGACGATATGGCGGCAATATGGTGCCTGCTCGGTGCCCGTGTTGTTGCAGGGGACTGTGGGTAATTAACGGCCGTGACAATATGGCCAAACACCTGCTCTGGCAAGACCCCGTCGGTCATCTGGGTTGGCAACCCCTCGACCTCCTGACAAACGCCAGGAGGGAGGAAACGCTCGGGTGGAAAGTCGTTAAAGTAGGAGGATGGTGGTGTTGGAAGTGCGAGCAGGTGGAGGAAAGATCGGCAATCATCCGACGAGTTTGCACATGTCGTGGTTCTGAAATCACAGCGAGTGAACGTGTCGAAAACATCAGCTCAAGAATCACTTTAAATGTTAGTTTGTGGTTTGAACAGCCTGATCGTCATGACGCAGGAATAACCTCCATCAGGACGACAGGGCGGAGAGTTGGAAACATGAACAGTCAACTTGAAACTAAAACACAAAAAACACCTATTGTATGTCCGATTGTTTGGATTGTGTTGTTGAAAACTCCAAAACAGCGACTTTTCAATAATCCACCTCAACCATAACGGGACTTTTAGCTGTTAACGTTTCTGTGTAAAACAGCACAACAAAGAAGAACATAGTTATGAAAGGTGAACAGACCTAAAGATCTGATTATTCTGAGTATTTCCATCATCACTCCTCCTCAACAATCCAAGTCCACATGTAGGATATTCACAGGCTCAGGTATGTCTCGATTTTAACCGGTGTAGGTACCAGATGTGTTCGGGCTGCCAGATCGACTCGGGGCCTGGCGCCTATTGAAGACGTCACACTATGGCAAGTCCACTCGGACAAACTACGTTGCGCTCCATTTAATAAGTCAAATGTGTTCAGTTTAAAGCCCCTCGCGGTTTTCTTTATTTCTGTTTGTTTATTCAATTGAAATTTTCTCTCCATATAATACAAAGAATAATAACTTAGTGCATTGTAATTTTTAGATGGCTTTAATTTTAAATGTGAACTTTTCTGAAGGAAAAACAAAAAAATGTACTCAGGATCTCCGTTTATTAACAGACAGTTTTGCTTTTATTCCACATTTTCTTTGGCGACCTAAAAGAGGCGAGAAGAAGAGAAGAAGAGAAGAAGAAGTCCTGTTTGATAAGTAGCGATAGATTTCTTCGTAAAATTCGTCCATGTTTTCTCTGAAGAACTACAATCCCATGAAACCTAATCTGGCGAAAATCGCTTCCGTAACCACAAATAGCGTGACGTCATCAATAGGTTTCAGCCCGAACACATCTGGACCGGACTACCGTCCTCGTCCCAGTTTACGAACGCCAGTAAAGACTCAAATTACCAAAACAAGTTCTGTATGTCCACCTCCGCTACAGTAGGTGGCGACATTTCCAATTTCAGCTCATTATGTATCTAAACAACCCACAAAATGTGTTAGCTAGTGGCTAACAGGAGGTATAAAAACACAGTCGCTGCTGCAGTCTAACATGAACTAACCTGGAATTCTGGCTAAATAACAAGGTGATTAAGCCAGAAATATTATTAACTAAATGTGTAAATTAAACATTAAATTTAATTAAAAAATTAAAAATAATGAGGGTGTTGGAAATGATGGTTGGGTGTGACTTTTAAACCAAAGCTAGCGTTGACATTTTCAAATCCAAACCTTGACTTTTCCTCGAAGTTCGTCTTTACTGTGTCTAAACCTGAACAAACTACAACCAGTTCATAACGTTAACCAGGTTCGTATCATTGCTGCTCGTCCCAGATCTGCTGTTTCTCAGTCAGATGTTTCTAGAAGTCTAACCTGATGAGGAAACATGTTTATTTCTGTCTTTAAGTTAAACTGTGAATTTCTCTGTCGTCATGACTCACCTTGGGTCATTGTCTGGTGTTTTTTGTATCGGTTGTATCGCTGCAGCTTTGGTGGATGTGAGAGTTTATTCGGTCCTTTGTTCTGTCGGTCTTACAGTCATCTTCAAAGATGTTGTGAAACTCAACAACAATGGTGGAAAGATGTTTGGGAACTTTCAAAATCCTCAGTCCTTTCAGAAACTCTCAAACGCTGTTATTTTCAACACAGTTCATCTTTTTGCTGATGAGCCACAAGCAAACTTTGGGTTATAATAAACCCTTCGACACACACACACACACACACACACACACAGCTGTGCACACACAGCTCTTCCTCCCTGCCTACGCATGCTTCACCTTTTGTCCCATTATCTTTTGTTCCGCGTTTGATCTGCTGATTACATAATTGCCATTGTGTAATCTTCTTTTTATAAAACTGACCTGCATAATCAGCCTGTCTTAGACGCTGTTTCTCCCAGACCTGATGAAGCAAAAGGAACATTATGTAACCGCTATTTTCCGCCACGGGTCACTGAAATTCACTCTGATTAGACTTTTAATATTTACAGAAAAACAGACAAAAAGACTGCCATGACAACAAAGTGAGGAGATGAAACATGCAGACGATGCTTCTGGATCATTGGTTTTTCGTCTCTTAATGAGCTCAAGTTTTAATAAGTTGAAGAGTTTGAGTTTAGTCCTCATGTCATTCTCGGCAGCTCGGTCTGGACCGGATGCTCCTGGTGAAAAAATGACAATGATAAGTGACGTGGCGGATTTGTGAATGGATTTGTGCAGAATGCAGCTGCACCTCATGGAAGCACGGTTCATAATTCAACAACACAGAATGAGGCATCAGTCTGCAGGACGCTCTGCCTACATAGAAGCCTATGCATCTAATGTAGGACTGCATTCCTGTGATTGGTCTGCTTGGTAGTTTGACGCTTATCAGCCACGAAATTCACCTCACAAACACATCCGGTAGGAATTGGCGGATGGCAAAAATCGCTGCTGTTCCATAGCGTACTGTAACCCTTACATTGGTGTCAGCTATCATGGCTCAGATGGACCCAGTCTTAAGTCTGAAGTGCAACCAGATGCTTCGATTGGAGTTTACAGGGTTTGTTCTGAGTTCGTTCCATTAGCACCTGGACCTTAAAGGGAATGAGACACACTCTGATCAGTCTGGACACACTAACCCTAAAAGACCTTTAAATGATCAAGATGGTTAACACAACCTCTTTGCACCATGAGCTTCATGTTGTGCAAAATGGTGCGCCGCTTAACTAGCAAAACAGGTTTCTTCAGATGGAGACAGACAAATCAGATTTAAAAAAAAGACATGAACTCCAGAAAAACTCTGTGAACATGGTTCAAAATTAAAGTTAACATTAACATCAGAATCTGTTGAACTCCACAGAAGATTAAATTACAAACACAGTATATCTCTAAAGACACACAGACTAAGAAACTACATTTTCATCCTGATCATTTGTTTTATAAAAAAAGAAATAATAATTAATATGAAGAAAACCTTTATTTCTAACCTACTGTTTCCATTTATTATTCACAGTCTGATAGTCTGATCTTCTTTCTTACAACTGCATGACACAACTTCATGATACTATCAAATTTTTTATCTCTTCTTTGTTTTTTTACCTTTCTGAATATTTACTCAAAACTCTAAAGAGGCCAGACTGAGAGAAGTGTACCCCACCTTCCTTTACCTCTCTATGGAGGACCGACACTTGATATAAGGAGGGTCAGTTTTGTGAGAAGCAATGCTGGAAATGATATTTTCAAATGTTCCAAATTAAAGATTAATGTGAATGAATCCTCATGAATCAGTCCAGTTAGAAAATAAATCACATGTATCTTTGCTCAGCTCCACATTTTCTCTCACACTGAGTTATTTTCCCTCTCTTTTATCTCCTCCTTAAACTCTCTCTGTCCTCCTTTATATTCCTCACCCTCCGCTCTCTTTACTTCTCCTCTCTCTCTCCTCTTCTCCTCCACCTCAGCTCTCCCCCGTCCCCCTCCTGCAGCCCTTCCCCCTCCGCCCTGTAGGGGTCACTGTGGCTCTTCCCCAGCCCCCCGGCTCCCTCGGTGTGGCTGCAGCCCCTGTAGTGAAACGCCTCGCAGGCATCATTTTCTTGGTCAAAGTATAAAATGTTTTCTTGTGCATAATGGAAGCTGGAGAATATTAACGGGGCAAATATCTGATTTCATGCAAAAGAAAATATCTGATGTACGCAGAGGAATATTAAACATGTCTGCCGGTATTGTAGTTTTTTGAGCGAAACAAAAAAGCTTTTCAATCCCACAGAGAGAGCGAGAGAGAGAGAGAGAGAGAGAGAGAGAGAGAGAGAGAGAGAGAGAGAGAGAGGAGGGAGCAGGTAGCAGAGCAGATACTCAGCATGTTCAACCACGGCACAGTACAGACTCGCTGTTAAAGGGCCAGTTCACCCAAATATGAAGAACAAGAACACTCTGAGTGAGAGTATGAGGCTTTGCAGATGGGTTTAGCGTTTGGGTTGCACAATACAACTCTAATATACTAACATACGAGAAGCAATGAAAAGCAGCCTGATTTAAGAAGACGTCAGGAGTCGAAAGAAGAGAAAAAATCAATCCAACCACGTGTGCAATAAACGATGCAACGTGACAAAAACACGTCCAAACTCGACTGAAAGTGAAATCCAAATAAGCAACCACAAAATCCGAACATTGACTCAGGAGGTTTCTGTAAATTCTGACTCCTCCTCGCAGCTCAAACACATAAACGATGTTTCTTCAGCTTTAAAATGAGCCACAGGTGGATGATTTATCGAATCCAGACTTGGGCATTTTACGGCCCTTTGGATGTCCCTGCCCGGCCCTTTGTGAGGTCCGTCAAACAAATCATCAAGGTGCTATAAAAGTGCGTTGCTTTTATTTTGAAAACCTAGCCGTTATTTTATTTCTGTTTGGACGCACATGCGTACATCCTAGATCTGCATTTGTGAACAGAGAAAAGTTTAAACATCGACAAAACACACGTGGACGCCTCATAGTTGCTAAGTCCGCTTATTATAAACGACTCAAGGCTTGTTTCTCTTGTTTCTCTCAGAAGTTGCTTGTAAAACTCGTGAGTCGCGCTTTTTTGGGCTTGATTTCAACACGTAGTTGCTCATATCGGCCTGTTTTCCTGTATGTGTGAGCTCTGTATGTCTGTTTAATTTGAATGATGCTAAATGAGTTTCTAGAAACATATATTTGAATGGATAATGTATAAATTTAGAGTTTAACTAGTAATATTGATTAGGCAGGTTACCGATAGATATGATCATATTGATTATTTCAGTTTGTGTTTCTTTTTTTTACATGTTTTATTTTTGCACAAAAGTTAAAAAGTACATTTTTATGAAGTGTTAAGATGATATGAGGGTACTGTTGATTCGTAAGTACTTCAGAGGACAGAGGAGCTTTAAGATTCATTTAGAGGAGTAGTTAATATTTCTACATGTGAGGCATCTATATGTTTGTATCGAGGTTGGATGTTGACAAAGCTGCAGCATCTGTAAGGTTGGATAAACGTCTACGTTGTCTGAAGTAAAGTTTTTATCTTGTGTTTTTGTGTTTTTATCGTCTGTAAAGAACAGCTGTCGATCCTTTTCTTCTCTAACCAGCAGGTTAAGATGATTGAGGGGTCAGCGGTCAACGCTGGTGTCAAATAATCAATAAAATAAGTGATTGGGAAGCATGTCAAACACGAGCGGCGTGTGTTAATATGCAAAACAGATCAGACTGAGTGCACACTCTTTTTTAGGCTTGGAGAGACGCGGTTAAAGCGTTAGAAGACTGTTTATTCTTGGTGGAAATTCAGACAAACTCAGCTGCAGACTCACACAGTTTTACCAAACAGAAACAAAACTGAGGAATTAGTCAGCAGTCGATCCAGAAAGAGACAAAAACACAGGAGCGAGTGCGGTCATGTCTTCCTGTTGTGAAAGCACAAAGCGGTTTCTGTCGAGGTGTTTGTGTTCACGTTCATAAACCACACAGACTCTGTTTTTTTATCTTAATCTGCAGCATGATGGCAATGACCGCACACGTCTGCTGCAGCTCTGGTTCGGTGTTGAACACGGAGTCCTGATGCACAACAACTAATAATAAACATTAGCGCTAATGATGCTAACAACAGAGCGCTCATTAAAACCTGATGTCAGCGTCCTGCAGATGAAAGAGAACGAAGGCAGGAAAACACAAAATGGGAGATATTTATGGAGCCGCAGAAAATGTCTTTTGTCTGGTGGAGCGAACACACACACACACACACACACACACACACACACACACACACACACACACAGATCTCCATTTATCCATCTTTGTATTCTTCAAAAAGCAGAAGTCAAATCCAGCAGCCTCTGACTCACTGTGATATATTCTACTGTTACACTGCTTGGAAGTGTGTGTGTGTTTGAGTGATTATGTGTTTGTGTGTGTGCATGTGTGTGTGCATGTGTTCAGTCATTGACTCACTCTCATATGAACCCTACGTATATGAAGAACATGTAGGCTGCACAGTGTGTCAGTTGTCAAACATTAATGAGACCGTGTTCAGCAGACTGAATGCAGACACCGCTGATTTATTCATCCCCTCAAGTTCTTGTTTTTAGCGTCTTGAGGGCAATCCACACCGCAGGCATATTGTTAAGTATTTCTGTAACATTACAGACGTCTCCAGGAACATATATTTTTTTCCTGATAATGCCGACAGAATCAGTCCTCGCCCTCTCGGAAACCTGCGAGTCTTTTTTTTTTCTTCCAGCCTCTCTTTGCTCACTGAAGTGTAGCTTCCTGTGCAGCCGTTGTGAACATGTGAGGTAAATCTATATTTATGGATCAAGGGCCTCATATAGGCTTACGGAGCTGCAGTGGATTAGGAGAGTAAAATAAATGACTGTTTTTTTTTTTCCTGGAAATTTCAGACGTCAGTCAGACGAGCGAGAACGCTCTGTGCAGGCGTTAAAAACGTAAAGCAGTTTGTCCAAATATAGAATACAACCTTTTCTGTGACGGTGGATCTAATTTACTGTTTATACCTAAACCTACACGAAGAAATTCACTATAACATGCGCTTTGATTTGAACCTTATATAGAGCAGCTTGTAGAAAAGGTTAAAGCTAACTCCCCACCAAAATAAAATAATAAAAATAGTAATAAAGGATTTAATTTAATACCAGCGAGACATGTCTAAAAAGTTGGGACAGAGAGAAAAAAGAAAGGACGTAAAGAGACAGAAACTTTCAATCGGATTAACAGATAGTACAGAGCTGTCCTGTCCTGCTAGCCTCTTGCTAATCCATTTTTCTGACTGTTAACCAAGAAACAACCAAGCTGACTGAGAGTTTGTCGCCACCTACTGTAGCGGAGGCAGACATGCTTGTCAAAAGTTAAACTTTAGCCTGGAGCAGGTAAATTAAGAAAAGGATAAACGTTGATTGAAATAATCTAAACGAGCGTGCAGTGAAGTGCATCTTAACTTTGCGTAAATGATATAGACAGAAAAGTTGTTCAGTGTTCTCAAAGTTCATTTGTTGTACGATATTGTAAAAAGCCCAGTTACTGAGGCTGACTTGCATCAGAAAGGTTGAGTTCTTTTGACGAAATAGAGTTAAAACTTTTTCCACTTTGTAAAAAACTGCGTGAGCAAATAGTTCAACAATTTCGACCTTATTACTCAGTGCTCGATGCAGAAACGACTGCAGATTACAGAAACTTCTTGAGTCCATGTTCAGATTTTGTGGTTACTTGCCGTATTGTTCATGTGTTGTTGTCATGTTGCATCGTTTATTTCCCCTTTTCTCTGCTGATCACGACTTATTTATGAAAAACCTGCCCGGATCAGTATGTGACCTCCTTTTTTTGTCGTCATGTGCACGGTTTTAGCCTCACTGTAGCTAGTTTGTACCTTTCTGTCTTAAAGTGTCGGTGTGTCTTTGAATCGAGTTCCCCAAAAACAGAGATGTCTAAGATTTCATCTTCTGAAGTCCATAAAAATCTGAAAAATCTCTGCAAAAAAGGAACAAGACCCAAAATTTATACAGCAAAAAAAAGACATGACTCCGTGTTTCAGGAGGATCATATTTCAACGCATGGAAACGGGCGGAGACGAACAAGTGGAAGGTTTTTAGACGTCATTTCACCCCGATGACACCATGGATGAGGAGATGCTGATTCTAGAAGTCTAGAAGTAGATTTCCTCCTCTGGAAGGACACAATCTACTGCTTATATAGTTAGCCTCTGTGGCTAAAGACAACTCGTTTTCGCACGATTGCACTTGAATCTGCAGGTTCTTGTGAGTTCTCACGATTCCTGCTGTAGGTAATCTGCCACAGAATTCGCCTCATAATCTGATCCAGTAGGAATTGGCGTAAAAATCGTGGCCGTTCTGGATCAGAGCCGTTCCGGATGCGGTGGAAATCCTGGGTTAGACCGAGACAGCCAAAATCTCAGCATAGAAGTTTACAGGAAACCCACAAATACTGCGTCTGCGTCTGCAAATTGAGCCAACGTAGAGTCCAAGTCTGAGTCGAGTCCAAGTCTGAGTCGAGTCCTTATTGTTTGAGTATAAATACCAACTTTAACTGTACCTCACAAAAACCTGAAGCTTTTTCAGCAAGGTGTTTCGAGATGTCACAAGACCTGCTGTGAAGTGAGTCGGTCCTCTCAACGATCGGAGCAGAGCCGCGAGTGCACTTTGAAGAACACACCACATCGGAGAGAGTGCATTTTGGTTTTTGAATTGGAAAAAGAAAGAAGTCTCTAAAAGGTTTTTTTTCTTCAAGCAAAGAAAAGCATTTTTTAGTCAGAGTCTGAGATTACAGTGTGTTGCATATCTGTCAAAATCTGCAAAAGAAGGTGCATAATTTGTCTTAAAACATCGGAGGAGTCACTTCATGAAGGTACGTTGTTGAGAATAGTCCAGGATGTGGTAGAATTTGAGTAAGATGACTCCTCCACTCTCTTATTCTCGCTCTCCTGAGCCGCCCTCTTCCTCTTGAGCTAAACAGAGCATTGTGGGTAAAGACTGTGCAGGTGGCGGTGGAGCGTCCTCGAGAGGCCGAGCCGGCTGTTCGAGTCCCTGATTACATGTTAACACTAATTAAAGGAAGGAGAGAAAGAGGAAGGACAATCTGTACGGTAATCATTAGCAAAACGATGGGACCAGACGACCACATGACCCGTTTGGACTAAAGTAACCCCACTTCCTCCGTTATAGGGGACGTGAACGCAACACGAATTCACCCAAAATACCACTCTTTACTACCAGCAGTTTGGAGTTGACTGAGGTGTAAACGTGCGAGAGAAAATCCATCCCCATCAGCTTCATCTTGATATTACAGTCGTTTCAAAACTAGAAATCGACTTTGTGCCGTTTCAGCAGGACTACCGTGATCGCAGGAATTTTAGAAGTCCATTTGAAGTCCTGGTTGACAATCTGAGAAGCAGTTGAGGCAGATTTGAAAAAAGCATCCCACCCCCCACATTCCACGATAAACCCACCTCGAACCTGCATCTCCCTCCCCACGACACACCCCCTCTGACAGAGCAAGAAGCCGGCCTGCAGAAGATCCTACGCTAGCTTCAAACAGGATTCACCATGTCGGATTGTTAGTGACTAGCGGCAGTAAACGCCAGCTCTGCTAGCGAGCGCCGTCTGCAGCTGCCTGGACAGCTACCGTGTTGACATTGACTCCGCCCTTTCTTCTGTCAGCTTGCGTTTTCTTCCCACTTTTGGCGGTGGGGCGGGCAAAAGTGTTAGCTCCTGTAGCTAAGCTGCTATGCTACTTTTAGCCGCTCAGAGCTCCGAGGAGGGCCGGGAGAGTGGGAGGGGACGAGTCGGAACTACGGGAGAGGGGTGTGTCAAATACAGCGAGGTGATTGGATGGAGAGGCAGAGCAGGAGATTGACCAATAGGAGCTGTCCAGGATGGATGGCTCCCATTGGTCAGTGTTTTTGCAGCCCTGCACCTGATAGGATGAACGGATTTTTTCTGTTCTTTTTTCTGTTCACTTCGTGGAGATCGCACTACAGGACCATGATCGCCATAGAAACGATTACCAATCTCTCCAATCATCAACCACGCCTTTAAGTTCACCTAATCAAAGGACTTGATTTTAAATTAATGGTGCAGTGAAGGTTTTGTTTCAAGGTGGGACCAAGTACTTCAAACCAAGAGCCGAGGACCTGTTTCAGTTTGGTCAGTTGGGTCTGAAATGATGAAGAAAACAGTCTCTTTAAATGGCGATGAGGCGTTTTTCACTCCTTTATAAACAAACAACCCCAACAGGATAATCACATGAAAGAAAACCAGGACAACATGAGGAGACTGATGTGACATTTACAGAGGCAGGTTTGGTGAGACCATTACCAAAATAGAAAACAGTACTTTTCTCTTTTCTTGGACAGGCTCTAAATGCAATCTCTGAAATCAAACATTTTTGAGAGGGACGGCGGTTGCATCCGGAATTTACGGTCACTCAGACAAAACCGGCTCAAAAAATTGGACCACTTTTGATGGGTCTATTGAGAATAAGGTCAGTCACTTTAAAACTGCGAAGACCTCTTCTCAGAAACATTTGAGTAAAATTACCAACAAATGGTTTGACTTCATGTTTCCATCTTCAGAGAGCTGACTCAAGAAACCATCGACGATGATGGGACGTGTTAGGAGTGGCGATTTCTCGAAAGTATCCGACTCCAATGTCATTTCTCAGGTTTTCGAGACTGTTTGTTTTAACCGAGTAAAAACAGCGTGATTTCCAGAAGTAGAACAAGAGTATGTTAAATTTCAACAAGAGTCAAGTGATCATCCAGGTCAGATCATCTCTCTGTACAAACCGTCTCTGGGTTTAATGCGATCCATCCTCGCACGGCCGCCTCTTCCTGCCTCTCTGACACGTCTGCTAAAAAGCATGCACAGGCTGAAACATTTCAGGGGTGGGGGGGGGGGTTTATGTGATTTCACAGGGTCTTTGTGCATTCGCCCTCGCCAACGAAAGCCTCAAAAAACAGCTTTAAAAACGCAGCGCTGAGCTCCAAACGAGCTCCGAGTGGGAGGACGAGCAAGCAAAGGTGGGAAACAATCCGCTTCCGCTCGGAGAAATTACCACTTCACCGTGAAAACATGCGGCTCTGGAGCCCAGTGCTGATAAAAAAAAAAAAAGAAATAAATGAGAAGCAGCACTCCTCCTCCTCCTCCTCCTCCTCCTCCACCTCCTCTCCTGTTCATTTACTCTCTCCAGGCGGAGAGTTTATCATCAGCCGTCCACAAAAACATCAGTCATGTTAAAGCGTGCTGGTATTTCACCTTTATGGCCGTAGCTGAGGTTCACTGTGATAAAAAAAAAAGAGAAGAAAAAAGTGAATTTTTCCATTTGATGTGTTTTTGTAGCCTGCAGCTGCTTTCAAGCCAAACACTTGAACAGGAAATTAAAGCAAATATCAGCCCACGAAAAGGTCGAGGGACGTTATAACGTAAGAGTTCAGAGTAAATAAAGAGTTTTAATTTCACCCTGAGCGCTGGAACGTCACATCGCATCGACGGTGTCATCGTCATCGACCGAAATCTCTCCAAACGAAATATTCAGATCATATTAACACAACAATAGTGCAGGTTACAGCGAGTGAGCTTTAAATGTTGGAGTCAGAATCAGTGGGTGAAGTTGATGCCGTGCCAGCTGGAGGTGAGGCTAAAATACGCTTCATCATCCATAATGTAACAGTTCGCACTAAGCGTAGATGTATCAGGTTAGGTGAGAGTCGACGAATCGCTCTGTAGTGCTGCTGTCTTATTATTGAGCTCAACCAGCAGATCTGGTCTGTGGACTCCTCGGCTGGACCTCCCCCTCAAATGTAGGAACACCAAATCCATCGACGTTAAACACACTGGATTTACGCCTAAGGACTTCAGATTTGGAGCAGCTATTGTCAGACTTCGAGGCCCCAGAGCTCGCCACATGTCCACGACACAAACAGTCCAAAAGTCCCAGACCTGATCCTTTTGGTGCAGTTTACGTCACTAAAGGATTTCAATTTTAGGATCACAAAGACCAACGAAAAAGACTGATTGACATGGGCAGGACATACATGAACGGTGGGAGTAGTGAAGATACACAACAGTGGAAACTATAACTATAACCTCTCATGTGTCTTTTTCACTTCCCTCGATTCTAGACGGTAATGTCACATAAATTTGGTTTTGTAAAGTCAAGTTTATTCAAATACAAAAAGTCAATCATAGTTGAAGTTGATGCAGTTTAGAGACTAATGAAATAATAAAAACCTGATTTGATCTGCTCTTTTCCAACCGTCTTTCTGTGCAGTGGGATCTAGATCTTCTTTACCTCCTGCTGACAACGCCAAAACTCTTCCGAGCTGAACAGGTCACATTAGTTATTTCCACTTTTAATGGAGACGTCTGAACAAACTGTCTGAAAAACCACAAGTTTTTAATCCCTGGACTGTTTTAAACCTGGGAAACTGAGCTGGTCACACATCTGTGATTCTGTTATCTAATTAGGACGATCGTTAAATTAACTTTCTGTGTTTTTCAGAGTTTCACCGTGGTTACAGGAGAATTTGTGAAAAGTTAGTTCTGTCAGTTTGTCGTTGACTGACTCACAGTCCAGTTGTATCTGACTTTTTTAACAGATTTTAACACAAGATAAACTGTTGGCAAAAGTCGAGGTCTTTGTTGTCGCAGTAAGACTTCTTCTGGACCCGCCTCTTGAGCCCACGGTGGTGAAATATTCGGAGTCAGTCGGTCTGGAGCGTTTCATGACACACTGATGAGTTTCGAGGTCTCTAAGCGACTCCTAAACCTGATCATTATGGCTCTCTTTAGGTCCGGGTCTGGTTCAACACCAATTGGAGGTTTTTCCCACTCCACCCACTCCTCAGAGCTTCGTCTTTCTACGCCTCCAAACTGAGCGAACTGTTTGCTGAATTGTCATCATGAGAATTTCCCGACTCTAATCTGTTTTTTAATGACCGATCATTCACGCCATTCTTAAATAAGGAGATCAGACCTGACGTCTTTTCGGTATTCGGTATCAGTTTTATCCCGAACCCTGAACCTAAAACAGGAACTTTCTCACACATTTGGCTTTTAAACAGACCCAGAAGACCTCTGTTAACCTCAGTCCTGCTAAATATCAGAGCATCAACCTGCCCAGGTGAGATCTACGGTTATGTAATATTTCAGATCTCTATCACAGCTGTTTTTTTTTGTGCTTTTTGAAGACTTGGATAAAGACGCCGGCCCTGGTATTCCCTGTATTCATAGATTAGATTTATGTTCCCAGTGGCTGAAACTCTGACATCCTTTTCTGGATGAATCCATGAAAACATTTCCAAGCTAATCATGAGCTCGGCCGGTCCATCGAGTGTTGTCACACTGCGAGCTATTGAGCCTTCAACCCTTTTAACACCCGAGCTGAAAGAAAACCAGGGGTGGGGATCAAACCTGCGGCCTGCTGGGTTCAGACACTCTTCCTCTCCCTGAGCCTGAACATTTATGAACATCAGAGGAGCCCTCATCGACCCCGGAGGAGGAGGCTGGAAATGAGTCAAAGAAGACAGAGAAGGGAGGACGGAGCGCAGGAGGGTCTCGAACAGGGCGTGACGAACACAGAGGCAGAGGAAAGCAGTCAGTCAGTTAATAAACAGGCAGGAAACCGTCGTGTCGGGCTTTTAATCGGTCAGTCAGTGAAGCAGAGGATCGATGGAGCAGTCGCTCTGTTGCTGACTGGTTACTGACTGGATGTTGTGAAGCTCAGCAGGTCGATCTCTGCAATCGATGCCGAAAACAAGCAGAGACACAACCTGCTGTGTGCGAGTCTGTGTCTGTGTGTGTGTGTGTGTGTGTGTGTAGGAGAAAAGCTTTTTGTCTTTGAACACCAAACAAACTAAACTGCACACACAGGTACAAGGAAAGGATTGTCTCTGGAAACTATTTCATAAAATACAGTTTATGGATCATTTCTGGTGTTGGTCTGCAGCGCTGAGAACCGTCTATAACCACAGCCTGCCGAGAAAAAAACAACAAATTAAAATAAAAAGTGCCTCTTCAACCAGAAGGTAAGAACCAGCAAAACAACAAAGACTGAATCATTTTAAAGAAGTTCAGACCGCACCTTTTGGACAGTAGTGTCTTAATCCATCACACAGCTCATCCCTTTAAGGGTTTTCTCCATTTTTTCTCTATAGTGATGTAAATTTTGACCTCTTAAGTTTAAAAAAGGAAGTGTGAGACTGGAAGACCAACCTGGGCTGAGTCCAAAACCAGTCGCTCACTTTATAGTGTCAATCAGACCGTTAGAGTCCAGAACTGAGTCCAGAATCTGGACTTTGGTGTTTTTAGTTTGAGGTCGGACAGAAATCTTAACTTTTCTGGCTTATGCAGATGTAGCTAGATGTGTCGTATCGAGCTTTCGGAACAGCAGTGTTAGCTACGATGATGGTTGGGCTTCTGGATGTTCTGCTAACGTAACATCACAGCAGTCTGAAACGATCAAAGAGATGAAGGTGAGGTGTCTCATCCTTATGAACAGTTTCGTGCCTCAGAGAAATCTTACACCGGCTACACTCACAATAAGCGTGCGTAATGTTGTGTTGACTTTAGATGCTTTTAAATGATCAACCTGTGTAATTTGTGGGTATTCGAACACCTGGATGTTCTGTGTGTATTTGTAAAGACTTATTGCTCCGTTTCTGCGCCACAATCCAGCCGACGGGAGTTTCCAAACATGGAAATTAATGCAACAAAGTTCAGGGTCTTCACGCCATTTCAGTCTGTTTACATCAAACATGGTCGAGGTCTCTTCGCCTCGAGGATTTGTTGTGTTTTCAAATTTTTTACGAAATAACCGAACCTCCTCGCTTACTCTTTTCCCCTAACTCCTGTTTCTACGATAAATACACGTTAAAACGTACAGTTCAGTCAGCGTAGAAGATTTGCTTGCTCTATTCCCATGTCAGAATCGAGTCGACGGGAGTTCCCAAACACTTGAATTCATGTAAGAAAGTTTGGGGTCTCTTCACGCCATTTCAGTCTGTTTACATCGAACATGGTCGAGGTCTCTTCGCCGTGAGGATTTGTTGTGTTTTCACTTTTTTTTACGAATTAATCAAACCTCCTCGCACACTTTTTTTCCTGACTCCAGTTTCTATGATAAAAACAAGTAAAATGTAAAGTTTAGTTCGCCGTGCAGCATCAGCATCAGTTTGTCCTCCATTTTTCAGATGAATGGACCTCCACCAAGTATCTCAATATTTATTAACAACCATCGCATGTTTGATTAGCTTCAGTTCAGGTTTATAAACTCACAAAATCCTGATTCAAATGAGCGAGGAACTTTACGATCAAACTCTCTCCAAAGTAAGCGGAGAAACTTTCAGTGTGAGTCCTGTTTGACACTGAAATATTATTTTTAATCTCGATTATCCAAACAGTTTTTACCAAAATACCCTCAGAGAAAAGGAGATCCTAAGTGCTCGCTTTGATTGGTTGATTTCATGACCACCCCTCAACACTCCGCGTCTAAAAAATTAATGAATTCAATTCAGAGCGAAAACAAACAAGAGGGCCGACCTCGGAGTCCTCGGGGGGCGCCGGAGAAGTAAATAAATGTGCCAGTTAACAAAAAGAGGCCTGGTGCTCTTCAGTCTGACAAAGAAAGGCAGAAGGTTTGTGAAGCTCGTCTGCACTCAGTTTGCCAACAGTGAAGTGTTGTCTCTTTTCCCTCTCCAGCCTTCATCATCCTCTCCCCATTCAGCACCACACCTCGCTGTGAGGAGACTCATTCCCCTCGTCCCCCGCTGCCTGCAAAAATTGGCCCAGGGGACTAACAGAGGAGGAGGAGGAGGAGGAGGTGCGTAGGAGAGAGTGGAGAAGAGCTTTTGACACACAAAGATCCAGTTCAGAAGAAACCGTCCTCTGGAGGAGAGTCAGAGCGTCCGCTGGTTTCACGTCTGTTATCCTGATGATGAATGTCGCCCCGTGACGTCTACGATAAAGACTCTGTGAAACACATTCATCCACATAAAACACCGAACAGAAAAACCTTTACTATGACGAGTCCCTCTGGACGAAGTCGTGACACGATCAAAATAAACATGAAGTCGTGTTCCTCTTTCATTGAGTTTATTAGGATTAGGATTAGGATTATCTGTATTTCTCAGCCAAGTATTTCTCTCACAACTGGGATTACAGTTTATATCTAGGGTGACCAAATTCTGAATCCCCCAAAAGAGGGCGAGATTACGTGGGGGCAGAGTCTCAGGGTCATGCGTTGTAAACTTTGAGAGTTTTTTAGGTCAGGTCGAGTGTTTTTTTTATGTGCTTCTAACTCAAAACTTCTGGACATACCCGGGTAAAAGAGGACGTACGGTCACCCTAATATATCCCGCCTGGCCTGGAAACACCTCGGGATCCTGGAGGAGGACCTGGAAAGTGTTGCCGGGGCAACAGGTCTGGATCAACTTACTTAGAAGAAAATGGATAAACGTCAACATCAGTCAGTTTTAGTGATGGGAACTACGGCTCTTTTTAGATCATTCGGCTCAGCTCACCAAGAAGAATCGTCTCTTTCGGCTCCCAAACGGCTCTTCATTTTATCACTTATACGTTTTCTAATCCAGTATAATCTAGCGTTGTTTGGCCTCTCATATGTACGTATGTGTTACATCCTTTGTACTGAAGTATTCACAATGAAAATGACATTTGCTAATATCAGTAAATTGCTGAAGCCAAATGTTTTCATTGTATTTACAGACCCTTGTAACTCTGAATCCACCCAATGAATACACCGACTTGCTCGTAGAACCATTCAGCTACATAAAGCAGATAGAAATCCCGTCATTCTGAGAGAAATAAAAAGATAGAAATCCCGTCATTCACGTTAAAGAGCTGGCTCTTTGAACCGGTTCGTTTGCGACCGACACATCACTAATCAGTACGTTGTTTCGTCTTTGCAGTCGTTAAAGTACGAACAATTCAAACTTCACCATCTTGAGCTCCACATGGTTCACAAATGTGATGACAGCATCAAATCGAAGTGTAAAGTCCATCTGTGTCATACACCATTTCTGATTTGCGTTGCTTTTAAAGTTGCATAGTGTATCTTTAAGTTTTTGCTATTTTTAATATCACTAAAGCTGTTATCCTCTCTTCCCTTTAATCAGACTACTTTAATGTACTAAATGGAAAAAAAAAAAACAATAATCTGTTTTCTAAAATGATTTATTTCCTTCTGGGCAGAGGACTATTTTCACTAAACTCTGACCATCTGCTGAATGAAAAATCCTCTTCAGAAAGCAGGACATGGAGCGCTGATCACTTCCAGTCGATTTAAATATTATCACAGCAGACGTTCAGTCACTCTAAACATTAAATAAACGTAACTGGAAAGGATATCATCAGGTTTCTGTGTCATTTTACCTGCGATCACTTGAATTCCTCCCACAAATACAGCTTTACATGTCTGTTAAACAACAACACACCAACCTGGCAGCTCTGTAAATGACTGACCAGCGGGCGAGGAAATCGATCCGGAGATCTAAGGTGGTGCGGTCCACGTGAGCAACTTCAACCGGAGCCAATCTGAGACACTTAGGAAACACAGTCAGAGAGAGAGAGAAAACACAGAGACACTCCAATCTACTCTGCTGCGCTCGGTCGCCCGATTGATCAATGACTCAGAACTGATCAGAGGAAACTCGCCCTATTGGACTGATCTCCACTGAATCAAAGTTCTCGCTTGGACGTGGGTCGGGACCCTCACAGGGGTGTCTCAGCGTGAGCCAGCACCAACACACAAACATAAACACACACTCCTCTTCCTCAGGGGGATGAAAAATATCCCACGTCAGCCGGTGGAGAAGGCTGAGCTGGAAGACCAGGATCCAGGGTCAGGAGAGGTGAACGCTGATCTCTGTCTCAGCTCAATCCAGAGGGATAGACCAGGTACCGGAAACCGGGGCTCTGTTTCTGTGTTTGGAGTGGATTCAAAGTCCTGTAACTACGCCAAAGTCTGTCCATGAAAGTTCTTCTTCCTGTCAGGGACAGATTCAGATTATTGTTCTTTAGTGTCTGAAAACTTTAGACGCAGGATCATCACAGAGACGAACCTTCAAGTCAGGGAGCGTAGAGTTTTATCCACATCAGAAATAAGTGTTTCTGAGACAGGCACATTTTCTACACAGTTAATAGAAACTTCTGTCACTGGTTTTTACCTGTTATTCTTTGAATTTTTATTCTCAAGACTTATCAGGACCATAAATGATGCTTTAAGTTTCTAATGATCAGGGAGCAGGTCTCAGGATTTCGCTCCAGAGTGTCTTGTTTCTTTAGTAAAGTTTAAACAGGTGTCCCAATGGAATTACTAACCCTAAAAAACTCTTTGTTTACTTTTTAAATGAGGCTCTATGTAAACTGACCCAGATTTGACGATGGCCTCAAGTGGACACTTAAGGGAACTGCAGCTTTTGGGACTTAAATATGACTAGGCCTGGAGTTTGAAGTTTTTTTCTTAAGTTACACAATTATTATTATTATTATTATTATTATTATTATTATTATTATTTTTATTTTTTTACTATTATTACCATTTTACCATTTTTACCACTATTTTAAGTATTCTTATTGCTATTATATTATTTTATTACTACTATTATTATTGTTATTTATATTTTTTATTTTTTTACTATTATTACTATTTTACTGCTATTATTTTTATTCCAATTTTTATTTTTGTAACTATTATTATTATTATTATTATTATTATTATTTGTTTTAATTTTTATATTTATTTATATTTTATTTTTTTGTATTATTATTGCTTCTTTTTTCTTCTTCCCACTTTAGTTGTGGGGCAATTAAGTTCAGAAATTGCTCTTTTTTTTTCTTTAAACCATGTTATTTTATTTCCTAAAGTGTCCGAAGACTTCAGTTTGACAGTACCGGAGTGTTGGCCCTGAAAAACAGTGTCAAAGTGTCTTGTTCTCAACATTAAGACCTTCTTCTGTTTGGATCCTGTATGTAAATCTGTGTGAGTCTTTGTTTATGACACATGCACATGTCCTCTGTCAGCTGTTTGTATGTTACCACACTGTCGGAGACATCGACTCTGCGTTAGTTGCGTTAACTGTCAGCTCCGGCTGAAGTTTTCAGACTTTCCTGCTGATGAGTCGGCGTTGTTTTGTTTGTGCTTGTGATTGACAGAGGGTAAAAAACTGCTGTAAGAGCAGGAAATAAAGTCCTCTAACATCATTTTAGTCTGTCTGACTTCTAACGTGCAGAACTGAATATGCCTGAGAGGTTTTAAAAACGTCCCCCTCGACCTCCGAGCAGGTAAAAACTGAAAACTGAAACATAGAAAATGACGCCGGGAGTGTCTGTTTAATTGGCTGCGGATCACAGATCTGCAATCACCATCCATCTGCTCCATCTGATCTCTGTTCACTTCAAGCACACACACACACACACACACACACACACACACACACACACACACACACACTCTCTGTTGGAGTTCATTAAAATATTTTGAGGGTTTCGTGGTCACACATTAACAACACAATGCATCTGTGTAAGTCAGGACTTAACCATCCTCCTTATTAAGTCGCACACTGAAGAGATGACACACACACACACACACACACACACACACACACACACACACACACACACACACACACACACACCAGGTGTTCAGAGTAAAAAACACTGCAGCCTCTATTTCTTCCTGCAGTTTGAACCTACAGCAACTATCAGTGTTTTTAAAGTGATTCTGAGTCCATGCGGTGATTTCCACTATAGAGTCACGTCTGTTTTAATGCAGCGTTACCTGAGGTCCAGCAGATCACCTGTCCAGTATCAGTTAAATAATGAAATCCTCACATTTTCTGTCATTTCAGACTCAGGGATGTTATCTTTGACAGATTCGTCTCTCTCTCTGGACGCCATTTTTCTAACCTCTTACAAATTAACCTCATAAGTCAGGAGTTGTGCATCAGTTTACCAAATCAACAACGATAAATATCAGTTTTAACATTCAATATGGCGTCTTTTCACCATTTTCAGTCATTTTCACTCAAAGGATTTCAGGACGATCAGATTCATCCTGGTGAAAAGACAGTAAAATAACGTCCGAGTCGACGGTGGATTAGAGTCTGTAAAAATAAAGAAATACTGGATGAAGTTTGTTCCAGAGAGTCAGACTGCAGACTTTGCTTACCTTGAGTACAGCTGGTATGTACAGGATGAAGATGAGAACAGCTGCTCTGTAAATGCAGCTCTCTGTTTTCCTGTCTGGTCTCTGATGCGTCTGATAAACTTGTCCATCCTCCATTTCTGTGAAGAAGTTGGAGTTTGATATTCTGCGGTCGCCTCTCTGTGTGGATTCAGTTTTAAAGTCACATGTTTCACTTCCTCTTTGTCTCCTTTATCTCCTCCACGTTGAGGATTTGTCCGTCTAAATCCTCGGACCGCTCCGACTCTCTTTCAGCTCCCCCCCTCTCCTCTTTATCCCATCCCCAATCTTCCTGATATCTCCCCCGCTCTGACCTCTGACCTTTAACCTCGCACCGTACGCTGTGAAACTTCTCTCAGTCTAGACAGAGAATCACAGCGACTATCAAGTTCTCTCCGACTAAATCTTTTTCAGCTCCTCTGAGAAACAGAGGCGAAGAAGTCGGACGAGACGGAGCCGAAAGAGTCAGAGTTTTCCTTTTTTTTTTTAACATTGAAATTCTCAGACTGAGAAAAAGCTCTTCAAAGTGTTCACAACAACCCTATCATCACTTCAGAGGAGGAGAAGAAGAATCTCCATCTCAAGCAGGCGTTTGCTCAGGCTGATAACTTCGATCTGACAGTGTTTTCTTAAAACAAGAGGGAAAATAAAAGCGGCGCGTTGGGAGATTGTTTCACTTCTTTCCAATGCAAATCCACTCTTTTCAAATATTTCTGAGGATAATGAGTCATTATCTCATTTCCTCTGTTCATTTTGTTTCCAGCTTTAATATTGTGACATTTAATTCTTGCAAAGTCTTAAAGCAGCATCAGATAAAAGCAGATTTATCTCGTACACTGGCTGTGTTTTCTTATTTTAATCTTTTGAGCCTCGGTTTTTCCCCCTCGGGTTTCACTTTGAGCGTCTGAAAAATTCACAAGAAGCATCGTCTGAAAGTGTCACGTTTTATCTCGATCTGTTTGTTCCATTTTTCTTCCTGTCGTTATTTCGTGGCATCATTATGTATATTTTTCAGTTTCTAACTTTTCTTTACTCGTGTGTGTGTGTGTGTGCAAACTGAACAGCTCAGAGAAAACAGAGGAGGGTGTTGATGACAAATGTGTGTCAGACACAGTTCATGGTTTGGTTTGGAGAGAATCTGAATTTCTTGCAGAAAACTCACAGTCTTTCTGGATCCATTTAGGCCGAAGTTGAGTTCATGAGGAGATGATCATCGACTGGAGCTTGTCTGAATGAGACAATCGAATCCCAACACGTTATCCAGGTGTGTCAGTCCAACTATGAACAGGTCAGTCTTAGGTCCGGATGTGCAGATCCTGACGGTTTCAGGTGAAGAGGAGGACGGCAGCCCTGCAGCAGCAGCAGACGGTCAAAGTTCTGCAGGTACTTTGACTTGATTTGATGCACAATGAAGATGTTCTCAATATCAAACAGAATAATTGGCTGTAACAGAGTCCTGTGGCTGGTTTGCTTTGGTGTCACTCTCAAACTAACATCATAGACTCAGCTTCACCAAGAGTCCCTTGGTGTGTTGGGTGATTTTGGGGTCTCTACAGTATGACAGTGGAGTTATTGACTTTTGTTTGCAGCGTCTTGCTCTTTTAGCGTAATTTGCAGAATGGCTTGTTCTTGTAATTCTTGGGATTCTTGTAGCTGGTAGTCTGCACTATTACGATATGAAAGAGGCATCATTTGTGTTTAGACAACGTTTTGTCTTAGAGTTGTTGATCCTGGAAGTCCGAATCTGTGAAAATCTTTCTAGCTTTACCGCTTTTACCACTGCTGTCATTTATAAGCTTTCCGGTGCACGACACACAAAAATGAGCACCTGGCTCTTTCAGTTTTCAGCGCTAGCTACCGTAAGGCTTTCCATCTTTTTCAGCCTCCTCCACCGAAGCCCAGCTTCCAATATCGCCGTTTCTTCTCAAGCATTGATGTACCTGACATCCATCGTTTCAAATTTTCCATTCGCTACTCACTAATGTGTCTTTTTCTTCTTCTTCGTCTTCTCCAGCAGGATGTATGCTATCCAGCGTAATGCTGTCCTCTACTGGTCATATTCAGATCTAACTGACTAGGGTTTTTTTTTTTTTTTTGACATTTTTTTAGGGAAAAAATCCCAAGCCGGATATTTGGCACCGTGCCGAAGGTCTTCAAGCCCTGCCCTTGTGACTCTGTTCTTGCAGTCTACAGAAACAGACTTCTGTGCTGCAACTGCCGTGTCTTGCTCACACCTTCGCCATTTAGAAGGGAGAAAAATCGCATCTGAGTGGAAATTTTTGGGGGGGGCAGAACAAACATCTTGGGAGGGGTCACCAACCGGGAGGGGATGAGTTATCGCCATCGATGAGGTCATGGATGGCGAGAGTTTCAATCCGCCCGTCTAGGCAGACATTTTCTGAAAGTTGGAACAAGCAAGAAAAAAAGAGGATCGAATTTTCTGATTTATGGGGCGGTTTGTAGACATGCAGGGGATGCAGGATACTGTTAGAAAACCAAGTGAATTTTGTATAATATGGGCCCTTAAACACAGAAACACCTCCTCCACAGCCAGTTTTAGTTCACTTAATAAGTCAGATATCCTACAAGCATCAAAAACCCGAGACAAATAGGAAGTGGAATTTGTTTGGAGCTTCCTCACAGTTGGATCTGACTCACCTGTCCAATCAGAAAACCTTCATGTGGCTCAATTCTTACAGCGAATCAAAAACAACCTGTTTTATTATTATTATTTTTACAGTCTTACCTGAATGTTAAATTGGCTCTGAACTATTCAAACCAAAAAAAACTGAAGTCACATCGGAGGATTCACACTCGGATTTCTTCCAATCGTTGGTGTGTTGAAGGAATTTCACATCTTATTTGAAATAATCCCAACCTGTATGAGCAGCGGCCCAGTAATCCAGTAAACTCTCCATCCACACACACACACACACACACACACACACACACCACCTCCACCCGAATCTCCTCTCACACCAACACACACACTCATACACACACCCATAATAACACACCAGCATTGCTAAGCCTGGCCGTGAAATGGGATTCTCAGGGATGAGAGCTGCTCTTTGTGATCACAGAGGGGGATCTGCCACACACACACACACACACACACACACACACACACACACACACACACACTGGTTCTGTGTGAGTGTGCGTGTGTGTCTCTTTATGTTGAGAAACACACAAACAAACACACACACACACACACACACATCCGAAAAATGAGACAAACACTTCTTTTTTCTCTGAAGGCTCTCTGGAATGGATGTTGTGGGACTCTACTGTTTCTATGGCAACTGCAGCCCATTTACTCCCCATGGTTTGAATGTGTGTGTGAGTGTGTGTGCGCTCTTGCACTGCGCGCGCACATGCCCTCAACACTGTGATTTATTCAGACACACATTCTTCATACATATGCTTCTTTTCTGTTTGAATGCATATTATTTTTGTCCGTGTGTGTGTGTGTGTGTGTGTGTGTGTGTGTGTGTGTGTGTGTGTGTGTGTGTGTGTGTGTGTGTGTGTGTCAGCAGCAGCTGACCCGCTCTGATGGATGGGAGTCACGGTGTCGCCGGTGGCTGATGATCAGAAACAAGCAGAGCCAGCATGGCGGCATCTGCTGTCCCCCGTCTCTCTTTCTCTGGAGGAACAAATGTAAACAAACGTGTTTCTGATCTGAACGTTTAGATGCAGCGGACGAATCTGTACATGTGCATGACTCAGGAATTAGCAGCAGAGATGATTTGGAAATTAGCAAATTGGCCTGGATTAGAATCTGAAGTCTCGTCATGGTCAAGAAGTGTGCAACAGGAGGAGGAAGGAGGCGATAAAACTGACTAACGACAGCAAAACTAAACGCTCTGTTTCTTTAACACACTGTTCAAACTATTAGACAGCTACAGGAGGAGGAGAGAGGAGGAGCAGGAGGAGGCAGGTGTATCTGTGTGCATCTGTGTGCCTGAAAAGCCAAGGGACAGGTTGAACACAGCAAAGAAGAGGCTGTACCGATCATGAGTGTACCCACGAGCTCATGAGTTAACAACAGGATGACCATATCCTGAATCCTCAAAAAGAGACGACTACACGAAGGGCCGAGTCACAGAGTCACGTGTAGTTAATTTGAAGAGTTTTTCGGGTCAGAGCGAGTGTCTTTTAAGCGTTTCTAACTCACTAAGTCAACGCGACACAAACTCAAAACCCCGAACACTTAAAGGATTTTATTAACTCCAGAGCCAGACAGGCCCAAAATAAGAGGACGTACGGTCACCCGAGTTAACAAAAAAGTGGAGACACCTTTCTGAGTCTAAATAAAACAAACTTCAGTTTTAAGGTCCTTACATACCAGGAATGACGCAAATATATCAAACACATCAACTGTGATGCGATTTTGCGAGTTTCTGGGGGAAAAAGACGCGTCCCGGGTGGAAGTGAGAAGACTGACACAACAGCAGACTGAGTGTTTTTCAGTTCTGATCAGACTCTAGTGTTGAGACGTCTGTCTGTCATGATAGCATGTACTGAGTCGGTGCCAGTACCAGATAAGAACATTAAACTATAATCCATAAAGGTAAGGTAACAACTGAGACCTAATGGTGCTGTGACAGAAAATACATATGGTATGTTGTATCTGAACAGGTTAGCTTACGAGCTAAAGTTACGTTAGCACAGATGAAAGTTCAAACAAAGACGTTTATCAAACTGTTAAAGCTCACAAACCATCGTCAGATGAGAAATCCGACGCTATGACTCTCCACAAGTCGTCCTTCAGGTCGTTATCTTTGTAATGTTTGTGTTTTTTATCAAATAGCACTTCGTTCTCCGACACGTAAACAATCAGCCGGTCGGCCATGTTGGATATACCGGTGAATCGGACGTCGCAACAACATGAAATCTGATTGGTCAGAAGTGGACACACAATGTGCGACACTTTAGAAAAATCGACCGTGATCCAAAAAAATAAATGCCTCAATATCGCACGACAGGAAAACGTGGCTGATGTGAACGCTTGAATTGACAGGATACGGGTTTGAAAACAAAATAGACGTCTGAAATAATCGCATGAAAAAAACGCTCCCGATGTGTAAGGACCTTTAGTCATCAGGATGGTGTTGGTGAGTTTTATTAATGGCATCAAATGTGTAAAAGACTTAAAAAAACACGTACACTGACTTTAATTCACCCTCTCACAGAGTTCTCTTTTTGTACGTCACAAACTTCTAAAGTGGAAAGTGGCGCCGACGAAATCATGTTGCGGCTTTCATAAAACACGATTCACTGAGTAAATTCACTGAAATACTTTCCACAGGTGCTAAAAAGTAAATGTTTTTTTGAGGTATTTGATGAAAAATTCTTGATTAATGATTCCCGCCGCACTAAATTCGACCCTCAGGTTTTCAGTATCGAAGCTCACAAGGATTTTTTCCTTTGGATGTCTACTGAAGGTTTCAACCTCCTTCTGTTAATGTCCGGGTGATTCATGTCCATTAGACTCCTAACGCGTCGTATTTATGAATTCAATTAGCCAAGGGCTCAAAATATCCCCTGTGCGTCACTACCTCCCAAAACAACTTATCTGTAAAAGGATATTGATTAGAAGAAAAACAGACTTACTGTATCCTCCGCTGGTTTTTTTTCATCACGAGCTGTTTCACGACAAAGTCCGACATCTTTACCGAACACGAGAGAGAGAGAGAAAGAGAGAGAGGAGCTGCGGTTTTCTCTCTCTGCTCCTTTCTTTTCTTTAGCTTGTGGCTTTTGTGGCTGAGAAGGTCAACAGATGATAAACTCTTCTAAAACACTGGAACACACAAAGTCCTTCCACCTCCAATATCTTTAAAGTGGATCGCCTTCAAATTAGAGGGTGGAGGAAATGTCACAGCGCGCACACACTCTCTCTGTCTCTCGGGCGGCTCTTGTGTGGTTTATAGTGCACTACTTCAAAGGTTATTCTCTGACCTTATTCAGGCTCATATCTAAGGAAATAAAATAGACGGCAACTCTGCTCTCTCTGCCGAATGCTCTTTTCGCAGAGACACGAGGCGTCTGCTCCTGCCAGTCCTCTGCTTTCTGCTCGACTCCTTTTCCTGGAAGAATAAATGAAAGAAAAGCCGAAGGACTGGAAACTCAAACTCAACCTGCTTCATTTCTCGGGGTTAGTGTCGTAACGAAATAAAGAAATAAATAAAAAAAGGAGATTTTCAGAGCTGCTCGGAGAAACAGTTTCTGGTGTGCAGTAAAAGCAGAGACAGCAGGTCTGAGCCGGCGTGTAGAAGCTTATGTTGTTCATTTGTTGTTTAGGGTCTTTGCGCAGAAACGCTGCAACTGAAGCAGATGGTTCGATCTTATGTGCCGTATGAATAAATACATGAAAATTCAAAGGGAACATTATTCTCCTTCTTCATATATACGGTGGTGGAAGAATAGTTATTTCTCTAATTCAGCCTCTGCGCGTCAAGAATGCTCGAAAGAGCTGCAGCCAAACAAAGTTGATTTTGGATTTCCTTTTCTGACGCTCCAACGAGCCGAAAAGTGTCTCCCTGAAACTTTAACATCATTATCTTGAGAAAATCAGATTTGTTTTTGTGCAGTCAGCGAAAAAAAAAAACAATCGCACAAGAAAGATCAGGCACATCCTGAACGACTCCAACGATGAGAATCCAGTCATGCACGCCATGCAGATTTACAAAATTCATGTATTTTCATGGACAGCAGTGAACATCAACATTTCGATGTGTCTATAACCTGCAATCTGCACACGAACCAGAAGGGGGGGATCCTGCTGACTCTGAGGAGATGTAAATCTTTACCGTTAAATTTCCACTGCATGCGGAATGGCAGCGATTTTCGCCGTCCACAAAATCCTACTGGGTGTGTTTCTGAGGCAAATTTCGTGGCGAATGTCGGACAGCAGGACGAGAACCCGCGAATTCACACACAATCGTGCGATAATGAGTTATTGTCTCTATAAAGACAGACACAGAACTATAGAAGCAGTAGATTGTGTCCTTCCAGAGGAGGAAATCCACTCTGTCCAGACCAGCAGATCAGACACTTGAAATGACGTCTAAAACCTTTCACTTGTTCGTCTCCGCCCGTTTGCATGGTGTGAAATACGATCCTCCTGAAACACGGAGGCCCTCGTTTATCAATCTTCAATCTTGCACAGATCTGAGCGCAGGATTCATAGTACGATAGGACACACGTGAGATTTAAGGAAGGGTTCGTATCTGACCAATCCCAGCATACATTAATGGGGTCTTGATAAATGCGGCGGCTGAAATCGATCCTCATTAACATGTTTACGCCCTTAAATATTCATGGTTCAGAAGCCTCGCCCACTGAGGTCAAACATGAAAGAGGAGAAATATTAGAAAGATGTGAAACTTTTCCGAGATGAAAGTGGATATCCTCGCGTCTGTGGTGGAAACTGACAAGGATTTTCTCTTTGGAAGAATCAAAACTGGTCTAAAAGCAGTCCAGAAAACTCCTGTCTGGAGCAGGATTATGGTGGCGGTGAACAGCGCTGCCGCCGTATAGCGGACAGTGGCTGAAGTTTGAATAAATCATGAGGGAAGGCCTTTTCTCCACCGTTCTGCATATGATGGAATTTAAGGGTACGTTTTTAAGTCCCCTCATTACATCTCACTGGTTTGTAGATTGTGGTCCAGTTTTGGTGGGAAACAACAAACAGGGTTTGGCTAAAGACCGGTGATTGAAAAGTCTGAACTCGTGCACTACTGTAGAAAACAGTTCCACCCCTCACACATCGCTATACGTCATCTTGTTCTTGTTTTGGGGTCCGAGGTCTGCCGTCGTATTTTAGTTTTTGGTTATTAAAGTTTTGAGAAAGTTGCTTTTTTAATTTACAGAAAGAATCCCAACGCAGATGTAGCCAACGTTTTTATTTCCACGCTTATTTGGCTTCTGCAGCCGGCCCCCTCAAGTGGACAGTCTGGGAACTGCAGTTTTTGGCACTTTGGTTTCATTTCTCTTTAATTTCTGCTTTAAACCAGGTTGTGGTTCCACTTGGTCTAATGACATCCTCAGCCCGTCCTTCTGGACTTCAGCACTGACCTGTTATATCACTGGGTGAATGAATATGTAGTTACTGGGGGGGTAAACACTCATGTGTTAAATCCATGTCGATATTTCCATGATGGTGTGAGACAGACCTGATTCAGAGCTAAATCCTGCTGCAGTGTCTGATATTGATTTCCATTTGTTTCCTCCAGTCGACTAATAAGCGCACATATGAAAATAATCAGGCCTGAGTGATGGAAATTAAACATAATTCACTCTCTGTTTGGAGCTCGCCGAGTTATAATTACACAACCTAAAGCTTTAACAGGCGCCAAATGCATGTCAGTTTGATTGACAGGTGTTACCGCTAAGCTCCGGTGTTTACTGTTTGAGTAATAATAAAAAAAAACATGGATGTAATGTCATTTAAAGGTAGGGTTAGTCGGTTTGCTGCGGGTGGTCAGTGCGAGCCCATTAACGCCGGGAGAAATGAAATTCAACGAGAGGCTGTTGGATCAGATTAAGACCTGACAAGAGGGGGATTTCGCTCTGATCTGGCAACCTGTGGATCGATAACAACGGCTCACACTGACAGGCGGGCCGGTTGAAGGGACTTCTCATTTTCTTTCTTGCATCACTTTCTCGCCGTGCCCTTCCTGAGCTGTTTGTCCGGGCCTCACTCTGTAATCAGCGTCAGCGTTTGTCAGCGGCCGGATGGCGATTTGACATTTCAGAACAAAGCTGGGCGCCAGCAGGGAGGGTTAGTGACAGAGAAACAGCGGGGCGGGCGATCAGAAGAGAAGCAAAAAGGTGCTAATGAGCATGTTGGAAGCTCGCAGGTGGTTTTTAGTGATGACAAAGTGGCTTTCACCTGTCTGCTCTGCTGCCATCTCACGTAGCATCGCACATCACAGCAGAGCTCCATTAGATAACAGCGCGGTGAAGGACGGAAAACGGGAGCGAAAGAAAATAGAAAAAGAGAGGAGGGGGTGGTGAGATGAGTGGAGAATACAAAAGAGACAAAAGGAGAGAGAGAGTGTCAGCTGTCAGTCACCGTGTTCACACACTCGATAGGTTTGAAAGATCATCCCGGGTCAAGGTGGAGAGATAGTACACTCTCCTTCTTCTTCAACACAGTCGTACTGGAGATTCTCCTCTGCAAGACGTGACATTAAAGAAACCGTCTGATGTTTAAATGTGAAATCAGATTAAGGTGGTCTTTACACGAGGACGACTTCGTAAGACACCGGTAAAATAAACTATTGATCTGGTGATATTGACACATGGAGACGCGTATTTGTCCATGACTCTGCATCTTTGTTGAAAACGGGTCTGCAGGTGGATATCTGGGTATTCGTCCTCATGCCATAGTTAGTGTAAATAGATAAGTCCTCATAGCACCCCTCCTCCTCCCCGCCCCCCAACCCACGTCGTCATACACACAGCAACAACGACAACAATGGCGGTAGCTGCGGTGATTTTGTTCTTGTTCCAGCAACTACAAATATTTCTACGACTTTTATACCAACATTTAGAACAGCAACAAGTGCTCATGCAGAGACGCAGCGTGTTACGAGTGCACAACTTGTTGTCGTGGAATCCACTTCGGAGCAGAACCAGACGGGCAACCCGAACCTGATTTTGCCTGGATTTTGCATTGTCATGTAAATGCACTAAGCCTTTGTACAATACGATGTGAAAACAGCGATACATGTTTTGGTGCCGACGCCAAGACAATACAGGGCCGTCCTCGTGTGAGGAGGGCCTAAGAGATGGAAACCTTCATGTTTAATACGATGGATGTGCAAAAGTGCAGGACATGGCCCTCAAAAATCAGGGTTAGATTTGTGCAAAGATCGAAGTTATTCAGAAAACTCGCTGGAGGCAGAAAAAGTCGAATAATTCACTCTTAACCATTAATGACAGCGAGTTAATTTGATGGTACAGGTTACATTAAGCATTGATCAAAACTGTGCGATGCAACACTGCAATATTTACAAAAACAAAGACTGAAAAAAAAGGAAGCTTTATGTGAGTCACACTGAAGAAGACTTTATATGAGACTTAATGTGTGGAGCTTACAGCAACATAATTAAAACAGGGATTCATAACGACCAGGAGACGTCAGACTGCTGTCAGGGAGACAGAAAAACAGACGTCTCTGTCTCTCATCACGCACAGAGGGGCGCAGAGCGAGGGCAGATCACACATTAGTTCATTGATTTAAGATGCTGATGTGTTAAAAAAAGACCAAATTAAAATAATCAGCCTGAGCAGAGAGAAGAGTGTGTGAGAAACAGACAAACAGAAATCAAGATAACATTAAAAATCATAAATATATATCTGATCAGATTCTGTGATCAAACCGAAGTCAAACCTGCAATGGGTTCGAACTCACCTCCTCACTCTTATGTTAGCCTCCTGTTGTGTTAACCAGTGATCTCTAGATGTCAGTGTGCAGATAATGTTACCTCAGAATCACAGCAGAATGTAACTAATGATACAGAAGATACAACCACAAATAAACTTCCAGAAATTTCACATCTTGTTCCATTAAAGATGTTGTAGTCAGGATCTGAGTTAGTTCCAGTTTTTAGGAGAAATCTTGAATGTGAACTCTACCCCTCCCAACCAGTTTTCCCCTCAGCTCCTCCCCTCCTTCAAGCCCCGCCCACAAACAGACGCTCCTGCTCGCTCGTATCGTTCCAATTAAATTCAGATATAATGCAGATAAATACTTCAGATCATTACAAATGGGGCCCAGTCAAGGTGAAAGTCAAAAGCATTGGTGCTACTGTAGATGCCAACAGACTACCAGCAAACACAATGTTTGCAGGACTTCTACAACGAGGATAAAGTGACATAGTCCAGGACCCGAGGGAGGACAGTTTAGCGATGGCGCTACAACACGCTACAGCAGGTCCGTTTGACAAGAAACACTTCTGTTACAGACACTTGTCTTACTTTGTTAAAGCGGTTTACCTGTCCAGCAGAAAGGTTACAGGGTCACCAAGATCCCCAAGCGTCCCCCATCGTTTATGTTGACCCGGCTTTTTAGCTCTTGTCCGGTCTACCTCCGTTTTAAGCGCCCGTTATTCCTCCAGAGTCTCCGCTATTTACTTTGTTTTCTTGCTTGTGTCGGCAGTCGTGGCCAAAGGAGGATTCAGACAATTTTCCGAACTTTCTGGTTGGTTTCTACTGTCCGATATTGTAGCACGCTAACTTTGTTTGGGCTCCTGAACGACACGGGGGAGCAGCGTCTGCCTCACAACCAATCAGGTTAGAGGAGGTGGAGAACGGCTTTGTTTACAGACATAAGAGAACACAGAGATATCGATATATTACCAAATTGTCATCAATAACTAATAACTATTGACTGATATTAAAGGATTTTTTTGTAAATACACCACAAAAAAGATGCTTCTTTAACAGATTCCTGTCTACCCCACCTTTAACTCAGACCTGTGCTCATGTTTGTGATGTTTGTGACAGTACGGCGATCAGAAGAAACCGTTTTTTGTGTTCATCCACGTGTCGTGGATCCAAACACAAATCCAGACCCAGGGTGTCAGCTCAGGTGTAAATAGGGACGCTGCTGCTGCTGCTGCTGCTGTAGGTCCCCTGTGCTCATGGTACAGCTGCTTCTTGTTTGCGTTTCCAGCAGCTTCATTACGCTGATCACATCTCACTTCTTCTTCTGTGGAACAACACGCAAACAAAAAGGGCTGACGGGAGCCGGGGGAAGTGAAAATTAGCCCGTCCTGAGGTGTAAACTCCTACTGATTACCGGTGCATTGTTTCAATCAGATAATCAGGCTTCTGCTAACACACACACTCTCACACACACACAGAGGTGAGGACTGACTAGCTGGCAGTTTTTTGTCACTAATAACGGTTCAGTGGTGAGAGGTCCAGGAGAGGAGGTGAAGACTGACACTCGAACCGTCCCTCCTTCTTTTTTTTCCGCTGGCAGCTCTCATCTGCCATGTTGGAAGGAGCGCTGCCATCACTTGGCACCTTATTTATTTTAATTATTTTGATTCCCCGCTCTCCATCTTTGGCATCCCTGGCTCGGGGAATCGCTGATGGCTGACACTCATTTGTCAATCTCACCGCGGCCGCCTGCCAATTATAAAATGAAAAGTTTTGGCGAGGCCATTAGAGGCGGCTCTGGCTGCTTCAGCGGGTGTTAACAGGCGCGTGCGGCGCGTCGCTGCCTCCCCCTGCTCTCTCTCTCTCTCTTCTCTGAGCCCGACGCTCTCAGCCCCGGCTATCAGGTGAGCGTTTGCTCCTCCTGTTTGATGTCCCGCTCGCTACACCCGGATTCAGAAACGCCAAGATCTCATTTTCGCCCCCTTGTATTGCGCAGATTTCTCAACAAACTCAGCAGGAAATAGCGAGCCACAGCCCTTCAAAGTAAAACTAATCAGTCAGGGAAGAGCGGCTGATTTTGCTGATTTTAACGTGTGTGGTTCGAGACAAGTTTTGACAAGAAGCTTCTCCCTGGAAAATCTCCTAACCTGCTGCATCACCTATTCCACAGATTTTCGCTCATTTAATACGAATCACATCTACTTTGCATTCATACTGACACGGACGGAGAAAGCTTTTAGGGGCCCCTGAGGCGAAAACGAGCTGCTAAGCTCCTCTTAACCCCACTTCCTCCTCTTCCTCTCCCCTGAGCGTTATTACAGTACACCTGTGCAGGAATATTACATGATGTCAGGTTAACTATGCAAAGATATTATTTCGTTAACACATCCTGAGCCGAAACTCCAGGAACAATTCAGCCAGGTCAGTGGAAATACATCGCTGCACTTTTAGTCCAAATCCAGGAGGCCAGAGTTTGGATGTGATTTTAAACTTGGTGATAAAATATTTAGCAAAAAAAAAGACGAAAATATATGAGCTATTGATACGCGCTCCGGGAGAACTTCCAGAAACTTTTTAGGAGCTCAGAGATGAACCTGTTCACGCCCTCACAGTGGGAGGCCTTTCTAGTCAATGGGGGGTGTGGGTGGGATCTCAGGAGGTCAAACAGAAGCTGCGGTGCTTCCTCGCCGCTCTTCAGGGTTCAAAATGGCGTTTTATGGAGTAATGGTTCCCACTGAGACGGACTGCTGAGCGGCTCTACAGCATTTTTCAGCCAAGATGCAAAATCGGACAGAACACCGAAACAATGTCAGGGAAATATAATCAGAAGACACTGTTCCACAAACGGTGCACTGATTGATTTGAACTCTTTCAGCTCATTGTTTTCGTTACACATCTCTGAAATATTCTGCACACAAATGCACCGCAGGATCAGGATTTTGTGACTCCTTATTTTGCAAAAAGGAAACGTACAGGATGTTATTTTAGATGAATGCAGTGAAACTTGAGTGCATGCTCAAAAACGATTAAAGTCGGGGTGGAAATCCCAGCGGTTTACACAGCTCTCCCACCGGGTAATTTCAGGACATTATTATTAACTTTCATGTCTTTGCTTGTCCTGAAGGATCTCCAGGTATTCCAGGCCAGATAGGACATATAATCCTGTCAGTGAGGTCTGGGTCTTCTTTGGGAACTGGGGTACCTCTAAGGGAGGAGTCCAGAAGGTATGACTTGTCATGGTGTAGCTCAAGTGCCATGAAAAATACAGGAAGGAGAAGAAAGTTGTCTGTGAACTTTAGATTTTAATGCAATTAAAGAAATATCTGAAAATATAGAGTTTATGTGTTCCTGTCAACGAGAATCACAGACAGAATCAGCAAGAAGGGACAACCCTGACAAAGACCAATGAGGACATGTCTGAGTTAGTTCTGGGTAAACAGACACAGCTTTCATTTTAGTCATACAATATACTAATGCCCTCTTAAAGGGATATTCTGTCGTAAAATTAATTCAGGGTCAAACACACCGTAACACCGAGTTAGACCCCCCTCCAGAGATGAATGTTGCCGACCGCTTGCTTCTCTAGTTATACCAACTTTAGTAACGACCGCAGGATAGAAATACACACCGATTGTTTGTAGAGAGACCTCAGGCCAGTCCATTACGGACTACAGCGGGGTGCCTCAGCTCAAGGAAGAACATTTATGATCATTTCTTCATGGAAATACAATCAGACTGAGACGCTAAGGCAGAAGAACTACCGCGTCTGCAGTGAAAATGATTAATATGATGATTATTACTTCAAGGAAATGATAAAGAAATGATGATAAATGTTCTTCCTTGAGCTGCGTCACCCCGCTGCAGTCCGTAATGGACTCACCCGCAATCGGCTGCTGGAAGAGAGTAGGTGAGTTTTGCTGAAGAAATGAGTCAAAGTTAAAAAGATGTTTGGTGTCTAGTACTATGTCTGTGACCCTATTTGTCCTGTTGATGAAGTAAGGTGCTGTTCTGAGCATTATTTGTGGCTATAGAGTGGAGTTTTGGTTGAGGGCGTAGCTCTCCGTATTGCTATCCTGCGGTCGTTACTAAAGTTGGTATAACTAGAGAAGCAAGCGGTCGACAACATTCATCTCTGGAGGGGGGGGTCTAACTCGGTGTTACGGTGTCTTTGACCCTAACTTGATTTTGCGCCGGAATATCCCTTTAACCTTGTACCCCTCACGAGAACTGTACCGCCCCCATGACCCCAAACGAAGAGCAGAGGCTGTTTCATCACGAGGTCTAAACCCCTCTATTTTACTTGGTTGGTGTTGCGCACCAATCTGTATCAAATGACTCCCAAACACCCGTTCAGTGAGGACTGACTGTATCGTTTACAGAAAACGGAGTGCGTGCAGAAACGCTGCTGTGCCTTTAAATCCTCTCTGACAGATGCAGCTTTGAACTCTGATAAACACACAGTCTGCAGGAGACACAGAATAACAGTTTGTGGAGAAAACACTATTCACTCTGTTGCTAAAGTCGAGCTTGTTAATTAAAAGAGAAGCTTGTCTGAAGGATTAACGACAAGCTCTGCTGTTCATTTCAGAGCCCGCCGCATCACACACCTGCACTGATGGATTATGGGTAAGCACTTTTGTTTGTAGGTTGCATTTTTGTGATGAGACGTTTGATCCGGCAAAAGTGTCAAGTCAGGCAGAAAAGCAGCCTAACAAGACGCCCGCTTTCCTCTGGGTATAAAAACACAGGTTCTCTGTTGTTTCCCTGCAAACGCTCGGCCTCCTTTCATCAGCATATTTTAACAGTCGTACAGTAAAGAACAAAAAGGAGACAAATTGGGGTTCGGGAACGACCAGAGACAGCAGCATTTCTCTTGAATTAGCAAAGCTCCGAGCTTAACAGCGCTGTCTCTGCAGCAGGAAGGTTTTCCCACAAAGCAGCGCCGCTCTCTCCGCTTCCTCGCAGAATAATTGGAGGGAAAACGAAGCGCGGCTTTGAGCGGATGTTCCCTTTGTTTTAAGCGCTGGCTGTAAATATACACATTCATACACTCTGTATTAATGTCACAGCTGTAGTGATCACAGAGCAGTTAGTTCCTACCAGCAGCTGTCAGAGGTCATTAACAGACAGAGTGTGTGTGTGTGTGTGTGTGTGTGTGTGTGTGTGTGTGTGTGTGTGTGTGTGTGTGTGTGTGTGTGTGTGTGTGTGTGTGTGTGTTGTGTGGATCGATAGCAGGGTGATGCTGAGCTGCAGAAGACATGCTGGCTAATTAAGGCCTCTCAGACTGGTCTGCTCACCGTTGGATAATAAAGTTTAAACAAATGTAAATTAACGTGAGCATGTGCAAACTCTGCAGGACTTTAAAGGGACATTACGCGGAATTGGGCGTTTATTTACACAAAGAAAAAAAATGATAACCCAGAAGTTTGTATAAATTAGTTTATATTGAATAAAATGCGATAATCGTTCATTTCTGATATTTAGAAAAAGACTTTTTTATTATCAAAGCATCAGCTTCTCGTACCGGAGGCTGTCATGTTGCAGAACATAATGAGTTTATGCTCTTACCCTTCCTCCTGTATTCAGTTTCACTACACACCCACTATGTTACCAGGTCGGTTTCGATCTGTGTCTTAAATCAGCTGCAAATTATCACAAACTTTATAAATTAATGACACAGAATATGAATGTTATATTCTAATAATATATAATATTTATATGTAAAAGTTATAAGGGGGTTCATGTTTTCTATGATTGACACCTGATACAGCCTATTGGTGTTCAGGGATTGCGTAGCTCACCTGGGAAAGCCAAGCGACTCTCGGCGACTCTCCCACCGAACGCGCAGAATGCTACTGCGCAGCGCTGGTTTCAGGAAATGAAGAAAAATCCTGGAAATACAGAGAGCTTTTTGGCTTCAAATCCGTATACAGGCGGGATGCGGAACCAAGTTATCCATAGTATATACAGTCTATGGTTTATGCTCTTACCCTTTCTCCTGTATGGGTAGTTTTCACTCACATCTGATTGAAATCAATCGGATTAAGTGAATCTGATTCCATCTGTATATCATGCAACTTTAAGTAAAGAACAATTCGCTATCATCCAGTTTGGTTCTCATCTCTAGGTGACCTTGTTCGGCTTCATTATCCATGAAAATATTGATTATAATATTTTTTGTAGTGGGGCTCTGGGCCTTTCTTCTTCAGTATACCCCTCACACAGACATCTATACTGAGTTGATCTCACATGTCTGGACATGCCCAATGTTGTTTTTTTGTGCAAGGAGAAACAAAATGAGAATTTCCTAAATCTCACATGATTGGAAGATGATCTGACTGTCAGTAGCCCCGTTTATATGGGTAGTTTTCCTCAATCTGATTGAAATCAATCGGATTAAGTGAATCTGATTCCATCTGTATACATGAACTTTAAGTAAAGAGATCCACGTTCAGTCCGCGTTTGCATGGCCCCAGCTGAATCCAATTGTATTGTTTTTTTTACATGCGCAAAAGGTCACTCTGCCACTACCTGCAAATGTGTAAGAGAAGAAAAGGCGCACTTCCTGCTTCCTGTTTACCTGTAGAAAGATAGATCCGCGTCGTGTTTTGTTGGGGACGCTTATTGTGTTGTGGTTACATTTATTTGCGGCTCTGAAGTCACAACAGTTAATAGTCCTGAAGCGTCATGTTTGTTTTCATTTGGGCGCACTCTGCGTACGTCACTACGTGCCTCTTACATACTACAGAGCGCCTGCGCAGACCGGACAAGCCTCTCTGTAAACCCAATCCGCTCCACTCAGCCGTATATATGGAGCATGGAGCGGATTATCAATCGGTGTAGACTACTTCTTAACAATCCGAGCCGAAATACAATCAGATCCGGGACATTTTGAATCTGATTGTAAATAGGATTTTTGGACCCATGTAAACGGGGCTAGTGTGGTGCCTGTCAGTGCACATATGATTTCAGTTTTGGCTCTAATTATTGTTTTATAATACAACCGGGACAACAGCGACCCTAACATGACAAGTGCCATAATTTCTACCAGAGCATTTTATGATTTAGTGAATAGATGTTTTTTAATTGTGTTGAAATAGAGGTTCCTGACTCAACGTCAAAAAGGCTCAATGCAAAAAAATAAAATAAAAATGATAATTTATGGGTTCTTTAACACAGGAGGAGGGTTAATATTATGACTTTACTGAGCCGTAGTTCTTGTAGCATTCTGCCTCTAAACTTGCAGCACTAAACTGTCCTTAAATATTTGCCTTTATACGACATGCTGGACGGCAGAGGAGTGTTTTTGTCGAACAGACCGCCGTTCCTCAGGAAAATTCGTCGACTCAACTTTAACATTATTTTAATAACAAACACCCTGAACTCATCCAGAAAGCTGTTTTTTTTCTCTCTTTTTTCGTCTCTGACCTTCAGCAGCTTCATGATTGAGTGAGCGATCGGACGGATGCCGGCTCACAGGAGGAGTTCAGGACAAACAGATTGATTCGCTCTCTGAAAACACTGATGGATCACTGAGAGGACAGACAGCTGTCAGTCTTTTGGAGACACTGTTGCCTGCGGTTCCCGAACTTCGACTTATTTTCACTGTTAAGTACCCTCAACCCAAACTGACTCAATCATCGGGCAGAATTCATTCTTCAGCCGTCCCTCGGCTCGAATCATCTCTGAGCTCCGTCTGTGTTTTGTAACTTCTCCACACTTCCTGCAGATTATTTAACCTGCAGCACTTTCATCACAATCAGGTCCAAGAATAATCTGAGATTGTATGCAGACACCTGTTTGGATTACCTTTCTAACACCAGCTGTCTTGCGTGACTCCATGGTAACCTGTGTTAATGTATAAGTCTGTCTCATAGGCATTAATTTATCCAGTATTCTGCACATCTTTTCATCTCTTTGGTGAGATGTTTGAAGGTTCCTGTGGAGGACAGCTTTGAAAGTGTTTCTTTTTGCTGCGTTTGTTGCAGAGAAAGGCCACTGTCCCATAAAAGAGAAAATATTTTTTAATCAGAAACACTAATTAATAAAATACTTCAGTATTCTGCAACAAAGCGCGGTTCAAAATGTTTTCATGAATGTTGGAGCAAAAACATCTGAGAAAACCTCAAATGATGGAAATACCTTCAGCTAAAATGACTTCATGTTTTGATTAAGATCCAAAAAATATGCAAAAAAAAAAAAAAAAAAGGGGATTTATACTATCAATATTGAATCTTTGGTGGAGGGTCTTTTGGCATTTTCTGATTTAAAATAGCCTCTCTCATCATCTCATCAACATTTTACTTTTAATACACAAATAAGAAAAGCGGTTCTGTTGTCAGTGTCAGAACCAAACGGGCTTTCCCGCTCTCGTCAGAGCAGCTGCTTCCACTTTGTTTTCCAAAGTGAAATCCAGCACAACGGTTCGATAAATCTAATGTAAAAATCCAAGCAGGTGGAAACACCTAGCTGCAAATTAAAAGTCAAAGAGCAACAGTAGCTGCAGGCTGTGTTTAAAGCTGTCTGTTTGTGTTTTTAAATCTGATTAGCAAGTCAGGACCTGAAAATGAGACACTTCGGTGTCTTCACCCCAGCGTGATGCCGCTTTGATTGTTTTCATGAGGAAAGTGGAGCCTAAAAATCCAATAATCTGACAGAGAGCGACCCAAATCTGACTTAAAGGGGGCGCCAAAGTCTGATTCCCTTTTATTTTCAGCTTTTAAACATTTCTGATCTCTGATACAGCTCAGACAGAGAAGACATGCTCGCTCCTGACTGGCTGTGACGGGGACTTCTTCTGTGTTTGTCATCATTCACCTGTTTACTTGCACTCATTTGCGGTTTGACAGGAGCCCCTCGTCTCTACGGAAACCTGTCACATCCAATCAGAAGAAGCAAGGAGGCTGAACGACAGGTGACGAACATGGAGGAAGCATTCAGAGAGGAAAGGATTCACTGAAAAATAAGAGACGTCAGGACGGAGTGAAGGAGCGCCGCAAGATGGACAGCAGGGTGGCAGTATTATTGTTTGTTCAGCTTACACTCTCAACACGTCATGTAGACCGTATTTCTGATCTTTTTGTGTCCTTTTATCGATCTGAAAACATCACCATCTTAGATTTTTTTTAATGTGATGGCTTCATAATTTTCTTTGCTCTCAATTTTGGAGCATGTCAGATAAATCTCACTCACTGAAGAGGAAACACTCCCCAGATTTTTTGTTAATTCCACTGCGTCAAAACCACAAAACTCCAGAGATTCCTGTTAAAATAATTTTGCAGGATTCTAGGGCGTTCAGTGTAAAGTGATGAAAAGTGCAGTTCCCAAGGTGTCCACTTGAGACTGGCTTGATGCAGCAGAAAGATTTAGTTTAGTTAGGCGAAGACCTTGTTTTTTCCCAACAATATAAAACCTTCTTCTTGATGACTTAAAGGGATATTCTGCGGAAAATTAAATAAGGGTCAAACAGATCATAACACCGAGTTAGACACCCCCTCCAGAGATGAATGTTGCCGATTGTTTGCGTCTCTAGTTATACCAACTTTAGTAACGACCGCATGATAGCAATACACAGCGGTCTGGGGAGCCATAAACAAACCTCAACCAAAACGCCACTCTAGCTAGACCTCAGGCCAGTCCATTACGGACTACAGCGGGGTGATGCAGCTCAAGGAAGAACATTTATGATCATTTCTTTATCGTTTCCTTGAAGTAATAATCATAAATGTTCTTCCTTGAGCTGCGTCACTCCGCTGTAGTCCGTAATGGACTGACCTGAGGTCTCGCTACAAACAAGCGTCTGCTGGAAGAGAGTAGGTGAGTTGTGTTTAGTCTCTTTGCTAAAGAAATGAGTCAAAGTTAAAAAGATGTTTGGTGTCTAGTACTATGTCTGTGACCCTATATGTCCTGTTGATGAAGTTAGGTGCTGTTCTGAGCATTATTTGTGGCTATAGAGTGGCGTTTTGGTTGAGTGCGGGGCTCTCTGTATTGCTATCCTGCAGTCGTTACTAAAGTTGGTATAACTAGAGAAGCAAGCGGTCGACAACATTCATCTCTGGAGGGGGGGTCTAACTCGGTGTTACGTGTGTTTGACCCTAAATTAATTTTACGCCGGAATATCCGTTTGAATCCAAGTGATGTACCTAAATGGCCACATACGTGTGAGTTACTGAAGTTGGAGACACATGATCACATGATGAGCTGGCCACTGTCTGCAACATGCAGAAGAAATGTGTTATTTAAACAAAAGTCAAAGAGGAAGAGCGTCCCTGAGTTAACAGGACTGAGTCAATCAATACATCCAACTGAAAGAATTGTAATTGCATAACACGGCGGTGTAAACACACCCAGGTACCATCGAGGAAAGATTCTAATTTAATCAGACAAACTCTCTCCAGAGGTCACAGACACACTTGGCCTTATTAAGAGCAGCGTTAAATGTGTCTTATCTTTAATCTACAGGTGGGAGCAGCCTTAATGAAATTAAAGGAGGAACAAACTCAGACAGGATCATCAGTCAGGATCATAGACTATAAAACACAGATGTAGAAGCAGCGAAACCACCGTTATCGGTTTCTGAGGAGGTGTTTTGAAGCCAGACGATTACTGGTGCTGTGTTTGAAACGCTGACTGAACCTGACCCCAGGTCAGTTTAAGAACAGAAAAAGAGGTGGTAGACAGAAAACTCCTCCACCCACTGAATCATACACCTCTAAGAAATATTTCAAACAGTGGCATACTCAGGATTTTTAAAGGGCAGGTACAAAAATGTAAAACAACATCTGCAGGGCACCTGGGAAAGGGCGCCGAGAGGGGACTTTGTCACATATTATTGACTGGAAGAACAACATGAGGGCACTAAGCTGCATTTTCATTATAGTAAGGGTATCCAGAGGGCGATCTATCACATTTTATCCACAGGAAGGGTATCTAGAGGGCACCATGTTCAGGACTTGACTGTGCGACCATTTCATTTGCATTTTCGAGTAATTGAAGATGTGTGCAAAGTGTAAAATGTATTTAGAGCACATGTGCGCATAAAAAAAATCAGCTGAGGCAACAAATGTTTCTCCTGTAAATACGGCAGTGAAGTTAGTTTTAGGTTGGCAGTGAAGTTAGTTTTAGGTTGGATATCTGACGGACATTCTCTGAGGATCTACCAGTGTCTTCTCACTCTCCATAACCGGGAATAACAACATCAGCGCGGTTAAATCTACTCGACACCCTCACTGTCAACGTCGGTGTTGAATAAGGGACCATCAATAAATTACCGGTTGATGTTCTCAAAAAAAAGTCTGTTTCCCTTCAATAGCCTCCATGTCCATGTGACCAACTGACCTAAAATTGATTTCAAATAATAGTTTTTATGTCGACCAATAAGACAAACATCATTTGATCAATTTTCATTGTTCCCCTAAAGTTCTTTGTGTGCTCCTTAGTTAGTGTCAGGCCCTCATGTTGCATTTTATCTACATTAAGGTTGTCTAGACTGGACTTTGTTGATTATTTTATCGACAGGTTAGACATCCAAAGAGTAACTCTAGTAAAAATCCACCATATGAAAGCCTTACAATTATAAACATCTAAAAATTACAATTACATTATTATTATTATTATTATTATTATTATTTCCTGCCCTCCACGGTCTAAACACACCTGTGCAGAGCAGTGGATTAAAGATATTTATATATTAAACATATAAAAATAATCAAAATGTGCAATATGTATACAGTTTTACAAGATACAAGTATGTACACTATATACAACACAAAATAGTAAAATAGTATGCATATAAACAGTGAGGAGAGTCCAGGTAAAGACGGCTGACTGAGGGTGTCAGAGTCTCTGAAGATCTCGTGGGATCTCCCAACCAACCATTACATCATACGTTGACCTCGGGAAATGTGAAAATGTACAAACGTTTTGTGTCTCTCGTATATTCAGTCATTTAAAAGAAACAAAAATAACCTCTTGATGAAATTAAAACTTAAAATAAGAAAAACCCAGACGTGTTTCTCGTTCCAAAGTCTTGAAGTAAAGTTTGTATTTTTCCTGATGGCCAAACTCTGCCTTACATTATTAATTTGATCTGTTATATAAAGACGTGTGACAGCCAAAAGCAGAAGTAAAATTAGTTTAAATGTCTGGAAGAGAATCAGAGTCAGCTCCCTTCAGATGACAGCAGTTATTTCTGTCTAATTACCGCCAGTCTTTGACCGTGATCCATGTGGAGAGTGTGTGATAGGACATAATGAAAGCACAGCCTGTCCCTCTGCTGCCAATGTAATCCCACTAAATGTATGAAAATAGAAGCTCAGCTATTGTTGGAGTCAGCGTGCCGCCTCAGCATATACCTCCTCTGACACCATTTGGAAGAGGTGCACCCTGGGATATTCTCTCACTGGGACAAAATCCATCTCGATCCATCTCCCCCTCTGGCACAGCGAGGGGAAGTTTGATTGATTTATCAGGCCCGCGTCTCCCCAGCCTCCCTTTAATGAGACAGTAATAGCCCACGGTCGGCAGGCACTCCAGAGACGAATGCGAAGGAGAGGCGAGCGGCAGAGAACCGAAATGTGGACAGAATATGTAACCCGAGGTATAATCAATCCAACACACACTTAGAGAGCGAGAGTGAGGGGAGGAAATGAGAGAGATGGCCGGAGTGAAGATGGAGAAAGTGTGAGAGGGCGGACTATTAGGAGGACGATGTGACAGAAGCAGCCGGTAAAAGAGGAGAGAGCAGAGGGGGCGGTGGAGAAACGGATCAAAAGTAAGAGAAGGGAGTGCTGACTGAAATTACTGCTGCTGGCTGAAATCAGCGTGTTTAAGCCTCATTTTAAACCAAACTTTGAATGAAACAGATATTTAGGAGTCTGAGTAACTCAAAGGATTCAAAGTTTCACATTTCAAAGAAACTCGACTGACCGCAGTGAATCCTGTCAGGTGTTACGCCTCGTTTCGACTTCGTGTGTGCACTAAGGCGAGTTAACTAAGAATCATTCATTCCTATGTGAATTCCTGTGAAGCTCCTCCCCTCTGTAGTATTTCGCTCTATGATCTACTGTGAGTGACTTTGATATAATCATGAATAACCTCAGAGACACCGTACGACTGCGCACTGGTTCCCAGACAGTCGCTCGTTTGGTTTTCCAGTGCGATGGTATGATTGGACATTTTCTTCATCGCAGCTGCTTTTGTTTTGACTTCCCTGTGAGCTCACATGATTAAAATATCCTGGTCATGAAGTGATGACAGTCTCTTTCTCTCACCCTCGTTCTCTATTCTCTCTCCCTCCCTCTCCCTTACTCTCTCTCTCTCTCTCCTTCCTTCTCCCTTGTTCTCCTTCTCTCCCCTGCCCTCTCTCTCTCTCTCTCTCTCTCCCTCTCTCTCTCTCTCTCTCTCTCTCTCTCTCTCTCTCTCTCTCTCTCTCTCTCTCTCTCTCTCTCTCTCGCTCTCTCTCTCTCCTCCCCTGTCTCTCTGTATTCCTCCCCAACCCAGCACCCGCCTGGTGACTGTCTAGCATGAGTCTGGTCCTGCTCAAGGTTTCTGCCTGTGAAAAGGAAGTTTTTCATGTTAGATGAGATGGGTTAAATCTGTCCCATCTTAAGGTTGGGTCTTGATAATTCATCAAACAATGAGCGTGGTCTAGACAAGAAAGAATCGTAGGATGACGGCTGTTGTGAATTGGCGCTTTATCAATAAAATTTGATTGAATTTAATTGAAAGGAAGTTATTCTGCTATAATATGGACAAAACTAATGGTGGATTAAATATGACATGTAACTCTTTACTTAGTATTTAATTAATTCTTTAATTTATTATATCATAGTGCAGCATATTGTATTATAATGTTGTATTTAAATGAAGAAAAGGCAAACTATCAAGAGATAAATATTAATTCACCTCCCCGTTACGATCTATTGATTGGTGATCTAAAACTGGGTTAATGAGGCCAAACAGATCTCAAACAGATCCACTTACATGTGAACAGGGTTTCAGTCATGTACTGTCATATAAAGTTTAAGGCCCACCTTGAATTATTCCAGATCTTTCCTCTGAGTATGTCTCAGACTGTCCCCAATATAAGTCTGGCTCCTCTGGGGGTTCTTAATATCCATCTTAAATTTCTTGGGTATTTAAATCATGAATGTCTAAAGTTTGTGAGTTTCATACTCGAATGATTAAAGGAGATACTTCAGAATATCAACCAACTGACGGTCGAACATCGTCAGCTTTAGCAGCGTGAGCCTGAAATAACCTTCGTACGAACAGCAGACAGGAGAAGAAGAACAGATCAGAGGAGGGGAGAAAGAGGGGAGAAAGAGGGGAGATCAGCAGACAGAAAGACAGACATACAGACAGGCAGGCAGGCAGGCAGGCAGGCAGCAGGTAGAGCAGGCGTCTGCTGATTGCCAGCAGCAGTCGGTCACTGCAGCCTTTAATTAAAGTCACTCTCCTGGGCTCTTAAGCAACAGCTTGCAATTTCCACAGACAACAGCAGCATGGCACTGAGCTGGGATGACCTGTAATTGTCTGTGGGCGATAGTGTGTGTGTGCGCGTGCATGTGTGTGTGCATGCGTGTGTGTGATGGGGGGGTGGGGGGGTAGCCTCCCTGCCAACCTGTGATTTTCATGGGAATTAATGACATCCTAGTGGGAACATCATTTCCCTGACACTGCTGGCCCTGAGGGGAAAGGTGAGGCGCTGACCTTTGTGTCGGCTCCCCCCCTGCTGTCTGTCTCCATTTTGAAAATGTGAAATGTTGTGGAGCAGGAGATGGAACAAACAGCCTCGGGTATTAAAATGCAGGATGTAAGCAGGAAAAGTCAGGATTGGGCATCGCGGACTGCCATTTGTCGTCAGAAATCCCTGTGGGAACCGGCTTTTTAGAAAAGGTCAGCTTTAAGAGATGTGTTCAACACAAAGATCTTTTCCCCGAGGGCCGTACGTCCATCCAGCAGCACCAGCAGCAGCTTTGACCACGTGACGTTTTCTCATTTTTAATAGTATTTCATAAACCTGAGGGACTTGGTCTCACAGGTAAATAATTTAAATATGAAGGCGTCTTTTTAATGCTGATCATTTTAGTAATGAAAGGTGTGTTTGTCAGGCCAACATTTAAAAACATGATCCTGAGTAATTGTTGATTCCTCATTAAAAGTTGTTTTCATAATCGGAGCGTGGTAGACAGAATGATTGGGAGGGAAATTTTGGTCGAAGAAACATTTACGTTATTTCACAAGAAAGAATCAGCAAACTTTAAAAGACGTATGAAGGAAACTGTCTGCTCTTTATTAAATCTGGAATCACAAAATTCTTGATTTAAAACATCTGAACTGATTCAAAACTTTGCTATTTATATATTAAACTCCAAGAGTCCATTAACTGTTTAAGTTTGTGAAAACGGCATGAAGAGCAAGTTTAGAGCGAAAACCTCAGACTGACTGTGCACCAGAGCATGACACGGGAGCGGATTTTCACTCCTGTCCCGTCCCAGAGAAAAAATCCTGTCCCGTCCCAATCCCGGACCGGAGTAAAAAAATTTGTTGTGTCCTGTCCCACTTCCATCCCACACCCACTCAAAATTACTCCCACTCCTGTCCCGCTCCCGTTTGAATAAAATCAAACATGTCGAAAAAACGTTGCATTTTTTTATTTTACGTAAAAGTGACAGCCGAGTCGGAGCGGCAGTCGCTCCCGGCGACACCAGCAGCCGCTCCGAGTCGCTTTTCACTTCCAGTGGCAACAGGAAGTCAACCCACTGTTGTAGTTCTTTTGTGTTGCTAGCGCGGTCAAGAGTGTCAACTCTCACTGACAAATGACTACAAAAATGGACGCATCTGTTCATCTGGTTGTTAAACAAATATGGCTGAAAATGATCATCTATTAATGTTGTTCCCTTTATTTTCCCGTCCCGTACTGGGACATTGAGCAGCTTTTGTCTCCTAAGTACAATCTAGACCTGCTTTTTGTGAAGCAAATTGGTGCTATAAATAAAGTTTGATTGACTGATTGATGGACAACCATTAACATAAACAAGAGCCAGGAAGTGAACACACGGCAGACCTGCGATAACAGCAATGACTCGATGTAATTGGTCTAAAATTAACATTACTACTGAATTCTCTGCACAGTTACATCCACACACTCGCAGGAATGTAAACACAGATCAGGTGAGTCACTGGAAACAGTGTGTTAGACTCACAGCTGTTAGTTTCTGAAGGATTCACACACCAGAGAAACCATACAAATGCAGCCATGTTTATCCTCTTTACAGTGCTTCCTTTACTTCCTGCTTCCTGTTCAATGCACCTTTGTCAATTTCAAAATAAAAGCATGAAAATCTGCACATATAACGACACAAACGCTTTCTCACAGGTGACCTTTCGCTGTCTGACTTTAATATGTAATTTCAGACCTCTGCCAACACGTGTTATATAAACCTGACTCGCTCTACGTCGCGCTTTAAAAGCTCCCGGTTGAATACAGGAGATGTCAAACTTCTGCCCTCGTTTGTTACCGTCTTTGTGTGACAGAGTTACCTAGGCTTTTTAGACTTTTCTCTTTTTTTCTTAAACTTTCAAAGTGACACAAAATAAAACGGCTAAAAATACAGCCGACGACAAACAGCTCCCATGTTCCCTGTTGTAAAATTACAGCTTTTGTCAAGAGTTTGGCGGCTTTGAGAGAGCGAAAAAAAAAAAAAAAAAAAATGGCCGATTTTGGTTCATGAAAATAAATTACTGACTGAAAAGTCTGTCAGCAGGAGTCTTTTCTGAAAGACGCTTGGTTGCAGACAGAAATTTTCCAGGGCTGAAAGCACTGCCACTCCTGAACACTAAGTATAAACTGAAGTTGATGGGCAATTTCTCCAAAAATATTGAAAAGCATTACAATATGGGTGAAAATGAGTATCCAGCTGAAGAGGAACAAAACGCCTGAAAACTTTTCTGTTTTCTTCTGAAGCCTCGGAGCTTAAACCCAGTTTAAAGTCTGCAGAGTGAGCGGTTGCATCACGTTGAAGAGCATCTTACAGCACATTACAGACAGGACGGGACAGAGACGGCGTGCAGCAGCCTCCACCGTCCTGCTGGCCGTCCGTACCCAGGGACCTCATTAGTCCGAGCGGGCTGCTCCTTGGTCACCGACGGCTCCTTTGAGGGCGACGCGAAGCCACGGGGTCCAGCTTCTTACCCACTGAGGGTTCAGCGCTGAAAGGCCAGAGCAGTGACCTGAGACTCCAAATAGTCTGTCTGCCTCGCTGGGACAAATCAGGAGGGAGGGCGACACATCGGCGTGCTGCGACACATCGGCGTGCTGCGACACACCGGTTTTGTGTTCATAATAAACCAGCAGGTAGATGCATGGAGAGCCAGCAGCTGAGCCTCAAACATCCGAGTTTACCGCCCACAGACTTTGTTTGTTAAGGAAAGTTCTCCTTCAGAAGTGACCCCTCGTCTGAAGCTGATTCCTGACATGATTTTACTCAAATATACACATAAACCTTTTGAAATGTAACTCTGGGTAGTCCTCATTCAGCGGAGGATCGCTACCACCGACCCAGAAAAGAGGAAAACCAAAGCAGGTTTTCTTCAGATGAGTAGGGATGGGGATCATAAATTCTGATTCATCCTGATGTCTTTATTGAGTCCTTGTTGGTGCAGCTATCGCGTCTTTGCTGTTATTTGGAGGAAACACATTAATACCAGTCAGTTGACCACTCAAATGAGATTCATGAGAAGAGACCGGACTCTATGAGAGGGTGCCTGATGTCTAGGCCTCGTAAAGGAGCAGTACGTGCTGAAAGTAGCACCTGCAAGGCTGCAGCTGGAGAAAATTGCATCAGTCTAGGATCGTGTTGGGCGGTATGAACAAAATCTTATATCACGGTATGTTTTTTCTCCTGTAAATTCAATTAATGTCTTAAAAAATAACCGTACTGTCGCATTTGTTCATTTTCCAAATGCAAACAAAATGTCCGACCAGTCTGGCGATCTTTTTATCACGTGACGTATCTTTGGAGAAAGACTCGGCCAAACTCTTTAGTCTGAAGGAGCTGCTGCAGTTTAAGTTTTTGGTGCAGCAGGTGCGTCACGCATCTTCTGTCTCTCATAACAGAGTTTGACGTGTTTCATCTTAAGGTGGTGGAAGAGGCTGTTGGTGTTTTGCGTAGTTTTGTTTTTTTGATCATTGTCAGAATTTCTAACTCTGAAGAATCTCAAGACAACCGATGTCACCCTTTTTCTGAGCTAGTCCCTCCTCCTCTTCCTTCTGTTGGGTGGGTCGGGCTGCCTTTATTTGATTGGTGGCACCACTAATCAGGGCCCAACCGATCTATCGGTGAGCCGATTAAATTGGCCAATTTTAACCCATTTGAGACTAATCGGTAATCGGCCAAAACTCGCTGATTTTCGCCGATATTTTCAGAAATAAATTGCGGAGAATAAGATTCAGTTTCACTTCGAAAATGTTCCTCCATTTGAAAAGTTCCCCGACTTATCCAGTAGATGGCGCAGCAACCTCATGTACAATCTTCATCCACTAACTACCTCACAGCACAGCAGAGTGACGGATCTGAAGCAGGCAGCTCAGGGACGCACGGAGGAGAGCGGTCCGCCTCAACGGGAAATAAACCAGTTTGTTTCGTACACAAGAAGTCAACAAGTTTCGGTCAGTCGATCTTTCTGTCGGCGTGAAGAGCAGTAGCCTACAGTATATCTACAGTATACTATATACTGTAGATATCGACAGTTTATATATATTTTATAACTTTATAAAAAATATTAAAAAATGGCCGATTAATCGCTAATCAGATTTTTTCCCCCCTAATAAATATTATCGGCATTGGCCCCAAAAAATCCATATTGGTCGGGCCCTACCACTAATCTCCGTGTCTGCCATGACGACCACCAGTGAAGGTGATTCTTCTTCGTCGACATGATGCCAACCAGTCTGCTGGACATGATGGTGATTATAGGGAGCGCACCCAAACCTGACCAATCAGACGGAGCGAACAAACTCCACATGACACGCCGGTGAATATACGGAAACACACCCAAACGGACATGCTCCAGCTCCAAGATTTCTACAGGTAGAAACTTGTATACCGTCACAGTGTTTATACCGTCATTGTTGCCTGCAAGATCTGTACATTGGAACATGATTATCATGGGAGCAGGGAGGTGCTGCATGAGCGTTTGAGGTGACAGTCGTCTCAGTGGTCCAGTCAAAGCTTGTATGAGTTAAATGGTAGCTAAGTGTATTCGCCGCAGTGATTAGAAAAGCGTTAATATCAAACTCTAAATCCTGTGTCCGTTTGGTGCCGTCTGAAAGATTCAGAAAGATGAAGATCCAGCTTTTCTTTACACATCCAGATATAACCAACAGAGCGGCGTTTACTCCATCCTTTTGTGAGATATTTGTCCTCTTTAAATTCTCACTCATTGTTCTGTCCATCACTTCTCTGACAAAATAAGAAAATCTGCAGAGTGGAGTGTCTTTCACTCAGACAGACGGTATTGTTCCTCTGTAGCTCACATCTCAGGGCCTCGCTCTCTCTTTTCTCATTCATGCTCGTATTTGAGGCTGAATGTTCAATGGCGTGTGACCTTTGTGGGTTCATTATTCGGCCTCATTTACCCGCGCTGTGTTCTTTATGCACCGATCTATAAGCATGGCCTCCTGTCTGTTACCGGCCTCACTGTTACATGTCCAACACAGCCCGCTCTGCACCGCTGCCTTCTGTTTCCTGCGCTGTTGCCATGGTAATAATCAGCTTCATTTGTCCATTCATACACCAAAAGGCTATTAGCGCTCAGGATATGAAGATGCATGTAAACAAATTATCCTTCTCTTAAATTGAACAGGATATGAAGCGAGATCAGAGGACGTCGGTGCATTTGTCTAAAATTAATTTCCATCGCTCTCATGTGACCTCGTTTGACCCCGCTGTTTCACACTGATAAACCCAAAAGGCTGCATCCGTCCTTTGACATTTTTCATGCACAAACAGCACATTGCAGAAAAGTAACTGTTGAAGATTATTGCAGAGTTCTTCGGTTGACTAAAAGTGTCAAGATTTGCAGGATATCTTCATCTTGAATCCGCTGCAGAAACTCAGAGACACAGTCAAGTTATTTCAGCAGGAGGATCTCTCCGAAGCTACAGCTTATTAAAAAACAAAAGCGTACTTGTGTGTACTTTTGCGATGCCAGAAAAGCTTAATCACTCATCTTCTCATAACAAGGCAGTTAAAAAAAAAAAAAACCTCTCTGGATATCTCTGTGTCGACTAAGTATCTCATGATGGATCGCTCAGCTAATCGTCTGCGAGGAGGCAGCCTTTATCAATCTGTTCACAGAGATGATGTAACTTTGAGAACAATAGATGCAGACAGGCTGTTTAAAAGCATGATTTATTAAAGTCGAGACAATTTTAGCTCCATGTAGGATGATTTTACTGGAATTAAGCGGGGCTGTAATTGCTGCCTGGAAAGACAAAACTGAACAGAACAATCTTTAACTTGGCCCAGAGTTCTGGAGGAGGACATAAAACGTACTTTTTAGTCTCATTTATATGAAAATGATCCACAGAATTTCCACTAATGCTGCATTAAAACTCACTGTTACACAAACAGCTACCATCTGACTGAGTCGCTGCGTCGCTCTCTTTCATTCTTTGGTTTATAACTTTTCACAAACTTCACACTTTTTATTTGAGTCTCGGTGATGAGCATTATAAACATTTATATGTTTTGATTCGTGTAAATAAAAGCCTAATTAATCCATTTATTAATGCTGATAGGCTCTTTCTTATGAGAAACTTAAGAGTTTATATACAGTTTAGGCCAAAACTATTCCCCCCCCCATGAAATTTTAACTTTTGATGTTTTTACACAGCTTTTCCAAACATCCTAGTTTTATTTTAGATCCTTACATTATTTTACTTTGCAGACAGAAACAAAATTATGTCACAAAAAACAAAAACTACCAGGGTCAAAAATATGAGCCCCCCTCAGGCTAATGCGTAATGAGGTTTTTAAACTGTGTGTAAATTGAGGACAACCCTTTGTTTTAACATAATTGATTGATTGATGACAAGCTGTGAGCGCTTGAAAGTGAAAGCACATGATTGCACAACAGTGGTTTTGGTTTTGGATCAATAAAAACGTCAAATCTTAAGGGGGCGAATATTTTTGACCCTGGTAGTTTTTGTTTTTTTGTGAAATAATTTTGTTCCTGTCTGCAAAGTAAAATAATGTAAGGATCCAAAATAAAACTAGGATGTTTGGAAAAGCTGTGTAAAAAAATCACGAATCTGTTGAACAGCACAGAAACTTAAAATTTCACAGGGGGGCGAATAATTTTGGCTTCAACTGTAGCTGTTAATGTCAAAAAGATGTTTAGTACTCATGAGGATCTTGTTTGCACTTACAAGACCTAATTAACTTTAATTAGATGTTATTTAACATGATTATGAAGGTTAAGATTAACGCCTCTGCAAAGATGCATTGATAACTATTGATCAATCAATCGTGACCTTTAAGTTTATTAACATCTTATTAAATTAAAAGGTTTAATATCCATTAAAAGTTTTTACTAACTTCAAATGATGTTTAGCAAGATCATCGACATTGATGACAGTAAATCAACAATTAACAAGTTTCAAATGAGATAAATGTGTTTATTATGTTTCAATTAACACTTACAAATGTTTATTAGCACCTTATAAAGTCTAATATGGGGCAGTTTAACCTTTTATTGTTGGTTATAAAAAGGAAATAATATTTCTGTTAAAACGAATTTGAAAACTTCTCTTTGCTCTTTTTTTAAACGTCAGATTTAAAATGTCGAAAACAGGGGAAGAAAAAAACGTCCAAACATTATTTATAAAATGCATAATTTGCCGATAAACGCGTCGTTCAGAGACGCTCTTGTCCTCTGTCTACACGTTGGATCAGGACGCAGCAGCGCTGAAGGTCGTCTCCTCCACCGCCTCTGCACCACCTGACATTTTATCAGCTCCACTACAAGTCCAGAATGTCAGAAATGTTTTCTTTCTTATTCCTCTCCCTCCAGTCTGCTCCTCATTTTCAATCTGCCGGTGTACAGTGTTTGTGTTGCATCTACTTTCCAATCGGAGCGTGCGACCTCAGTGTCACTTCGTTTCTGACGAAGCAATCAGGTAAAAATGGCTCTGAAATGGCAGATTACTTCAGACGGAGCGGAGAGCGCGGGACGCAGGCGGACTGCAGGCAAATTGCCTCTTTCAGCACTTAAATAAAGGCGGGAGGTCAGGAGAGGCTGAGTGAGAGGCTTCACACACACACACACACACACACACACACACACACACACACACACACACAGCGTCCTCATCTTCCTCCGTCTCTCTGTCCTTTCTCTCTCTTTCTCTCTCTCTCTCTCTCTCTCAGTCCAGTCCTATGAATCTTGATTGACATGATGTCCTGAGAAACAAGATTCAGATCAGTGTCTCATCACCAGACGGATGTTAAATTTTTCTGTATTGAAATTTCGCTCGTCATTTTGAAGAGGAGAGAAAAAAGGAAAAAGGGCGTTTGAATCCTGACGCTTGTTTCCCACGATCCAGCGTCTCTGTCCTCGAGGGTTAGGGGCCCCTGAGGGGAAGAGACTTTTGTTTTTGGTCCTGCTCAACACATTTCCTCTTCGGTATTATGCAACACTACGCAAACAGATAATAGGTTAAAATAGTTTGTATCAGAGACCTTTGTGTACCAGATTCACAAACCCCAAACACAGCCCAAACTCGGTCTTTTTTCTATTTTTCGTCTCTTTGATTAACGTTATAAATATTCAGATTTCCTCCAGGAGCCCACAAGCAAGGACGGAGCCAGGGTAACAACTTTGTCAACAACTGCGTGAGCAAAATCTCCAACAGTTTACGACGTTTCGTGACGTACAACTGCAGGAAATTAAGGATTTCATCATCCCGATCAGTTATCTCCAAACTATTCCACAAAGGGCCGGTGTGGCTGCAGGTTTTTCTCCCAACCAACAGCAGCGCTCCTGACTCGATTCATTTTATCAGCTGATCTCAGTCTTCAGACAGCTAATTGGTCAGACTGCTGCTCTTGATTGGTTGTAAGAATAAACTGCAGCCACACCGGCCCTTTGTGGAATAGTTTGGAGAAGCCTGATCTAGATGATGAAATCCTTAAATTCCTGCAGTTGTACGTCGTGAAACGTCGTAAACTGTTGGAGTATTTGCTCACGCAGTTGTTGACAAAGTCGTGAACCTGGCTCCGTCCTTGCTTGTGGGCTCCTGGAGGAAATCTGAATATTTATAACGTTAATCAAAGAGACGAAAAAGACCAATCCCTTTAAAAGAGGCGACGTGAGATCCCTGATCAAACATTTCACTCATGTTTCCGTTGAACATCAGCATGATCCTCCGCCGGGCCTGTAAAAGTCCTAACGACTCCTGATTACCCTGAACATTTCATCTCCTCCTCCTCCTCCTCCTCCTCCTCCTCCTCCTCCTCTTCGTCTGCAGCCCCAATCATCAGACCAACCTCTGTCAAAGACAACAGAGCAGCAACCCGCCCTCCCGCCGCCACCTCAGATACACCAGGAACAAATTAACCATCAGAAACCCTTCCTCGCACACACACACACACCTCACCCTCCTCACCCTCCTCACCTCTCGTTCTCTCTCCCTTCATCCACCCGTCACCGTCTTTGTCCCCCGTCCCCGGCTGCTCGCCGCTCTTCTCAGGTTGCTGCTGCTGCTTACAGAGACTGTCGCCGAGTCGTCGTTTGACATCTATTACAGTTAAGGATCACCCTGGCATGTGTTCACGCCGACAGACTCACACACACTCACACACACTCTCTGTCACACCTCTCTTAAGGCCAGGAGAGCTAATGACTGACTGAGATAGCCGGGCTTTAAAAAAGAGAAAAAGGGAAGGTGCCAGAAGATGATTCATCGGAGCCGCTCCGAGATGACTGACGGCTGATTTATGATTCAGCGGCGAGCTGTGAGAGCTTAGAGTCATTTCCTCCCATTTCTTATTTTAATTCCTCTCCGCAGGTGAAGGCAGGAGGGATGGGAGCCAATTATCTTAAGTGTCTTCTTGCTCTCTGTCAGCCGCTGACAGTCGCTGCAGAAACTCTGAGGCTGGCTTGGAGAACAGGTGACTGCCTGCCGCTACCGCCACCGCCATCGCCACTGCCGCCTCCACCTGTATTACAATCAGCCTCAGGTTTTGCATTAGCATGGTGGCATGCAGCTCCAATAAATAACACCTGTGTGTGAGTGTTTGTGCTTCTGTTTGACCAGGAGAATAACAGGGTTTCTGCTGTTTATGTTGTTTGTTGGAAACCAATTTACAATTCAGATGCAGAAATATATCCGCTCCTCCTGCGTCTCAGAGAGTTATGTTGAAAATATACATTTTTACCGAGCAGTGTTGTCTCAGATCACATATTCTCTGTACAAAGGAGTGGTCAACATTCCCTTCTTGTAACACAAACAAACTTTGTTCACAGACAACAAAAGTGATTTTGAGCTCATGCGGTGACTCCCACTGCAGAATCGTGTCTATTTTAATGCTGCCTGAGGACCTGGACGTCACAGCTGTCTAGTATCAATCAATCAATCAATCAATCAATCAATCAAAGTTTATTTATACAGCACTGTTCATACAAATGAAATTGCAGCTCAAAGCGCTTTACTTCAGGACAAGAAAAATAAAACTTATTAAAATAGATTAAAACAGACAATAAAATGTAAACTTGAATTTATCAATAAAATAAGGTAAAAAGTGATACTTAAAAAAAATAAATTATAATAGTAATTAAAATTAAAATAGAGTAGATAAGAACAATTAATTTGGGTACTTTCCCCTTTTACTTTGTGTCTATCTGAACTGACTAAACTTGATAAAAGAAGAAATCGAGAACTAAATCGAACCGCCACCTAAACTGTGACTTTTTTTGATCAGCGAGGTAACGTTTAAAAATATCAAATTTTATCGCCAGCTCACTTGGATTCCAGTCCCTGCTTGGAGTTCTGCATCAGTTCCTCCCTCTGTAGACCAGTACCAGAGACTAAAACCTGAGTGTTGTCCTGGTTGAGCTTTAAATGATGCAGAAACTAAAACACAGTCATCAGGTAACACGGCAGTATAAATCTGTGCGTCCTCTGAAAGTTGATATTAATGTTGGGTTGAGTCAGGACATGATTTCTGTCTTTGCCGTCCAGGTAGATCCAGGTCCATTAGATCTGGACTCTCAGCAGTTACACGGACGTTATCTGGTCTTAAGCTATTAAGAAGAAATTCCCATTTACTGCTACTTATCAACCAAAAGGGGGCGTGGTTTCGACTGCGTTCATCTGCTGGTCTCGATCCTCGTCATTCTTGTAGTTTTCCCAGTTTCTCAGTTTGCGTCCTGCGTGTGAGAGGTCTGCAGTGATGTAACCTGCACATTTCCTGACCCTGGATGGAGCGCAGGTTGGCCCTGATGATTTTCTCCACAGTCCTGATTGTCCGTTGAACTGTTCCTGTTCCAAACTGAACAGTGATGAATGTGCAGAGGACAGACTGGATGTTGGCGTTGTTGAAGTGGATCAGCAGCTCCTGAGGTTGATTTTACTACCAGAGTTTTGCGAGAAGTTCAACCTCCGCTGGGAGATGGAGTCTTTGTGGATGGTCCATTTCAAGTCTCTGCATCCCTGTTCAGGACTGTGAAGGGGGCAAGTGAAGGAAGGATCCTCCTAAAGTTCACTGTCATCTCCACAGCCTTGAGCAGGTTCATCTCTAGATGGTTCTGACCACAGCAGAGGACCAGGTGACCCACTTTTGACTCATCACAGTCTCGGATGAGACCGGTGACTTTGGTGTCGTCCACGAACATCAGGATTTTGACAGACAGGTCCCCTGAGGTGCAGTCGTTGGTGTTAAGGGACCACATCACCAGGGGGCGCCAGTGCTGATGGTCCAGGTGTTGGATATGATGTTCCTCAGCTTCACCTGCTGCCTCCTGTCTGTCAGGAAGCTGTTGATCCACCGAGGAGCTCAGCCTCTCTGAATGCCCCTCTTTCAGCCGTGTTATCGTGGCAGATGATCCTGAGTATTTCTTTAATTCGATGTATCACAGTACGACACAACATTTAAATGTTGTTTTGCATTATTTCCAATGAGACAAAGGGGTTCGATGATTTGCACACAATCGGAATCTGTGCTCATCCGCTCAGAGAAACCAAAGGGTGGCATCACTGAGTCTTCATCCATTTTAAGTAGATGTTTGTCACTGGAGCGGAAATGTTATCCGGGAAAGTTTGTATCTCTGAGGGCCGCGGTTTTAAAAACTGCAATTCTATCATTTGAGGAATTTTGTGTTTTTTCTCTTCCTGAAAACTTTCAACCAGTCTCCTTGAAGACTTGAGGACTCGAGTCCTTCTAAATGTTTAAATAAAGATTAGTTTCGCTGGTTGGAGCCAGAATAAATCCAGTGAAAGATGTAGCGGCGTGGAAGAGACGGCGCATCGCTCCATCTATAACCAGAGGCCTCCCCTGTCACTTGCCCCGCCATCCAATATACTCCAATCAATTTACCCTCCACTGCAATTCAATGTGACAGTAAGACAAATCGGACTTCCAATGTAAAATAATTGAAACAGACGCTTATTTGAGTGTGTGAGGGAGGCCGTATTCTGCATCAGCCTAATGCACTGCGTCTGTCCGTGTCAGAGATGGATTGTGGTGTCAGAGTTACAGATAAGCCTCTGTTTAGTTAGCCCCGTTGGGAGGGATGAACATTGTAGTCATATTAAAGATAACAAGTGTTTTTATCCACGTCACACACCGGCGGAGGGGAGGAGGAGGAAGACGCTTGTATTTTGTCAAGTGAATTGTAATTGCTATCCACCAGAGGACACATAATTGAAAAATTGGAACAGAGCAAAAAGTCAACGGCGTCTGCGTTGTAAACAAAGATTTGACCAAATCCTCCGCGGTCGTGGGCGGCCGACATCACAGGCTCTGGGAAAAAAGAAAAAAAAAAGAAAAAAAGGCACAGAAGAGGCTCGGCTCTCTGAAATCCACTTTTACAAAAAGGAAAAAATAAAAGGTCTTTGGTTAGGGGATTAAACGACACACATAAACACACATTTACAGAGCCAAAGAGCGAGAGAGCGAGCCGCTGTGTTTGGTGCCAAACAGAGCTGTGTTCCAGAGAAGAAGAAGAAGTGGTGCTTGAAGAGAAAAAGGTTTGCGGGGGGAAATAAAGAAGGTGAATTTGGATTGATGTGAATCACACTCGCTGCTCTGCCCTGGAGCTCGTCCAGCGCGGGATGAATCGCCTACCTGTGTCAGAGAGGATGTGTGAGAGCAACATCCAACAACAACAACAACAACAACCACCACCCTCCACCCCCTCCACCAACCACCATTACCCACCGCCCACGCCTGCCTGGCCGCCGGCGTGTTACAGCGAGGATTAGATCGTATAATCAAAGACATTCCACCTTCAGACTGGCACAACCTCCGGGTCTCCCTCTTCTTCTTCGCAGGGAGCCAAACTGTGAGTCAAGGAGGACGCTGGGAAAATAAATGGTCATGGACGGATTGCAGCAGCCGAGCTAAACCCACACACAGCTAAGGGAGCGCTCAGCAGAGGTCGGAGGTCAGGTAAACTCCATGACACTCCTCGCTAGCCGGCTAATCCAGCAGAGGATGAGGAGGTTTTTTTTGGCAGTGGGCGGCTAAACAGGCGGGCAGCGAGGTTAAAGCATGTTTCCGCCCAACTGTAGCATCTGGAGACGTGACCGGCGTTGTTATGATGCAGCGTGTCAAAAGCTGAGGCGAAAGGAGAAACAAACGGGGGCGGCGGGCTGCACCAGCGCCCCCTGCTGACAGCTTAGACTGACAGTCTTGATGTTTGTATGAGAAAATAGACGAACCTGGACCTGAGCGTGAACCCTGAAGTGGGACACCAGAAACTGGACTGTCAACGGTGATACCAGGAAACGATTTAAGAATAAATTCACAAATCAAGATTCATTAACCTTGATTCTGGATTTAAAGTAAAAAATACACAAATTTGTCTTAAATTTACAGTTTAGCTGATAGATGAGGGACATTTTTTTTCCCCTGGTACAGGAGTTGACATTAACGCTATGTGACGCTGTGCAGAATTAAAGTGCGGTACGTCTAATTTGTGAATCAAAATACTTGATCTGATGTTATGTAACTCTGTGAAAGACTCAGAGTCTCTCGTATGATTTGCACGGCCTCTTTCCTCTCAGAAATTCATGAACTGATCACAAAGAGTCCACAGGGAATAAGTCTGAAAACACGTCCGTGACTCTGTGCCGAGCAAAAACAAAACATTCGTTTATAAATGCGACCTCAGTGTGTACAGTTCAGATTTTATTTAAATTACAATCACATTTAATGTTAATTAATGCTAATGCATGATTTAATGGAACAAACAGCACTGGCAGGGGTTGTAATTAAGCACAGCACAAGCCTGAGTGTGTGTGTGTGTGTGTGTGTGTGTGTGTGTGTGTGTGTGTGTGTGTGTGTGTGTGTGTGTGTGTGTGTGTGTGTGGTAGGTGACTGCACTTTTAAGAGAAATCAAAAACTGTGTTCCTGCTGCAGCGACACGGACTCTGTGATCCTCGCGGGTCAGCGTCACCAACAGCAGCGCTAATGAGGCCAGAGGTCAAAGGTCACTGCAGACAGAAGACAGGACAAACTTTCCTCTGACCTTGAGTTCACGATGAAAGCTGAGTCTAAACCGGACGAACCGCCGAGGTCAGAGAGCGAGGTCACTCTCAGAGCGGCTCTCGATTGGCTGACTGGTTTGGGCGGGCGGAGACGATAAGAGGACATTTTCAGGTTATAGTTTCACGTTAATTCTCATCACTCGTAGTTTAGGATTTTGGGGTGAGTAATCACATTTAAGGGGGGACCCTGAATCCGCCCCTGACACCTTTATCTACCCTCCTTAAGCAGCGCCGTGATCTTCGCGATGTTGGGATAAAAATCTGAAATAAGGAGATTATCCACGAAGTCTGAAGTCACGTTAATGTGCGACTTAAGTGCAACCCGCGTCCTCGAGTCCCTGTTTCTGCACTGTGAATCTGGGTCCCTCTGTTATTGTCTCTCCCTCCTCCGACACTTTTGCTCACTCCACTCTCAGGTGAACTTGGAGGAAGAGAGGTGAGAAGAACGGGCTTTATTTCCTGGAAGAGCTGAGGGGAAGCTCGACATCACTCATGAGGAGGAAGGAAGGAGCCGCTGATTGCACAGGAAGAGGAAGAGGGGTCTTTAATTTACAGTCCTCTCTGGTGTTCAAGCCTTCAGCCTCACACAGAGTTAATCAGCACTTAGGCTATAGATAGGAAGAGAGGGATGGAGAGGATGGCGAGGGGGAGGCTGGTCTCTGGATCCAGCAGTATGTTTATCTGCTGTTGTCTAGAGGAGTTCCTCAGTGTGGTGGCTGGTCAGATTGTCACTGTGATGTTTGTCTATCAGCAGCTGAGGTAGGTGAAGTCCAAACCTGAGTGGGACCTGGGATCTTTTCCAATCAAAATGGCTGAAAATATGCATGAAAATATGAACCAACGTTTAAAGAATTCAGATGGCAAAAACAAGCATGTTCTCAAGGTGAATAAAAGCTTTCAACAGGACACCTCAGAGGACAGTTTATAACTTTACTCTTACTGGAAGGGCATCCAGGTGTTGTTCTGTCATGTTTTATCGTTGAATCCACACACAAAAATATACTCTCTCTCTCTCTCTCTCTCTCTCTGCAGGACTCACATCTTGGACCTGTAACACCTGTGACTGAACTCATCCAAGAAATCATGCAGACCACATGGATCCATGACCCAGACGGAGCGGTAACATGACATCCAGCAGAAACAGACACAATAAAGACAAACAGACGAGGTGATTTCAGTGACTCAGTTTGAGGATTTTTATGATTTTTTTACCCACAATCAGAGACTCGACCACAATCTGAGCTGAGTCAGAAACATCCAAACAGTCGGACTAATAAATGTGATTATTATTATTAGAGTGATTGAAAAGCTCATAACAACATGTAGATCTGTCCAAAGTCTGATTCTAGATGTCTTTACAAACACACTGATCCAACAGAAGCAGACAGAAATATCCATCGATCACATGAACACAAATATTCAGCAAACAGAGAAAGAAACAGATCATCTGAAGAGTTTTTGGGGACGACTGGAAAGACTTTATGGTTTCTGTTTCTAAAGTCTCAAACCTTGAAAATCTGCACCAACTGAATGGGATTTGAACAAATGATCATCTTGATGTTGTTGATTTCAAACTAAACCCAGAGTTTTTGGTGAGACTGATCCACAAACATTTACAAACCAGAACATTTCAAGAGTTCAAGGATCTCAGTCCATGATTTTGGTCTGATGGACTCAAAATTCTCTTTAGTTCACTTCTATAAACTCAGCAGAGTCTCCATTAGACCAGTAAAACCACAGTCCAGCATGTAGAGGTTCAGTGAATGTGGTCTGGACTCTGTGGAGGAGAATCATGGTTTCAGAGACGCTGTAGAAGGACAGAATACCTGCTCTGTGATCCAGGTACACTCCTACTCTGGAGGACGGAGGACCTGAGAGAGGAGTGAAGACGTTGTTGTGAACAAATCTACAAGTGTTTGTATCACAGTCTAACCTCCAAGATTTGTGATTGTATCCAAATAAACAATCAGCTGAGGTCCCCGCTCTGTTAATAGTCTTGTAAGCAACTGCTACACCAACCCCGTACCCTCTCCAGTCCACCTCCCAGTAACAACGTCCAGTCAGACTCTCTCTACTCAGAACCTGAGGATAATCAGTGAATCTGTCTGGATGATCAGGATAAGACTGTTCTTCTTCTGTCCTTGTTGCTTTTCTGTTTCCATCAGATAATATCAGATTTCTGTTTGCTGTGTTTGGATCCAGTGTGATTCTTTGTGAATATCTTAAGAAACCAGCTCTGGTCTTGGGTTCTGCTGGTCCTGGTGGTTCTAACAGTAAAACATCCACTTGAGTCACTGCCTGTGAGACGTTTGTCCACGTCTCTCTCTGAAGATCCTGGAGTTTCTCTCTGAGCTCTGACACAGCTGCTGTCACCTCCTCAAAGTATCTCTGAGGACGGATGTTGATTCTGGATGAGTCTGCAGGTTGACCCGGTTCTGACAGTGAGGGGTAGCTGTGCAGAAACTGGTTGTGGTCCTCTGTGAGTGAGAGCTTCTGCAGATCAGCGTCTTTCCTCTTCAGCTCAGTGATCTCCTGCTCCAGTTTCTCCTGAAGCTCTTTGACTCGACTCACTTCACGTTCCTGCTTGGATCTGACCTGCTGCTCCACCTCAGAGCGGCGTTTCTCCATGAGACGGATCAGCTGGCTGAAGATCTCCTGGCTGTGCTCCACAGCTTTATCAGCAGAGCCGTTGATAGCCTCCACCTCCTGTTGGAGCAGCTTCACATCTTCTTCTCTGTCCTGGATTCTCTGCTGGATGTTTCCTCGACTCTCCTCCAGATCTTTCTGCCTCTCAGTCCTTTCTGCTGCAGCTGAGACTGTGTCGTGACCTTTGTGTTGGTCCACAGAGCAGAGATAACAGATAGACTTCTGATCAGTGCGGCAGAAGATCTTCATCACCTCATCATGACGAGAGCAGATGTTCTCCTGGAGCTTCTTGGAGGGCTCCACCAGCTTGTGTTTAGCATAGGCAGGAGATTCATAATGAGGCTGGAGGTGTTTTTCACAAAATGAGATCAAACAGAACAAACAGGACTTGACAGCTTTCAGTTTTCTCCCACTGCAGAAATCACAGGCCACATCTTCAGGTCCAGCATCAGAGGAACCATCAGGAGCAGCTTGGAGTCCGCTCTTTTTCAGTTCCTCCACTAAACCTGCTAACATGGTGTTTTTCTTCAGGACAGGCCTCGGTCTGAAAGTCTCTCTGCACTGAGGACAGCTGTAGATCTTCTTCTCATCCTCTTTATCCCAGTAGGTTTGAATACAGCTCATGCAGAAGCTGTGTCCACAGGAAACAGTCACCGGATCCTTCAGAAGATCCAAACAGATGGAACAAGAGAAAGACTCACGGTCCAGATGAACTCCTTTCTGCGCCATTTCAACACTCGCTGTCGACGACGACTGACTGAGTTTTATTTCCTGAGAAGTGAAACTAGTCTGAGCTCTGATCTCAACAACATGTGTGAGTCAGCAGGATCAGCTCAGCACATGTCAGTTACACCGAACCTCAAACTGTAGATCTGAAGGGGAGGGAACAAGGAAGTGAGTGAGCAGAGTGGAGAGTGCTGTGAGAGAGAGGAGGGAGGGGAAATCTAGTTTATCTACAATCCAGGAAGAGGAGCGGCGATGTGAACTTTAGACTCTCAAACTCAAACAAACAGAAGTTATTAAAGCTGCAGCCGTCCTGAAGATCAACTGAACCAACATTTTACTAAATGCATCAACATTTATTGGCTTTTTTTTTTTCAAACATGTGCGTGCAACATGAAATTAAATTGAAAACAAACAAACAAACAAAACCAGTGAGAATGAGTTCAAAACAACAATAACAATAATCGAAGCAAAAAAAAAAAAAAAAACTGGTGTGTGGAGACAGTGAGACTGGACAATCTGATTGGTCACGGGTTCATTTACTAACAGGACAACAAGCACACTTCAGGGCTAAGACTGTCAGACCAAGAAAAAGTCATCTGCTTTAAATGTTCATTCAAGAGTTGTTAACGTCACTTTAATCTGTGCCACTGATGTACTTATTTTTTTTTTTCATATCAACTGAACAGACCTTTTGTTCAGTGTTAAATCATTTATCATATAATCTAAATATATTATATATTTTCATATCACATGTCACATCATTACAGCATGTCATATCATATTAAATCATGTGATATACAGTAATTAACCTTTTCAACTTTGGAGGACAATAATACTTCTTTAGTGAGCAGTTCTTCAAGTAAAGCTCTCCCTCTCTCCCTCTCCCTCTCTCTCTCCCTCTCCCTCTCCCTCTCTCCCTCTCTCTCTTCCTCTCTTGCTCTCTCTCTCTCTCTCTCACACACACACACACACACACACACTCACACACTCATGTATGTGCAGTCTAAAGGCTCCCTCCAACAATAGCGTATTGTGAGACACACTGTGGCAGCAGTAGTTGTGGCTCCAGGAGCGGCTCCTTGCAGCGGTCGGACCTCGCTGCTTGTGACAAATTGCATGTGGAAGGAAATCTGCAGGGCCCATTGAACTTTAGTATTGCTTTTATTCCTCTGTCATGTTCCCGCAGAGATGAAATGGGATCGGTTTCTTTCTTGCTTTTTTTTTTCCCTGCCTCCCTTATTCACGGCTCTGTGACCGCCGGTGTGCTGGATAAACGACCAACGCTGCCTGACAGTCACAGACATTCTTCTCTTCTTTTCTTTTTTTTCTCCTTTCCCACTCCTACTCCTCTTCAAACTCGCCTCCAGATTTCAGGTACTTGAAATGAAGCAGAGAAGAAACGATGTACTTTCACCCCTGCAGCGGTGCTGTGGCTGAGCAGCGCTCTTTTATTCCCTAAATGTTGCCGACATGGATCTTTGTTAGACGTTTTGTACAACAGAATCCAAAACTAATTCTCTTTTACATGTCAGCGAATATAGTAGTGCTGTTCTTCTTATAGAAAACAACATGTTGGAGTCTGTTAAACTCTAACAAATAAAAGCATTTTCTTCTAACTAGAGGGGAGACTATTTCCACTCTAATACCAAGTGTTCAAAGCAAAATTCTCAACATGTAAAGGCTGAATTAGAATCAAAGTTACTGTGGTTGACTAAAGGCGTGTGCCCTGAAGTCTTTGGGAATATATCCAAGAGCGCTTCTTGCCAAAACCTGCATGGATACACGTTACAAAACCGACATGGCTGCAAATACTAGCCTTCCCACCACAGTCTGGACTTCAGCCCATAGAGAGCGTGTATGCCCGATCAGAAAATAACCGGGCCAATCAGAGACCGTGTTTCCACTGTTACCCGGACAACAGGGAAAGGCAGCCCCTGATTGGTCCATGTGCTACTTTAACCAATCACCGTAACCAAGCAACTGTGATGATGTCTGATGGTTGGTTACAGTGATTGGTTATAGTAGTCTGTCTATCAAGGAAAGTACTCCCGCCCACTTTCAGGGCTTCCAATGGGCCGGAGTCCAGACTGTTGTGGGAAGGAACGTCAAGTGACTCACGCAACAGGATGGCCCAGCCAGGCTATGCAAATACTATGATAGCAGTTTTGAAAACACGTCACATATGGTGCAGTGCAAAAACAAGCCAACAGATGGCAGCAGGAGCAAAAACACACCGTGCATTTCATCTCAAATCAAAACACGAAGTCGCTGTTGTTAAAACAGGAAGTAAAGAATAATGCTGCAACATCACCAACCTCGTCTGATCAGGCGTTAGCAATGACAGGTAAGCCTGCAGGCCCAATCTTATAATCGGAATCTTCCTTTAAAGGAACTGATATCTACCCGTGTGACGGGGTATCATTACGACAGTACTGACACAGACTGGGCTGGATGATGCAGGAGGAGAAGTCCTCACAGCCTCATACGTCTGCTGCGTTGTCTCCGTTTTTACATCCAATATTAATGAACATCTGCAGCAGCTGTTGTTGTTCTTTCTTTGTGACTAACTTCAGATTGAGATCGCTCGTTCAAACGCTCGGTGACTCATCGGCAGCAGACATCGTTCCAGCTGTCAGCCGTCATCATGTCGGGTACCCAGAAGCAAACAGCAGGTCACGAAACCTGTCGCCTCGTCAGTCCTGCGAGTGCCGGGTGTTTGCAGGGTGGAGTTTAGGTTTGAGCAAACAAATCTCTCCATTCAGGTGCTACCTGGGAAAATAAAGAGGAGCCACTTAACAGCCACTGAGCTGTTTAATTAGAGGCCCTGCTGCTCGTTAATAAGGACACTGACGAGAAGCACCGCCCACTGCTCACTAATGATGGTGAGCTCCTAACCGAGCTGGACACATCCAGGCTGCTGGCTGTCTGCAGCAGGGGGGCAGGAAGTGGAGTGGGGGCTGTGATTGGCAGGACACAGCAGGGGGGCGTGGCCACCAGGCCTCAGCTAATTGCAAAGTTAAGACGCAGCAGGAGTCTGTAATGTGTTGCTGCACTTTTACTGTTATTGAACTGGGTGTTATTGATCAGGCGTGTTGTTTATGTGTACAGATGGAGGCGTGGTGAGTTTCTCATACAAAGGTTATCAGGTATTGACGGACGAGCTGATGGGTCGTGGCCTTTGGCTCCACTCCGGTCTGCAACGCTGATGGAGTGAAGAGTGGACGTCAGCAGACATCACAGGAGGAAACTTGAACTGAGAAATCTGAAGCATTTCAAGCTCCAAAAACTCTGTTTCTGATTTGGCGCCTCCTGTGGACAAAGCAAAACTTCATGTTGCTTTGCTGGTTTTTCCTGTAAACATGCAAACAAACACGGGCCAGTGTTCAACTCTGCTGTAGAAATACTCAACGAAGGCTGCTCTAGAAGCATGCCGTTCATTTCTTGTCTGACATCCATCCTACGGCGATGATTTCAGCCTTTAAAAATCACTGTGTAGAAATAGTGAGTGTTGCAGCTGATGGTCTGGTTTGTTTGAAAGGTCAAAAAGAGCGCTTTATTAGTTTAAGTTTGTTTAAAACCAGTTAAAATCACTTCTGAGGAGAACCTCCATCAAACAGTCAGACCTCTGGGTTTTATATCTTGGACTGAAACAAAGTCAGTAAGTAAACTGGACCAACTGAGATCTTTAAACAGAGACATCCACCAAATAGAAGAAAACAGACAAACGTCGGCTTTGGCTGTCTAGCAAGTACTTTAGTTCACAACCTTTACCTGAGATTTTAGTAACCATGGTGTGTGTTCTCAAAAATCAAGTTTAGTATCTCATGAAGTAATTATTAGTAAATAAAAACCCCAAACTGTGAGATATTGTGTTAAATATATGAGGAAATGTTCATTTTCTGCCTCATATTTATATCGTACAGCGGGATCAGTTTAACATTTTATTTTATGTTTTTATAGTTTGAAAAGTCTTCCACATTTCCAAACATTTCTATCATTGAGTTCTGTGAGCTGAATTAATATAGAGCTAAACTCTAGAGGGAACTACAGGTAAGACTTTAGATTTCAGTTTAGTTTTGATATGTTTCTAAAGCTGGATTTGTTGAAAGTTCTTCATTTTAGTCTAGACCAGATTAGATCACATCATCTCCTTTGTGTGATACTTAACTTTAAGGCTGATTTTACAATATAAATTCAGTAATAAATGATATTTATTGTGGCATGGGCTCACATTCGTGATGCCATCCCAGCAGTCTCAGTTCTGAGGCTGGGCCACCCCTGTCACAGACGTCTGGACACGCCCCTGCTTGCTATCATACCTCGCTCCAGGTACTCTACGTTGTTCTTGGTTCAGCTACAGATGGATCCTTGCTGAATAGAGGGATCTGCTGATGGGAAACAGGAGAGAACAATGACAGATAGAGCCTCAGCTCACAGTCTGACAGCATATCGAGGATGTCAATATGGATCTCCCATTATTGATATCATCAGATTATAGGTTAACTCATCCTAAAACAGGGGACAGCACTTTGGCAGCTTGTATGAGGGGAAGAGGTCACCCAGTAAAGTGTTAAGAAAAATCAGCTCATTAAAAACACAGACATGTTTTTCTGTTTTTCACTGCTTTACAATTTGGTTGCAAAATAAACTGGTTTGAGGACGATCCCGTCAGAATAAACAAGTGGAATAATCTTCTTTGACAGCCATGATGTCTGACAGAGCATGTCACAGATATTGTCACACTCAGGGGAATAAAAATAAAACCCTGAAATGGTCTTTTATTTTGGAGCCTTGGGAAGCATCCGAGCCGTCAAACAGCTGTCCTCTTTTTGACACTCCAGACAGGGAAAGCAGGCGCTTTAATCCACCGACTCAGTTGCATCAGACCGGCTGAAGCTGTATAGTCTGATCCACACTAAAAGGATCACTGTACCTACTATGATATGGAGATACTCAGGCTCCCCTCATGTGGTGGATTTATCCTTCTTTCATCACCAAAACAGGTCTGATATTACCCCTACAGGTCACCCAGTCACAGAGAGTCGAGTTTTCCGGGGTTTCTGAGGCCTGAGTTATCTTCACAGCATCACAGTTTCACTAGAAAAAAAAAACAACAACTTTAAAAATGCAATAAATGAAGTTGTTTGCCCCAGTCAGTCTTTTCACTCTGCAGGATGAAATATGTGTTGTTCCTCGGTGTGTTATTGATGGACGTTGTTGTCCTATAATGCAACAGGAATGAAGAAGTGGGTCCATTTGGCTCCAAATGGAGTGAGGCAGCTCACAGAGATATCAGGGAACAAAGATTGACGAATAACACCTCAAAAACAATCTCAAAAAAAAAAAAAGTTTCAGCTTTGAGGAGAATTTAAAAAGTTTCGAACAATCTCCCTGAAATAACTCATTTGTTGGTGGGCTGTCCTTTTGAGGCTCTATGTGGTTAAATCATAGACGGTATAGAAAACAGACGCTGTCTGCCTCCTCGCTGGGTGAAGCCGCTCTGAGAACAGCACCCTCTGGTGACGGGCTGCAGTATAGCTGTGGACAAACTTTATGAATGAATGACACAGAATATAAATGTTTCTCCCCCCTGGTTGTGATGTTGACATGTAGTTACTGTCAGACTGGTTTGTGCTCAAGTCCTCTTTTTTCTGTACAGCTCCATTTTTAAACGTTATTAGGGGGTTCATGTTTTCTATGATTGACACTTGATACAGCCTATATGCGTACGAAGATTGCGTAGCTCACCCAGGGGATACGCTGTTCGAGCCGAGCGTCATCACAGCGACTCTCGAAATGGAGAGAAAACGCGAAATTACCAAGTTTTCGGCTTCAAATCCGTTTACTGGCGTAAGGCGGAACCAAGTTGTCCATTGTACAAACCGTCTATGGTTCAAATGGCAGCAGAGGTGGAGGGAGGAGTCAGCTAAACAACTGCTGACATTGGCCAGTTTAAGGTTAAATGTGTCACTACCGTAATAACTGTAATATACATCTCACTGGTTTTGGATTTTGTGACACAGTCTGTTTCCGGTGAACTCCTGGGGGAAAAGATTAAAGCTGTCTTCTTGTTTGAAAGCTTTTATGTGATTTTTCAGTGCAGATGTGTAGCTCTTTTTTCATATAATCTGATAATGCAGTCCTGCAGCTTGAGCACAGAATAAAACAATCAGTGTGTTTACATGTATAATCAAACCGAGCCACTGTTAAAGCTCTATTCGAGGACTTACCATGTCATGCACCAAAACAATCAACAAACCTAAGAGCAAGAGGAACCTTTCAAATGTTTATCACCTCAAAAAGCCTAGCAACACAATAATCACGCAGTATCATCCGTACAATCTGTGCAAATATAAAGTCAGTTTTGAGGTGAACCACATTACAGGCCATCTCTGCTCAGTTTTCTATCATTTTCATTTAATTTCGTCTGGGATTAGGATGAGATAACTTAATTAAGAGAAGATTTCAGCATCTCCGCTCTCTGCTGCTCAGAGCTGCTCTATGAGCTCTCATCCTGATCACGCTAAATTAAGTCCACTATAAGCTTGAGAGGGAGAAAGACGGTCCTAATCATCCGATAAATTTCAATGTTTATCAACACATCGAAAATGAGCAATTGTAAATCTGACACACGGAGAATTTGAAATAAAGGCCTTCCTCTAATACAAGCCTGCTTCATACAAAGGCCTGGTCCCTTAGGCAGTGAATGAAAATAATCAAAAGGATGTTTAAATCTAAAAAGGATATTTCCACCTAAAACAAGACAATATAACACATCTCCATTGAAAAAATTTAACACAATGTAAAATCTAATTTTTGCAAACGAGAAAAGAGCCCCCTGCTGGACATTGAAAGAATAGCTTCACTCAAACCCCAATACTGTGTCGACTTTTAACATCTTAAAAGGTTAATCTACGACGCTCTGACTAAAACAATTTTGCACTCTCACTTTAATTATGTAACAGATGTCTTACAGTTTTTGCATCAGGCGTGGAAGTGGGTCACTGAGACAGTCCCCTGATGTTTTCCGCTCGCCGCTGTTGGTGCAGTGCCTTGCTCAAAGGCACCTTTAACCGTCGACCTTCCTGTCGCCGTCGTCCTCCTCCTCCTCGCCCGCCGTCGAGCTCTGGCTGGGTCACCTCCAGGAGCGCCGATGCTGCTGTTTCTCCTCCTCATCTGTCTTACAGCTGCGGCGGTGGAGGCGATGCGTCTCCGGTGTCGAACAGGTGAACACAGCCATGCATTACAAGCGCCGAGCCGCCGACCCCGGGGGAGGCGAACACACACACGCACACATATATACACACACACACAGACACGTATACATACAGCAGCACACCAGCTGGCTGCCTGAGAAAGAAAAAACAGCAGCTCATGACAGAAAATAATCCCCTGAACAAGGACGAGCTGAGTGTCTTTTTATAATGTACAACATGCTGTGTGTTTGTTCTGCTGCATCAGGTTTAATATCACACACACTCATTAGCTGCTAACAGAGTACAGTTCCTCTGACTGTAAATAGACTCATCCTCCTCCACATTTTCAGACGGCACTTTGATAATTTCATCTTTCCTCCAACATAATCTGCTTAAATGAAAACTCTGCTTCATTTCAACTACACAGCTCTGCATCCACAAATGAAAAGGATCGAGAAAAAGGAAATAAACTTATACTCTTCATGTCTGAGTCCATTCGCAGCTTACGAGTGGTTGGAAAATAAGCTCACTATGTTCTTGAGTACAAAGAGGGAAATGAGAAATAAAAGACGCAAAATCAGACAGAGATGTTGTTTGTTCTTTCTTCCGCTGGTTAGTTTGACATTGTGTTTCTGATTAATGGTTATTTTTTTGTGTCCTAGCCAATCAGGAGTTTGCAGAGTATCCAGGCAGTTTGCATTAGTCCATATACACAGGCTGCAGATTGCAAACAAAACACACACTTCAATAACAGCGTTGCAAATCTTCAGTGGCAGCCGAGATCTGCTCGATGTGAATCCTTCAAAACTTCAGAGTTTTAAACAACTTATGGGTTCATTTTCTACCCGAACTAGTTCAAAGTTCAGTTCACTTTAAAGTGATCTAGTTCAGTTCATCGTTCATAATTCTACATTTTAAACTCATGTTTTCCCAAAAATGAACTTATTTAGTTTTTTTTCTCCAATACTTTGCTGTCAGATGTTATAGAACCTCAGATAGCAATTATTTTAGCTGTTTAAACACTGACACTACTTCAGATTAATCTTCATATCCATTTTTGAATCCTAATCCAACCAGGTTTACAATAGAGAGGACTGCCCTCAGAATACTGATGTTTCTCTGATGTTTAGTTCAGTCCTCACTCGTAGGAACGTTCATGTCTAGAGTATATTTTCATAAATATGAGGAAAACCTGCTGCTTGAACGGTTTTTAGACTCTTTATCAGGATCACAACAACAGGACTGTAGGCCTTAAATTTGTTTTTTTTTATTTCTATACTTTTCCAAACTGACCTGAAAACAATTCACATCAAATTCCATTTCAGTCAGACTGAAGAGGAACCAGAACAAATACTGGAAATAACAATTAACAATAAATGCTCATACAAGTCTGTGTTCTCCGGACAGCGAGTACTCCTCCCTCATCCTTCATGTTTACTGAAGTCAAAACTGACGTATTTATTGGAGCGACAGACAGGCTGCCTGCGGTTGCCAGATTGGGTGGCTTTCCGCTAAATATAAAGGCCTGTCTATGGTGTGTTTCGCCTGGAAGACTCTGGACATCTGACTCATTTGTGAACAGAGTTTTGAACGCTGCTCACAGACGCCAGAATGAGCGCGTTCAACACCAACGTGTTCATATGCAAACAAAGAACGATCACCCGAAATATGAACAAGTTCATGAACGATCGTTCATTGGACACGTTCGGGCACAACACTGAGGGTGACCATACGTCCTCTTTCACCCGGACAAGTCCTCTTTTTTGGGAGCTGTCCGGCCTTGTCTGGAGAGTTTATAAAGTCCTTCAAATGTCCAAGTTTTTGTATGACAATTTCGGGTTTATGTAGCGTGGACTAACTGAGTTAGAAGCGCGTAAAAAAAACACTCGACCAGATTCGAAAAACTCTCAAAATTTTGCGCACGACTCCACCCCATGTACTCGTGTCCTCTTTTTAGGGATTCAGAATAGAGGTACTCATGTAATAATAATTTAAGTTCATAAAGATGCAGTCTAACCAAGAGTCGTCCTCATTCTGATCAGTAATAAACCCACAAGTTTTCTGTCAAGATGTCCGAACAACAGTCCCAGTAATCCCAGTTTCTAGATACTGGTTTTCAGTCTGATTGACGGGTGATGACCTTCTTTGATAGTCAGACTCCGGATCAAACATGCGTCTCTGCTCGATCACGCATTAAATTGTGGGTTTTACTGTCATTATTCTCATCCACAGACACAAACTGCTCACTGATGAGTTGAGGAATCCTTCTGAAATGATTTTCTGCTGATACAGATCTCCTTCCGCCGGCCTGAAGAACAGAACATCCTGGTCTTTGTGCGGGGAGGAGAGGTTGTGATTTCTGGGTTAGAGGATCCTCTGAGCTTCACAGGATTCTGTCTGTGTTCTGCACGAGTCAGCATTGGCCTGAATTCCAACAATATCACCCTGAAGGATGTAATACCAGCTGCTGCAGTGAGAGCTATTCCCCTCCTGTATGATATTGCACACGGAAAAGTCATCGGGCTCAGCCCCCGACAAGCACCTGTATTCGATTTCTCATCTCTGCTCGGCGGAGAGCTCTAAGCCTTGTTCTCGCTGGCACTAATCCTCGCTAGAAAACAGCTTTCAGAGGATTAGCATCAAGGGGGGCAGAGCGGCGCTCGACGGCGGGGGAGCCGTGCTTCCCCTCTTCTTCTTCTTCTGCTTCTTCTTCTTCTTCTTCCTCCTCGCAGCACTTTCCTCCTCTGTAAGTTAACCTCACACACACAAGGCTTGACTTGACTCAGAAAATCTTTGACCTTCTGCTTGGTTTGCTCCCCATCGACCCACAGTGGCCTCCATTAAAGCTCAGCGCTCCCCGGTGACATTCAGTTAAGACTCCCCTCAGGTTCTTCCTCCTTCACGCTGCGGCTGGATAACTTAGCCATGTAATTCCATGTTATCTGGAAGAACTGGGCAGCCCACATGCTGAACCGAGCTTGACCTACTGCTGTAAGCTACTGTATCTCATTGCAGGAACACACCCAAAAGCTGGAGGTAAAGAGGTGTGAGGCCCGGAGGTGGGGGGAAAAGGAAAACTGGAGCTTAATTCTTGCTGCGGGCGATCTGTGGACGGATACGAGACGGAGCGGCAGAGAAACATGGAGAACAACAGCACCGCTCACGGCCTCTTATAGATGCTGAAAAAGCAAAATGATGTTCAGTGCTGGTGTGTTTTTTAAAGCAACAATTCAGTTTCTGCGAACAAAGAGAGGATTATCCCGCATGGTGATGAGGAGGAGCTGCTGGAGGCCACAGCTCCTGCAGAGAACTACTTTTTGGAGATTGTAAATTTAACTTTCTCCTCCACTGTTTTCTTCTTTTTATGCCGTTTCTTTTATTTATCCCCCGAACCTCTGCAAATACTTCATACTAATCAGTGGCTTTGATTCTATTTCTCCCTCTGCAAACAGCGGGCCGCTCACTTAAGAGCACTGAGAGAGATGAAAGCTTGTGCATCCGGGCAGGGATCAAAAAAAAAGAGAGAGAGAGAAAGGAAGCGGGAGAAAAAAAGATGCTTCGTCTTCCCCTCAGCTTCCAAAATCCTGCTGCTTGTGACAGAGTTGTAAATACCCGAGATAAAAGACGGCTCTGACTGCTTGTACTTAACATTCCCATTAGACTACCGACAATGGCTGCCTTTGTGCGCTCTCATGTACGGATACGAGCGGAAATTCCTTTGCCTCCGGTGTTTTGCGAAACACAATCCAATCAGAGGAAAATTGAGGGAAAAAAGGAGAAAAGGGAGAGAAAATAAAAAAGCAAACTGGAACAAAAGCAGGCGATGTTTCGGGAATTCTCTCAGGTGAGAGCGCTCCGGAAAAAGGATTTGGAAGAGAGGATGAGTGAAAAAAACGTGTACAGGATCGTCTGTTGTTGGAAAAATCTGCAGGAGGACGATTAGAGAGTCAACAGACACATCCGAACGTTTAACGGCTGATTCTGACGAGTGAAAATTAAACTCAAAGAGCCGAAACCTGATTTAGGTGTGGAGAGAGAGACTGCAGCTTCAGCAGAAGGACGTCTGGTCGCTGCCAGATGAAGAAGAAGAAACTCAAACATTTTTGGACTTTTTCCTCGTGGAAGATGACGGAAACATGGAAACGAATTCAGTCTCTGAAGGGTCAATATCAGCGGAGAAGTAGGTGATGATATCTTCACACAGGAATTAAAAGTTCTGTCTCAAACTTTTTAACTCCCTGTTGAGTTTGGTCGCGCAGTTTTCCAAACATTTTACAATCGAAGGAACTCACTGATGGAACCAGAACAAAGTCCGACCCATCAGAAAACTTGAGAAGTTTGAACAAGTTGGGTACAAACCAATGATTGATCTCAAATTTGGAAGAGTATCTGATGGCACATAGTGAGAAAATCACTCAAAGTGTCTTTGGAAAACATCCATCTCAGTTTATGGAGACACTTCTCGCTTGTTTTTTTTTTCACGTTTCGCACCATCACGTCCAGTTTGAGCTGCAGTAAGTGTTCAGAAGAAGTTTGGAGAAGCAGAATCGTCACAAAGATGTGAGTTCTTGCGGAAAGAACAGGAACAAAGACTGTGAGGATGAAGTGGACGCAGCCAACGTTCAGTTTTTGGAGCGCGGAGTGACCGAAGGCAGGGATGGAGAGGAAGCAGGTGGGGGAAGCAGTGGTTGATGTTTGGGAAGGAGAAGAAGAACTAAGGAGGTCCAGGGATAAAACTGAGGCAGATCATTTCTGTAAATATCCAAATCCAGGTAAACGATCTTTTCAGTTTCATCAACAGCTTTTCACTTATTCTCCGGTTTTGATGCGTTTTCTATGTCCTGCCAACATTTACGTCCCCTAAATTGTTTCCCCATAAACTTACACTAACTTAAGGCAAAAACATACAGGATCCGTATTTGGCGCATCGTCCACACAGAGAAGATCGTTCCAGACAGGAAGTTAAGCACGAAACCATGAATGTCATCCTGTATTTCAAAATAAAACACCATATTTGAACTCCTAAATGTGTATCAGTCGGTGTAGATGAGAAATCCTTCCTGGTTCTGGATTTATCAGTAACACAGAACAATCTGATGGTCAATCCCTGATCCATGTGGACCCCAACAGGACTTTGACCTGCTAACTCTGTCTGAAGGGAACATCATAAAGGAACAGAGTTTACTTTATTAAACACCAGTAACAGACAGTAGAGGCTCAACAGTCACTGAATTATATCCAAATTATCAGGAAATCGACCACAGAAAGGAGAAACAACCTGTTGTGAGCATGTTGTTTTGCTGCTACGCTATCAAACACGTATTCCACATGTGATACCCAATGCTGATCTACGTGGCAAATACGGAACACACTCAATACGGATCCTAAATGTTTTCGACTTTATACGAAGAAAAAATCCCTAACCTCAGTCTTTTCTGGGGGTCCCTCAGCTCCATCATCCTGTAGGTTCCTCTGCTGCAGACGTCCTGCTGCTGTCAACTCTCCTGATTCCAGCCCCATCACCGGATCAGTCTCAGCAGATGACGGTCTAACATCAGTCTGGTCCTGCTCGATGTTTCTGCCTGTTAAAGGAAGTTCTTCCTCTCCACTGTGACTTACTAAACGCTGTAAAGTGTGGTTGGAGATGAGTTGATCGGTGCGATACTTAACTTCCAAGATGAAACTTGAGGGGAGGAAGTGAAGGAGGGAAGGAAACAGGCAAACGGAAGGGTGAAAAATTTGGAACCCGCCCCCTTTTCCCCCTCAGAGAGTGCTCTACCCCTCAGCCTGATGTTCGGACATGGAGACAGAGGAGGCGCCCTGGTTTTCCAAAGGCACCGAGCTGCCCCACCAACCCCCCTCAGAGGGTTTTACGACGACCCTGCAGAGGTCGCCATGGGTGACGAGGAAAGGGGCTGAAAAATGGGCTCTTGTCTGGAAAATGGAGGAGAAACACACACATGCATACTCACACACACACACACACACACACACACACACACACACACACAGGGTTATGAAATATTATCACTTCTGTTGATTGAGCTTATTTGGGTCTCCTCGTATTCTGCGACGTCAGCTGTTCCTGTTCGGAGGGGGATTTGATGACGGGTAATAAACTGCACCTGCTAAATAAAACTCCACCCCCCCTCCACCCTCCCACTCCCCGAACGGCAGGACAGTACATCTTAGCATGCTTACCTCAAGGCTTTATGAACTGGACAGCTTTGCTAATTTAGCATACTTTTAAAGGTCGTGAGCTAATTTCAGACGCCTCTGACGTCAGGTCGACCTTGATGATCTGATCCTATACTTCTTCTTCTTCTTCTTCTTCTTCTTCTACTCTGCTGTCAGCTGCTGCAGTGATGCACCATTTACAGGATATTTAAAACCCGATAAGCACCATTAACCACACTTTTAATGAACACTGCGCCATCAGCACCAACACCGTCAGGTAGAGTGCTAATTGGAACGACGCGTCATCGACTTTATTGACACCGGTTATTAACTTCCAATAATAATAACACAGCTCTGAAGTGTGGGTATAGCTGTAAATAAATGGAGGGAAAAAGATGGTTCGCACACTAGACTGCACATTGTATCCACTCATAATGATCAACAGGCTTTAAACAAGCTGTGAAATGGAAAATAACTCTGGCCTTTTGGAGAGTTTTTCAGGCTTCTGGATACATCTGCTCTCGTTTTACTTTCATTTGACCTCGTGCAAAAAAAAAAGAAAAAGAAAAAAAAAAAACGGTAAAATAACAACAAACAGATTTTTAAGTTTTCTACTCAAGATTCACTCAGAAAAACCAAAGGCTGGGACCTTCACCTCGCTCATCCTGCCCCTGATCGCTCAAATTGGAAAATTTTCTGCACAACAGTGTCTCTGAACTCACATCCACTAAGAACATATTTGACACACATGTGTGTAGATATGATTTCTTTACCTCAATATTAATACAGACCTGAGCTCAGGTGGGCCTGAGCTCGGGGAGGTCAGGGTGTCCGTGAACTGACAGCAGCACATCGGATTCAGAGACGAGCCTCAAATTCACGTCGTGCAGAAGTAAATACTTCGTTATTTTAGACCTGCTTCCTCCCTCGCTCTGTCATTTTAACGAAGTTTAGGTTTGTGGTTGCTCTGGTCTCCCATGATCCTCCACTCACAAATTTGTGAACATGCAACGTCGCAAGTGGTGTAACGTCACGCCAACACAGCAGGACTGCAAATTCTCCCTGAAGGTTCATCCTGATTTTACTGTCAGGTGCTAAAAAGCGGAGCTAAAACTCACTTCATAGAGTCAACAAATGTCTGAAGTTTGAAACCAATTCCGAGTTGGAATCTGGTTCTCGATACCCAAGCAGAAGGCCATGACTCATTGCTAACCCGGGATTTCCACCGCATCTGGAACGGCTCTGATCCGGAACGTCAGCAATTTTTGCCGTATGTAAATTCCTACCGGATCCATTTGTGAGGCGAATTTCATGCAATTAGGGAATATTCACTTGCAGTCGTGCGATAACAAGTTGTCTTTAGCCACACAGGCTAACTATATAAGCAGTAGACTGTGTCCTTCCAGAGGAGGAAATCTACTTCTAGACTTCTAGACTCAGCATCTCCTCATCCATGGTGTCATCGAGGTGAAATGACGTCTAAAAACCTTTCACTTGTTCGTCTCCGCCCGTTTGCATGGTGTGAAATACGATCCTCCTGAAACACGGAGTGTTTTATTTTGAAAAGAAGCCGGATGTTTTATTTTGTGTCTGTGCCCGACTTCCTTTCCAGCACGGGTTAATCTGTGCTGAATTTATCCGCCATGCTCCGGCGTCCAGAAAAAACAGAACTCTTGCGATCAGCTGTGGAGTCCGGCGATCCGCAGAGGAACGGAAGAAGCCGGTGTAAATTGACACGTTAACTTGAATGGTTACGATCAACTACGATCGGAGGATACGACCTTTTAGGAGATGATCAGGATGAAGGTGGAAATTTGGAGTTACTTTATCGAATCAACAAATGTCTGAAATTTGAAACCAGTTCCGAGTTGGAAACTGGTTCTCTGCACCCAAGCTGAAGGCTGTGACTCCTTGCTGAGAGTTTCAGCTCCCTGAGAGTGTTTATAACTACGGCACAGATGAGTTATTTTCTTAACTTTTCTGATGAATATTTGTTGTGTGTTTTACACCATATTGGAGAAACAAGGACAGTATAAACACAGCAGAGAACTGGGAGGAGGGAGCGGGATAATGATGTGCTGCAATCCTGCATTGAGTCGGTGTAAGAGGCCCTTTCTTTTCTAAAAAGCTGGAGGAGTCTAGACGTTAGAGGACAGAGCGTAGATAATACTTGAGCATAATTGGAGATAAGGTCCTCGCCGTGTCAACAGTAAAGGTCAAGAGGTCACCAACATTGTTCTTCTCTTGGGAGTGGGTGAAGCAATCAGCTCTGCAGACTGAGATACCAATTTAAAATGCTGATGAGTTTGTTTAATCACAGACTTGTCATTACTTGAAAATAAGGCACACTCCTCGACCAATCGGAGTGAAGCATCCGAGTCCGTATTGGCAGGTGTCTTTCGGGACCTGGAGGCACAGACGGCTCACAGGCTGCAGCGGAGACTCAGGCTGAGGTTTCCTGATTACTCCGGTTAATCTGCGGTAAGCAGAATGTAAACTTGCTGATGGTGACCTGAACAACAGCGCTGCTGCTTGTGATGCATTTATTCTCTGATCTGGTCCCAGCGGGTGGAGGGGGGTTGACACACCACATGTGGACAAACCAACAAAAAGGTTGATTCTGCAGCTCTTAGCTCCCTGCTGACCTGCAGACCTTGATCAACGCTGGAGGGTGATTCATACCAACACACAGCAGGTCGTTACATCAGGGATACAACTGACGACAACAAGCAAACAAATGAGCTGCAGAGGTCAACAGGAAACATGGCCGAGACGGAGGTGGAAGGTCAGAGCACAAGGCCAGAGAGTATTGATGCTCGGTGTTTGCTCCACGCTGGTGAGCACACAGCTCAAGAAAAAACGTCTATTTCCCCTCAGTATCCTTTTTCACTCTTTGCATTTTCTGTTTTTGTACGATGAGAGAAACAGACATAACTCCGCTGGATTGAGAATGGCGCAACAATATTGGTATTGCAATACCGTCATCAGTGTTTTAAACATTTGTCCTTTTTTTTTTGTGCACACAAGGTTTGACTCATGCATGAAAACGAAGGAGAAGGTTTCTGTCCTCCAGCATCCTTGTAGCTACGGTAGCAGGTAAGAAAGAGGTGCAGTGGAGGGAGTGACTAACCGAAGCAGAGCCACTCTCACTAACCAGAGAGCCGAAGAGTGTGTTTACTGAGAAACCCAACAGTGGAGCAGTGAGCAGGAAAAACAGGCACTCTGCAAGTTAGATGTCGACTGGAGAAGATGGGTTCAGACCAAAGTGACGTATCTGAGGTAAAAAGTCACATGACCGGTGACATCTGCAGTTTCAGATTGTCATGATTACTCTGGTTTCCACAAAAGAGCTCATTGTGGAGTCTTGTTTTTGTGTGTTTGGAGTGTTTCACAGAGGTTGAGCGGGTCCTCCTGATTCACCTACAATCACCACCTTCTTTTACACTCTGGGTCGGACTGCTTGTTGTCAGATGACTCCTGCTTGTTGGCTAACTTCTTGAGAGGCTAAATTATGTAAGTTTACCTGTAAATGTTTTTGCCATTGATTAATCCTCGCTCCTTTCTCCTCCAGCGCCTCCGCCAACCGCCAGTGTTTGCCAAAACTTTTCTACACCGCTAGGGTGACCAAACGTCCTCTTTTACCCGTTCATGTCCTCTTTTGGGGGGTTGTTCAGCTTTGTCCAGGAAGTTTATGAAACCCTTTAAATGTCTGGGGTTTTGTACAGAAGTTTTGAGTTTGTGTCACGTGGACTAACTGGGTTGGAAGCTCGTAAAAAACACTCGACCCGACCTGAAAAACTTAAAACTCACTACGCGCAATTCCTTGACTCTGTCCCACGTAATCGCGTCCTCTTTTGGGGCATTCAGAATATGGTCACTTATTAACCACGGATCTCCTTCACTCCCTTGACCCCAGAGCTCACTTCACCAGTACAATCTAATGAAGCATAGCGTTAGTTCTGGCAGGTCATGACATCAAGCATTGATCTGCAGCCAATGGCAAGTAGCCACCTCAACCAGCTGATGATCCAGCTATTTCCTCCGAGCTCCTATTGGTCTTTGCCTTTAGAGCGCTCTATTTAAAACTGCCCTGACCCCGCCTCATGAGGGGCGGGAAGGTGCTCTTCCTGCTGTTGGCCTTTCACGCATGCTTACGTGGTGAACAGGGGCCCCAAACAGAACCTCCCTGCTATCGCCTTTTTACGATGGCTCGTGAGGGGTAGGAAGGGGCTCTTCAGGCCTCTGGCCTCCGCGCAAGCATGTGGAAGGGCAGGGACCAAGAACAGAACCATGCCGCCAAATTTAACTTTGCATGATAAGACTTCTACTTCTACTGCCTCCTTTACCTGCTTTTGGGTCCCCTCAAGAACGATCTATGACGACAAATCTTAACACAAAGGTCACCAAAACTGTTTCCTCTACTTGAACCTCCAAACTTCTCTTATATAAAGGGCTTTGTCCAACAAATATTGAATGCAGTACAACGTCTAAACAAAGGTAAGCACAGACGTGTTAATATGATATTGTATGAGAGGGAGGAGAGGCCACTGTGCGTAATCGTTTTTGGTCTTTTTCATGTTCTGCAATAAAATATCATCACTGCAAAAGAGCAGGATGCAGAGAAGATCAGTGATGTTGTGATGGACGTTCGATCCCACCGTTTAGAGACGGGTCAGAAGGTGACACAAACCCGAACCATCTAGAAACAGGACCGTGCGAAGACTCCAGCACGCTTCATCAACATTTAAACCAATTTAGGGGAGAATTACTGCAAAGAGAACTCCAGAAACCACAGTCAGGTCACAGATATGAACGTATCAGACTGTTACAGCTGTATTATGTTCTGTTGACGCTGAGACGCCCTGCAGGAAAAAGGTCAGAAGTGCTTCATCTGCAGATCTGATCCACGGGTCAAAGAGTAGATCTAGAAAATATCAATACACTTTATTTTTCTGCTTCAGTAATTTCAACCGCAAAAAAGAAAGAGTTGAATGTCTTTAATTCAGCCCTTAGGGTGCAGTTTTTTTTACACCTGCTACATCTGAGCGATCATTAAAACCATCATGGCTGACCTCCTGACCTCACACTCCTGCTGAAGCTGCTTCATGTAAAACTCGGAGTAAAACACACCTCGTGATACAACGCACTGTTGGTAGACGGATTAAAAACAGCATTAAATCAGATTATTGACTTTACCTGTTTGTGTGTTAGTCAGCCGTCAGGACTGAAGTGTGGAGGGTGTAACAAAACAATGAAACCATGAGGAGTTTACCTGCTGATGAAGAGGATCATAAATCCAGTTAGTGTTGGGCGGTATGAACAAAATCTTCTATCACAGTATCAGTAATTTTATTTCACAGTATCGGTATATATCACTGTATGTTTTTCTCCTGTCAATTCAACTAATTGCTTAAAAATAAAAAAACTGTTGCATTTGTTCATTTTCTTTTTATTTTTAAACTCAAATTTGGAAACAAATACAAACAAAATCTCAGACCAGTCTGCCGATTTTTGATCATATGTCATATCTTTGGCGAAAGACTCTGCCAAACTCTTTAGTCTGAGAGGAGCTGCTGCAGTTTTAGTTTTCGGTGCAGCAGGTGCGTCACGCCTCCTTTGTCTCTCGTAATAGAGTTTGGCGTGTTTCATCTTTAGGTGGTTGAAGAGGTTGTTGGTGTTTCCTCCTCCAGCAACGACAGACACACCACACTCTTTGCATAGTTTTGTTTTTTGATCATTGTTGGATTTTCTAAATCCGAAGAATCTCCAGACAACCGATGTCAGGACTCAGGCCCTTTTTCGGAATGAGTCCCTCCTCCTCTTCCTCGTGTTGTGTGGGTCGTGATGCCTCCATTTGCTCGGTACTGCCACTAATCTCTGCGTCCGCCATGACCACCACCAGTGAAGCTGTTTCTTCTTCATCAAAACGATGCCAAGCAGGACAAATAGAGCGAACAAGTTCAGCACAACACGCTGGTGAATATACGGAAACGCACCCAAACGGATGCGCTCCGGCTTTCCTGTTAGCGAGCGCAGACAACTACACACTGACTCAGAGAGACGCAGCAGACATCTGCTCTCTCTCTCTCTCCGGTATAAACGGTAGAGCAAAATTTCTACTGGTAGACACTTTTATACTGTCACAGTTGTACATACCAACACGAAACCCAGTGAATCAAAAGCAACATGAACTCATTCTGGTGTCCATCTTCATCGGACAGTTGACTCTTCCCTCTGTTTTCCAGCAGAAATAAACTCGATTCAACATCGCTTGAACATCAGTCGTTCGATGGTGTAAGTTCTCCTTCGGTGTAATAAGCTGCACGTACTTTAAGGCAGTTCATATTCCCTGTGAACTCCTCTGAAAGGGTCACTGTATATTCAAAACAAACAGTTATTTGATTTGATTTATCGTCTGCTTGTTTGTAGATGAAAGTTAAATTGCGACTCTGATCTGTTTCTGCCGAGCATCAATCTAACCGAATGCTCCAGCGGCGGATATTTTCTGCTGTTAAAACACGCTGAATGTTTCCCCGACCTTTTGATACGTGTGGTTATTACTCATTAGAGCGAAATGTTATTTTCTGATTCACAAACAGCAGCTGCCTCCCATCCTCCTGATCAATTTGCTGTTAAAAAAAAAAAAAGAACAACAACAAACAAACCTTTTCATATCCCTGTTGTGTTATTAATATTTCTGTGCATACAAATGGAAGAGGTCAAAGCACTAAAAGAAAACACACAGATATTTCCTTTTCATCCACCTCCCTGTATATGCGGAGGACGTGGATGAAATGAGCAACAGCAGATGAGGATCGGCTTTTAATCCCTCCGAGTGATGATGGGGAGTTTGTTTCTGGTCCGAGGACACAGGTCTGACACCTCCAGGGAAATTATAACCACTCTGTATTCATGCTGCCAGGAGCACCGGGCCTCAGAGTGAAATGATACACAATCAAGTTTAAACCCTGTGCGATAGGAACCGTTTATGTCCAGGTAGGGAAACTGGTGTAAAAACGCCGAACAGAGATTTTATTTCCCCTGTTCTCGCTCCACAACAACGGTTCTTCTCACTGATGGAGGTTTGCAGACCAGACGGAAGCTCGCTTGTTTCATACTGAAGTTCTCCTCGGATGATTGTCATTTCATCTATGTTGGTGTGTTTCTGCAGGAAATAACAGTGTGCATGGAGAGATGAGTCTGTCACTTCCACATAGTGACCGTTTCCACTCAGTGAGTGAGAATCTGCAATGCTGTTTTTTTTTTTTTTTTATGATTAACATTTTTTTTATTTCCATTTTTCTTTTAAACAGTACAAACACAAACACAAAAACACAAAACATCCCTCCCTCCCTCCCCAAGTCACCACCAACTGCACTCATTCCTCTCTGGCTTGCAAAGTACGCCACTGTGCTACTCCTTGTACCACTTGCCTTGTTGGATCGGCTGCATCAATGTAGCTAAACATAAAGCAATCACAATCTCTACACAAATCATCGTTGAGATACAAGAAAATATATGAATAAAATAAGATAAAATAATAAATAAAAAATATTAATAAGTATATAACAATAAATATACATATACATACACATACTATAAAATAGAATAATAACTATAGTAATAGAAAATATACAATATATATACTATATGTAATTATAATTATATCAATTCACAAAATATAAATGATATATACATAAAAATAAATAAATACATAAATAAATATATAAAAATAACTGAATACATACAAACACCTAATAAGCAAGTAATTTAAAATAATGGGTAAAATAAATAATAATTAAAAAAAATAAATAAATCTGCGATGCTGTTTTATAGACGATGAATAACTCATGAAATCTGGGAAGTTCTTACGGTTGGAGTGCTTTGCAGTTGATCAGAAAGACAGTCGAGCCCAACCACACGTGAATCTGCCATGAGGTACCTTTGAAATAAACTCAGTGCACAGATGAAAGCCTGTAGGATAATCTACTTTTGGTGGTTTAGTGGGGCACAAAGATCGGATAAAGAACCTTTTTCTCTTGGAGAGTCAGGTGTGTCTATCACGCCTCTCTATGTAAACACACGAGACCTGACTCCCCTCCTTCTACTGCGTCTCTGAACACACAGGAAACACTCTCAGGATGATCTATGAGTCATGTCAGTTCATGGATTATTGTCAAATTCACTGAAACGATTCCTCTGAACAACAGAAACAAAAGTGACTCTCCGATTGGCACAAATACACAAAAGGCACGGCAGCATGAACATGAACATCCCCGTTATCTGTAACTGAAGTCCAGAGTGTGTTCATCAAACGAAGGTTGGGTTTGGATATCGGTGTTTTTTTGAGCGTCTGTTTCTGCTTACCTGTGAGAGTGCGCATGATGGAGAGCTTGATGACGTTCATAGTCTGGAGGGCGGAGGTGAAGCCGGTCTGTGAGGTGATGGTGATGATGGTGTCCTGAGATCGAAACGTTTCTGCTTTTTATATATTTTATAATTTAAGATGAGTTTTGAAAACTGGAGGTGATCAACCCCCAAATTCCACCGCATGCGGAACAGCAGCAATCGCAAGGACTCACAAAAACCCGGGAATTCACATGCACTCCTGCGATGACGAGTTGTCTCTATAAAGACAGACACATAGACATATAAGCAGTAGATTGTGTCCTTCCAGAGGAGGAAATCTACTCTCTCCAGACCAGTAGAATAGAATATTCCTTTATCGATCCCCCATGGGGGAAATTTTTTGGAATGACGTTTTTTCAAAGGTTGTCTTGTAATGTTGGATCAGGTCATGACACTGTTCATTTTCAACTCTCAGTCTGAGATATGTAGTCTCTTCACATGGTGGATGTCAGGGTGTTAAGTGAACAGAGTGGGCTCGTCCGGGATTTGAACCCGGGACCTCTCGCACCCGAAGCGAGAATCATACCCCTAGACCAACGAGCCACTGATGAGCCAGATCAAACACTTTTGTGGAGACGGGTGAAATGACGTCTGAATAAAACTTAGACTTGTTCATCCCCGCTCACGTTTACATGGTGTGAAATACGATCCTCCTGAAACACTTGGTGTTTTATTTTGAAAAGAAGCCAAATGTTTTATTTTGTGTCTGTCCCACACGGATTAATCTGTGCTGAATTTATGCGGCATGCTGCGGCATAAAAAAAAAAACAGAATTCCAGCGATTGGATATGATGCCCGTTAAACCACAGAGGGCCGGTGGAATTTGACACTTTAACTTAATGGAAACGATTGGCGGCGATCAGCACTGACGGCCTTTTTCCCGCCATTCTGTATGCGGTGGAATTCGGGGGTAAGTCCTTTAAAACAACCTCCATCCTGGTCAAACTTTCTATAAAAAGAATTAAAAGGCGAGCACAGGTTGATAGTGCTTCGTTTTAGTGGTCCAGTGACCTCTGTCAGGCCTGAAGATCGATCTTCAAACCGGGGATTAACTCTTGGACTCGCTTTAGTGTCTGATCACTTTAAAAATCTGGTTTCAAAACTTAATCCACCTCCAGATTTCTCTTGTTGAATGAAGATCCCGTCCCTTTTTCAGTGTCAATATTGTCAAACATTTCAAAGAGCATCCAAACAGAAGACTTCACAAGTGTTGACTGAATAAGAGAGATTTACTGCTCCTCCTCCAGAGAGCGATTTGTAAAGAGGAAAGAAAAGAAAGCGCTGAGGATGTCACACCAAAATAATCTAATCCTTTAAGCATGGGAGGAATATTGTGACACGATGAAGAAAAGAAATGAAACAGCTGAGAATACAGCTTTTTTTTTTTCTTGCTGAGTGATGACAACCCAACCAACAGCACAACAGCATCGCCTCAGGCCACAACAATCAGCGAGAAACCAAAGAAAGACCCTCTAAATGAAAGACAGACGAGGCTGCGAGGAGAGGAGAGCGCCGCCGAGTGAAATAGAAGCAGAGCGACAAATGGAAAGAGAGAGATAACAGGGGAAAAATTAACAGGAGAGTGATGTAAAGTGAAGACCGGAGGCCGACACCTGTCACCGCCATTTAAACCTTTTTACCAAACCTTATCAGGGCGAGGCGGGAAATGAGACATCCAGCAATTCCCCGCTTCGTCCCTGTCAGACCGCCATGAAGAGGACGCCGTCAAGGCGACAGAGGCGGCTGGAGATGAATAAAACATCGAGTGAGGCTGCAGCTAAAAAAAGTCGAAGAGAAACGTTCAGGTGTGTTTCTTTTGTTTGTGAGGCTGAACATCGACTCGAGGCAGCGTTACTACAGCAGGACGAACATCGGAATAAGACGTTCACTGAGTAAGAAGATCGTAGAAACGTATATCACCGAATTTAAGAACAATAGATTGACAAAACCAGGAAATTCATCTTTCATGGAATCTTTGTAGAACATTTGTAGATCAGTTCATTTCAGGCTCTTCGATCTCATCGTTGATCGTCCTGTTTCCCTCTTGGTGTCCAAGAAAAAAACCTCCCTACTGGAGCTTTAAAGTCAGCCAACTATTAAGCAAACAGATTATCGTCCAAAGTTTGTTTCTAAGTTTTCAAAGCTACAGATTTTCTCTTGATTCATGTCTATAAGGTTTGAAGATTTGGAAGCGCTTGTTGAAAAGGTGGGAAATAATGAGCATGAACTCAAAAGCCGCTCTAAAGGTCCTTACACACCAGGCGCGAATTCGCCAGGCGACTTATTCGCCTTTTTTTAAAACAGCATAAAGTCAATGCAAGCTTCCACACCGGCGGCGATTTTTCTGCGGGGCGAAAAGCGTCTTTTATTTTTTCGCTCTTGCGTCGAAATTTTCGGAGATTCGCAGGCGAATATCTGGACCTGCTAGACCTCTGGCCAATCAAAAGTCATGTTGTTGATGACATCACACACCACCACTGGCACCAAGAGCAACGATGGGAGAGAGTGTGGACCACAGAGTGGCCGCCCGGTGTGTAAGCGAAAGCGATTTTTCGGACTGGCGAATATTTTCACATTTTCGTCTCGCTTTTTCGCTTCGCTCCGCAAATTCGCTGGTGTGTAAGGACCAAAAGAGCCCGAGTCAGTTTATTTTAGTCTGTGTGACATTTTTACTGCCAACAGAAGTGAATAAAAACAGTAAAACCAGGATTCAAAGATCCAGATCATCCTAATCCAAGTCTGTTCTGCTGAATGCCACTCGAGCAGAAACCAACAGCAGGAAAAATCAACAGAGATCCTTTTTACAGCGGCAGCAAAAACCTTCGAGAGTCCAAATCAGTGAAGTGGATATAAGGGAGACAAACAGACGGATGAAAAGAGAGACAGACAGCAGTCTCAGCAGCCGTCAGCTGAATGCTGCGACAGTTTTTGACAATTCCCCCCTAAAATTATTCATTTATCTGCCTCACATCTTTCTGATGCAACCTGGAGAAAGACGAGTTCAAAGGATGTTGTCAGAGCGACAAAATAAAGCGGGCTGCAGACGGAGTCGACGTCACAGTCAGGGCGGCTCGACTGCAGAGTTTGGTCGGAGACGGGGTCGACACGTTTTTACTCCAATTCATCCTCTTTAACCCGGTCTGTAAGTCCGACTTCGTGGCGCTTTGGAAAAAGGAGGTCGACAAACCTTTGGTCCATGAAATGGCGGCGACACTCACATTTACAGACACAGTCAGTGGTCGAAACACAGACATACAAACACAACACAGCAATGTTAATAATAAAAAGAAGAAGAAGGAGAAGGAACGCCAACGCCGGGGAGGAATTTAATCACGACTGTCCGGTTTAAAGGCGGCTGGAGATCTTTATCCTGCACCACCTGTCAGTCCGCTGACACCGCCACATCAAATAAAAGCAAAATATTAAAAACAAAAACATTAATATATCGAATGTTTTTTTCTTTTTAATATAAATACAGATATATAAACTAAAATGTGAAGAGTCTATCATGATAAAAGAAGCTCCTGTGAACAGATTCAAGTCGTACAGTTAGATTTTCTCCTCTCTCCTCCTTCAAAAGTTAAAAATAATAATAATGATGACAATAATTAATCAATTCAGTATCAGAAACATGAACTTTAAAGCCGTCAGTTACACAAACATTTGGATTTTGTTGTGTCTGATTCGAAATGTCCCATCTGGCGACATTTTTACGGCTCCCTGTTTGTCGTAAATTCGTCATTTAATATCTGAAATTAAAGCAAACACACAGACGCAGCAGAGAGTCTGCGAGCTTGGGTTCAGGTGCAGACACATCAGTATTCGAAGGCTGAACTCCTGCTCTGAATAATTTCCTCCTCCTCACACACACATGTATGCAGCTGCTGCGTTTGCACTTCTTCGTTCTTATTTCAGAGTTTTTCTTTTCACAGAAGCACATTTTCTCGGTCACGAGAGAACCCAGAGCTCGTACGCGTCGTTTGAAACTCCTGGTAATCTGCCCTCTGAGGCATTTCCACAACAAATTAGAGCGCCACGTTTCATGTTTTAATTACAGTGTGCCCTTCAGATCAGGGCTCAGTTTAGCAGTCCTGCTGGATTTCACTCTGTCCAATAATAATTCTGACACACACACTGATATTTTTATTCCCGCTGCAGTCGATCTTTACTCCGTCAAACATTCTGCTCCAGAGTGAGACGTCTCAACGACTACAGAGATCATTTTGATGACACTTTCTGTAAAAACTGATGATCCCCAGACGCTGAGTCGTAAAGGTTTTAGAGAGCACATGACACTGTTTTTTTAAGTGTCACCATAAGGACATATTTAACAGTACAGCTCCAGCTCTGAAAAGCCTCTAAAAGTCTGAATAATACAGTCAGGAAGAAACAATCGCAGAAGTAACGAACACTGACGCCTCAAGAGGGCGCTAACACTGATCAATAATGCAACACTTGTGTGCTCTGGAGCTTTACGGTTTATTGTGTCACATCAGAAAATCACACTGCTGCACTGTCCCTTTAATTTAACACACTCACACACTTTAGTTTATATCAGCCCCACAAATTCTGTTTTCTTCTGTGTGATGGTTGTTTAAAATGTCAACTGTGAACCTACTGAAAAAAGTCAGGTTGTGTAAACACTTAAATAACGACTTGAATGTATTTGATTATTATTCGTCTTTATAACTATCAACCACTCTTGCAAAATAATATTATACATGTTATTTATTAGGAATGAAAGTAGAATTTATTTCTTCATGATTAAATATTGAATTTATTCAGGCCTGATAGATTTTTTGGGGGCTGATTACCGATTAATCGACCCGATTTTTTGAAATTTTTATGAAGTTATAAAAAGTTTATATATACTGTAGATATACTGTAGGCTACTGCTCTTCACACTGACAGGAAGACTGACTGATCAAACTTGGACCAGAAAAGCGTTTTCAACTAAACACCTTAAATCAGCGTTTTGGCCGATTTAATCAGCTCGCCGATAAATCAGTCAGGCCCTTGAATTTATCAAAAGTAACTCGCTTAACTAGAGGTTTAAATGAATTATGTGTACACAAGGATTTGCTGTTGATTATGTAGTGATTCCTTTAAACTGTGGTCCTGATCCCAAAGGTCAGATCCACAATCGATGGCGAACTAAGGAGCAGGCTTAGAGTCTACAGTGACATCCAGTCTCATCTGCACCTCTCCTGCCAGGCCAGTAGGGGGCTCACTGGAAACCACTGAAAACTGGTACGCCCATTCATTCAATCATGAATCATGACTTTATTTTATTTTGAAAATTAACCGGGTATTTTACTCTGTAACCACATAAAACTTCTGCTGCTGCGCTGCACTGGATTGATGCGCCGTGCTCTGGCATAGCAAAAATAGAAGCCTCGCGTATCTGATCCGGCCGCTGGAGCCGATCCGCAGCGGAGCCGGATGCCGGACAGATTCTGTGGAATGACTCACATTGATTATAATGCTTATAAACCCTGTGGGTTTTCCCCGTTATATTCGGACACCATCAGCACTAAAATAACTTTTTTCTGACTCGGTTACTGAAACGCTGGTAACTCGGGTGTGACGTCATTTTCAGCTCGGACTTCCGGGCTAACTCGAACGCAGCGATAGTCTTCTGATTACTAGCCTATCACCAAGGGTTACCGTGTTAATCATCACATAGATATCATAAAGTGTTAAACCAACACCCACTAGTCTGTGTTTCTTCTTAAATCTGAATCATTTTAATAATTCAAAGTGATTTACAGCTTCTGAAAATACAGCGAGCATTTATCACCAGGATGTTTATATTGAACAAATATCTCCAGTGTGTCTGTGCTTCTGCATGAAAAGAGTGTGTTTGTACCGTCTCTGGTATTACGATACCTTCTGTTTTTATAAGCTGATGCAGAAAAGCATATGTGTGAAGATATTACATAAAGAGGTTACAAAATCTGAGAATACATGAGCGGTGTAAGACCCAAACAATGTTCGGGGGGATTTGATTCATGCAGCAGGTGAGCCCGGCTCAGAAGGTGAGTCATCTCATTGTGTTTCAGTGTTTTAAGTCTTTTTGTAGGAAAAGATGCTGAATTAGTTAAAGCAGAAACAAAACGAACGCCCTCGTCCTGCAGGCTGCCAGAACATTCCTCCGCTTAGCCTTCGCTTGTTGAGACTCTCAATCAGTCCTGGCACCGAGACGTTGCACATATTGGAGTAGGCTGATTGGCTTTCACGTCTTGGCGGCGGCGGAGGAAGAAAAAAAAAAAAAAAAACCAGGACGGTTAGTGATTAAATTCACTGGCAGCCCGGGCAACACAACAAAACACAACACACACACAGACACACACACACACTCGTCTGTATTTACATTGTTGGACACTAATCCTGTTAATGAAAAATGTGCAGGTTTTCACAGCCACTGGCATGAGAGGAGCCAGCCCTCTCCTGTGGGAAGGGAGGTGGGATGAGCGCTCCCCTGCCAAAATAAAAGACACACTAATAAGGAGAGAATGTCGCAATCATGTGAAATTATGTTCTGGAAGCGGCTCGCCTGCAGGTGCACCTGACTGATGAACCTGTTGTATCTGAGCAGGTGACGCTCTGATGTCATGACACAGTGCCGAGATCTGAGCCGGTGTGTGTGTGTGTGTGTGTTCTCCTGCAGGGACACACTGATCCAACTCTCTTTTCCAAACACACACACACACAAATAAAAACAAGGCACACATCGTCCCCCGCAAACAAAGCCTGCTCTGCTGCTTTAGGCTGTGTGCGATGTTCTATTGTCTTCAGTCTGTCTGCAAATCTCATCATGGGCTCCTCTCAAGTTTCCGTGTCAGGGTTTATTCAAAGTTTAAACTCTTTATTTTACATCTGTTAGCACGCGCTTGTGCAAATTTAAATGTTGTTTTCTTCTTAAAAAAAATTGAGAGTAAACTTTTGTTAATTTTGCAACAAATTTTCCAGAGTAACCTCGTTAAAAAATTAAAAAGGAAAACTGATTCATGAAACAATAAAAGTTTCAAAGGGGTTGTGTTATCGTACTCGTTCAGGCTGTTTTCTACATCTGACATATAAACCAGAGTCTGGAGAAATACCGGATCCTGATTGGCTGCATGGCGAAACAATTACGTCATCTTTTTCTGTTTGTTTTTCCAGGTTTAGACCTTTCTCTTTCTCGATTTTTAATTGTTTTGTTAAGTTTCTTGCTTGTCCGAGTTTGTCATAACTGCAGGTGTTATTCTGTCATGAGGGGATGACTTGATCATTTCTTTATCATTTCCTTAAAGTAATAATCACCATATTAATCATTTTCACTGCAGACGCGGAAATGAACGTAAATTTTCTTCCTTGAGCTGCGGCACCCCGCTGTAGTCCGTAATGGACTGGTCTGAGGTCTCACTACAAACAAGCGGCTGCTGGAAGAGAGTAGGTGAGTTGTGTTTAGTCTCTTCGCTAAAGAAATGAGTCAAAGTTAAAAAGATGTTTGGTGTCTAGTACTATGTCTGTGACCCTATATGTCCTGTTGATGAAGTTAGGTGCTGTTCTGAGCATTATTTGTGGCTATAGAGTGGCGTTTTGGTTGGGGGCGTGGCTCTCTGTATTACTATCCTGTGGTTGTTACTAAAGTTGGTATAACTAGAGAAGCAAGCGGTCGGCAACATTCATCTCTCGATGGGATGTCTAACTCAGTGACCTGACCATTAATTAATTTCATGCTGGAATTTCCCTTTAAGTCAAAGTAATATTAGAAATTTCCATCGTTATTTTCTTATGTTGTCATTTTTGTCACCTTCTCAACAGGAAGAGTCAAAACCATAAAGGTTAATTTCCTCCTGCCTATTAACAAGGGTCGGTAACACTGTACAATAACCATAATCCATAAATGGTAAATAGATAGTTTATTAACATTTAATCATCATTTAAAAACAGAATATAGACCAATTATAAACGGCAAATAGATAGTTTATTTATATAAGTTATTAGTTACTTTACCATCAAGAAGCAATGAAATAATGATTAATAATTTTCATTAATTATTAATGGACTATTTATTAAAGGTTTATATAGAGTTTAAATATTGGTTGTAAAACATCTAGATTAAAATGTGTGTCAGTAACTCTTTGTAAATGGTTAATATTTGGTTTTTAAATAATTTATAAACTTTACTTTGAGGGTTATTGTAAAGTTAGGGTTGGGTTTTTAAAATTGTAAATTTGTAAATTTGTAAATGATGATTAAACATTAATAAACTATCTGCTTACTATTTATAAATGGCCTATTTCCCATTTATAAGTTATGGTTATTGTAAAGTGTTACCCAAGTGTCTTGACCAATCAGAATCAGGCATTCGACCCCGCTGGGCAATGAGTTAAAAAATCAACATATGTAAAATCTGAGCTGCTGAATGGCGTGCTCTGATACCCGTGGACTTAAACCACAATTTTACCAGGTTGTTTAAATTAGCGGGCCTTAAGGGGATTTCTTTGATTTTGCAGCCACCCCCTGGTGGACACGTGTGGAATTGCAGTTTTTAAATCTTATGTATTGACTTTTACACTGCGAAAGATTTTAAATACATTTCAGTCAGGTAAATATCACCTCCACTTCATATAGATTAACAGGGGTTGTTAACGTAAAGAAAAATAAAAAATAAAAATAAAAAAACCCTCAAAATAATATTTCTGAGTAAGTTTTCATCCTGACTGACCCAATATTTCATATATATCATAACTAGCTTGGTCAGGAGGTCATATATGTATACATATAAGTGAAACCACATTGTTTTCATTTTTCCAGCGTAGGGCCACCGACGGAGCTGCTCTCTGAGTTTGGAGGAGTGTTGGTGTTGCTGGTCATTAATAAAAGTGGTGGGTGAACCATAAACCCTCCACTCGTGGCCCTGGCTGAGGTATCATAATATATTGAGATCTTTTTGGCGGGGGTAACGGTGGTGTAAAATATTTAACATCGGTGCAGCCCAGCAGAAGACTCGGAGCAGCAGCAGACAAATATCCTCCTCTGAAGTTTCATCAAAATCTGATCAGCAGCATCCAAGATATTGCGTGTGACAGACGGAGGGATGGAGGGATGGACGAGTGCCGACCCTCAGTCCCACTGCGGGGGGCAACAGTGCTACCAACGGCTAATTAATCAAATTATATGACAGATGGTGTAGAGGAACTATTTCCCCCACAGGACGCTTTTAGATGAGCCACCGGCCTCGTGGTGAAAGCGAGCGTCAGCACTTGACTGAAGTCCTCTCATTCTGTCCAATAAGAGAGGAAAGCCGAGGGAAGAAGGGCGGCATTAGTGGAGGCTTGGAAGAGAGAAATAAGAAAAGAGTGATGGAAAAATATTGCTCTTTCCCTTTGGATGTGATATGATCGCAGCCGGGTTATATTGCTTTGTGGAATATTGCAGGGGCTCAGAATTAGATTGGGTCTCCCCCTCTGGCTTCCATGATAAGGCCTCAGGAAAAGCTGCTTTGGATCGATCCCACCGACAAAAAGGGGACGACAGGAACATAAACAGATTATGGACCTTTGAAACGACTTCATTTCCAGGCAGGGGACACACCCACGTGCCCCTCCATCCCCCTCCATCCTCCCGTCCTTCTCCTCCCTGCAGCCAAATTCGGTCACCAGAAGCTCACTTTGTCATGACATGGATGAACTGATTTTTTTATGTGTGCCAGGCGATTTTTTAAAGAACATCCTGAGTTTCCTTTAACTCGGGATCCTGTTTATTTCTTAGGCAGGAAATAAACAGGAAAGTGGCGCCGAAAATCAAACTCATCCAGGTGGCTCCTCTCCAGGAGGTCGGCTGAAGTTTAGATATAAGAGCTTCACCATGAGCAGAAATTATCCTTATCCAGGAGATTTGGAGGATGTGATGCTATTGGGAGGGCTGAAATAAAAGTCAAAAACACTGCCCTCTGTAGGCAGGGCCAGGTACTGCTTCCTGCCTTTATAAGACCAGGTGTGGGCGATTAACCCCTCTTTGTCTGATTCTGGTAGCTGTGTTTGTGTTCAGGTAAGAGAGCGCTGGATAGAAACTCCTGATGATTCAAGTTTGGTCAGAAGTTTAATGACTTCTTCCGTGTTTAGAAGTGGAAAGCTGTTTGCTGATTTGCTGTGACTGTAGGTGGACGATAAATCCTGATTTTCTTCATGAGGTTGTCGGCTCATCACTGATAACAGTCTTCATTTTCTAGGAGGTCTGTCCTAGTCTCTCTCTCCTGTGTGAACCACAATATCCAGCCTGTTGACTCTCCCTGATCAGGGCCCAGACTGAGCGAGGTCACACACTGACATGGTCACGTATTATTATTATCCTCTGAGGAGTTTTAGGTCGGTCCATGATTTTCTCCGATGTTTCCTTCATTTCAGAGACTTGGATATTTGTGTCTAGCTCAGCTGATATTTTGTGTTTTGCAGCTTGTGTAAGACGGAGAATACCTGGCTGTGAAATCCAGGACCTGCATTAGTCTGGGGAAAAAATCGTCTTTGTTCAAGCCAAGACGATTAATCTGTGGGTTCTGTGACAGGATCTCCCCACAGTAAGTATACTGTTGAAGTATTTTAATTAGGATTGTTATTATACATTTTTAAAGTAGGAGGTATTTGTTTTTGTTATTTATGAACCTAACCTGTGGAAATAAAATGATTGTTGTACCTGACGTTCTTTCCTCTTTCTTTTCAGTATTTTTTAGCAGCTTTAAATAAACAAATCTTTCCTGTGAATCAAATCCACGTCTCCTACTTCTCCTTGAATCTGTTAACAGGCTTCAACACTTTTGAAGAAAGGTGTTTTTTTTTTGTTTTTCCCCAACCCTGTGAGTCTTTTTTGTTTGTATGTCCCTTCACACTATGTCTTTTGGTACCTCTGTGCATGCTGAGCTTTTGCCTTTTTTGTAGTGGAAAAAAAAAAAAAAGCTGCAGGTGTGTTGTTGTTGTTGTTGTTGTTGTTGTTGTTGTTGTTGTTGTTCACTGATTTCTTTTTGTTTCTTTTTGTTTCTGTGTCACACGACAAGTTTTACTTCTACCTTTTTAAAATTTCATGATGAAACTGATGTCACCAAAATTCAAGAATGAAACACGGAGAGGTTACATGATTTTTACCCAGAAGATGGCGCTCAAGAGAAAAGTCATGTCCTCCATGCTTTCTAGATACATATAAGATATTCCTTTAATTCCAAAATTACATCAGCATAGGTACAGATGGAAAAAGAGAAATTACATCATATTTAAGACATCACACTTCAGTCCTAAAAGCTTCTCCTCCTCATGAGGATCTGAAAACACAGATAAAGATGGTTTACAGTTAAGGAAACAAAACTGTTGGAGGAGGGCTGGTTTGTTTGTAAAGACTCTTCGGTTTAAGATTACGGGTTCCTGGTCCTGATGGTCATGGGTAGGAGGTCCTGTTATACCTGTTTAAAACCCAGTAGACTATGATCAACCATCCTGGGGTTAGCGGGCTGGGTAGTAATAAAAAATGAAGTGTGAGACAGGGCTACACATCTGCATGAAAACCGCACATTACTGAACAAAACAGTCTTAAAAGGGTTTCTGTTAAAACTGTTCTGAGCAAATAACATTTCATTAAGTGGTTTAATTTATTTGATTTTAGTCTAAAAACTTTATATGAAAAAGGAAAAAAGCAAAACACTCCAAAGCTCAAATACACCAGGATTTAAAGGTACAGTGTGTAGTTTTTCGCCACATTTAGCAGAACAAAGTTGGTTTTAAGAGAATATTTTTATTCAAGTTTCTGTTTTATCACTTTAATATGAAATGAAGAAACTTAAGAGGAGCTTTATATCTTTATAGGAAAGGGTTTCCTCCTTAGCGCCATGTTTCTACGGTAGCACAGAATGGACAAACTAGTAACACATGGGTTTATGTAATCGCGCCGTATTGAAGGACAGGAAAGATGGACTGTCTTTGGCTCAGTGTCTCCCTCATCTGCTCCTCCCGAGAGACAAAATCCCGTAATAAAACCCCCTCAATGTTATCCTCAATTTATTTCCACTTCATGACTGTTGTTCTCTGACAACGCGTGAGGAGGATAACAGCTCAGAGAGGAAGGAGAAAAAAAAACCTCCCAGATTTATTGTGAGTAAAAGGCAGCAGGACAGAGCTGACAAAACAGATCCAATATTGTGGCTTGCTCCTTCTAATCTTATGAGTGGTCGGGGAGCGAGGTGATAGCGCAGATAAAAGTAAATCTACTTGGCAGAGAAGATTTGTTGTTCTCATTTGTTTGTTGTGAGCGAGGCACGAGAGAGTATTAAGAGGCCGCGCTCGCTCGCTCGCTCGGCTCTGCTCTGCTCGGAAACTCTCCTCCAATACGAGGAAAACACCGACCGACACTCTGGGAGATAAATTAGGACTGTGGCCATGGCTGTAATGGCGGCATGATGGCTGAATTGTTTTCCCGGGGCAGAGCCGGCTCTTATTTCCCCGGCAGGAAGCTTCTCCACCTGATTAGCGAGCAGAAAACCTGCTGAACAGAGCGAGCGAGCCGAGTGTGGGCGACAGACAAACAAGAACAGAGCTGCTGCTTCCTGCTAAAGGACACACACACTCACACACTCACACACACGCGCGCGTCGTGCAATGGCAGCACACCAGTAAAAATTGATAGTTAACCCTGCTCTCACACACACAGTCAGAGAGAGTCAAAAAGTGCTCTAACAAGGTTCAGGAACATTGTCTAAATCAGCAGAGATTGGTCAGCGCGGCGCCGGGCCTCAGGAGCCTCCACAATACTGTCACCTGGACTGAGGTTACCGCCACAGGACTGAGCTAAAGTACTGCTAACACACTCATGCATCATGCATATCAAACCAGGGGGTGTGGCAGACATCTTTTCCAAATGATAACACTCAATTTGTGCAGCTTTTCTGATGGTTTTATTGTTTTGTTCTCTATTTATGCTTTAAATATTGAGATTCAGCTAAATGAGTTAGGGCCTGTGTCCACCAACGTCTCAGTTCAGTGTCTCTTTTCTGAGCAAAATCAGTGCAGGGTTTAATTTTCAGGCGTAGACCTGCTGCTGATGCTACGATTTTAATCTCTCATTTTTTTTTCTCTAGTCTAATAGCTACTTATTTCTTCAATGTCTAAATGTCAGTTTGACGTCCGACCAGCCAACTAGAAAACAGTCATGGCCAAGCGATCACAGAGTCTGCAGGTTGACGGTGCCAAAAAGAGTCTGGAATCACCACAAGCGCTCCAGTCAACCAGACACACTGACTTCAAAATCTATGCATATTTTTGTCTCCTTGTGTCGACCCATGTGATGAGATGCAGCCCATCATTCGTTGCTTGTTTGCATCCGGGTAGTAGATCATGATATCACCGTGGAGATAACCATTCAAAGAAGCTACAGCGATGGTTCGAAGTAGAAGCGTCTGCATGAAGCTCAGAAACAACAGATGACAAACGTTTGGTCCTACTGTCAAAGAAATGTCGATCGTTCAGTCAAACCACATCTCTACATGATTGGACGATTTAAAGTTCCATTCTGGTCATTTTTTTTTATTAGCTTAAGTGTTCTCAGTAGTCTTAAAATTGTGATTTTAGAGTTTTGGGCCGAAATTGTGTAGTTAGTAGCTCATTAGGAATTCGCCTCTGAGTCGTGGGCAGAGACAGCGCTGTTCTGCACACTCCTCTTTACGCTAACTTGTAGTCTAACATTGAAGTAGCAGGTAACATCGGAGCTATTCAGCTCTCAGACACTAATGTCTTTAGGGACATGTTCCTCGCTTGGTCCTCGATCGTCCTCTCTACTTTTCTGAGTCTGGCCTGCATAGCAGGGCTCCGGGGGCGGAGCTTGGATTTGTGACATAGGAAATCTTACTGTTTCTGTACCTGCCGTTTGGCTCTCTCAGAGGTTCACAGTGATTTCAATGCAGAAATACTCAGAAATGCAATTTCAGGCTGTTTTTTCTCATGATGTGTCCTGTAGCGTCAGAAAAAATAACATATGAACATGAAGACAACGAGAAAAAATTGATTTTCATCGAAGTCTTTAAAGCTCCAGTGAGGATCTCTTGATTTGTGTTGACTTTGGCGCCCCCTGCAGACAAAACCGTCTTCGCTAATTTCGTCCTCTTCCACAGTCTCGTTGCCGATGGTCTTGTTAGCGTTTGGATATCACAAGAATACATCAATATGACTTTCATCACCTTAAGGGTACTTTTTGTAAAATTGCACTACGATGTTTTTTATTGTAATGTGCTTGTTCATTACTGATATTAATTAAGCTTTTTCATGATTTATAAACTGTATCTAAGTTAAGACATTTAAATTAAAAAAATGTGTCTAATTAACAGCTATCTTTAACGATGACTGTGCAGTTACTGCGCTGAAGTATATGGGTTTAAAAAAATCTCCTTAATTTGACTTTTTCTTTATTTTTCAGATCTTTGCTGCAAACTTTAAAAAAGTCGTATATTTCACACAGTGCCTGTTTTATTCAATGATAGTGGTTTTAGTATTTCTCCACTTCATTCTGTCTCCATTCAGTGACCTCTTTATTTCACTCACTTTATTGACTCTGCCCATTTGGATTTTTTGGCTGCAGTCGGTTTATTTTCTGCTCCTGAGTCCAACATTCAGCTCTAAGCATCATTATTATTCCAAAGACAATCACCCACTCAAATTTTCTTGGAAATAACAAAAAAAAATGTGGTAAAGGTCAGGGTTTTTTTTCATTTATTTATTATTTAATATAGACACACTGCTCTAAATTATTACGTTCGATTATGCAGATACTCCACTGTAGTAGAGACACACTTTAATTGGCCCACCCACTGAGTTTAAACACAAGCACAGATTACATGAAATCACAAAATCCCTTTTTTTTCACTCCTTCATTGTTCTGTTGTCTCCATGAGGTAAAAACAAAAAAGGGAGAAAAAAAACTGTTAAATTAGTTAAAAATAAGTTTCCTAATAAACAGACAATTTGTTGGTGAATGAAACTCAAAATACGCCTCAAGAGAGACGAAGTTTTCCTGCAGCAGGGAGTAAAAGTTTGTTCCTAAAAAACACTTCGAGGCGTTTGGTTGGTGACTTATTTACAAAAGTGAAGGATGAAGACTACATTTCCCATGAGCACCGTCACCTGCTGTCCTAAACGTGTTGGCCATGCCAGAGTGCGTTTTTTATTTTCTGACCCTCATCTTTTCACACGAGGCCATGATGAGCTCGGACATCCAGAGAAGCTCGGGGTCGAGCTGCTGCTCCTTCACATCAGGAGGTGGTTGATAAGGACGCCGCCCTTAGGGGATAACACAGGCATGCCCGACTTAGACACTTAGAGGTAGGCCCAGAGCTCTCTGGAGGGATTACATATCCCACCTGGCTTAGGGGCACCTTGAGATCCTGGAGAAGGAGCTGTAGACGGGGAAGTCTGGGTAGACTCGCTTAAGGCTCATTTATGCTCGCCATACATATGAAAATGTACGCGTCCATTTCGTGGTTCCGTCACTGTCCACTTACTTCCATGCCATGCCAACGTGTGTCCTTTACGTTGGCATGGATGTTAACCATTACATCCACCAGGGGGCAGGCCGGAGTCAGAAGTTTCTGACATTGACAAACAAATAGAAACACGGCGACTGTGGAGGAGCGAGTGATGATGTTTGTTTTACATATGAGACAGAAACTAGTGATGGGCACGGCAGTTCTTTTAGATGTCCTGAATCACTGGAATCAGTTCACTAAAAAGATTCGTTTACAACTGAAGTGAGAAACAAACGAAACACTTGAGGAGGTGATTCGGTTTGGTACGTTCACTTGAAGGATTCAGTTCTTTTGAATGAATCGTTGGCGAACAAAACAACACTAACAGAAACGGAAACGGAAGCAGCGTTGGAGGAGGCGGTGGTCGGTCAGGCCACTAGATGCCTCGCAGTTGGAGGACGGAGAATTCTTTTCTCAAGAATTACTGATGAGAGAAGTTGACAACAATCCTCAAAAAGCCCCGCCATCGTCTTCTTCGTTTCTCTCTGGAGATGCAGAGATATTATACCGGGTATTGACAGCAGCAACACTGCCCCCGTGGTTTCCGGTGGTACTGCTCCGTCTGTATCTGTAAACTTCAAGGATCTGCGCAGAAATACAGATGAAAAGAACAAAAAGCACGAACAGAGAGCACCGTCTGCATCTGGAAAATAAATGAGCCTTTAGACTGCTGTTCACGACCCCTGGTAGGCGGAGGAAAATGGATTCAAAGTCGTGTCCCACCAGAGGACAATCTGGAAAGGTAGTCCGAGGAAACATCTGATGATCTGGATTGGAGCGTAAACCTTGTGTAAGCCTTCAAAGAGCTGTGAAAACACTCATGCTGGCATAAACACCGAACCCTTTTTGTCTCTAAATATCGACTCTTTAAAGTAAGCGGTTAAATTCCAGTTTAGAGAAATCACCGATCGTGTGAGTGAGACGGTTTCAGAACCAGTTAAAAACTCCTTACAGTGACTTTTCCGTTGAATATAAAGTTCTGTAAGTTCAAATGAAGCAGAACTTTCTGGAGAAGGAGCCTGTGATTGATGGGACACCTGTTTTCAGCAGACCAGACTTCAACTCTCTGAACGGTCTTTACTGTAAAAGCCGTGGACACCGTGAAGAGTAACAGGTTTTCAGGACTGTGTGAACCACAGTTTGATCGGCCTCAGGAAATGAGGCTTGTGATTTAAAAGGACACTGAAAGCAGCCATTACTCTGAAACTGATCAGGGCCAGAAAGGCTTGTTGGAAAACGCTGAAAAACCTCAAAACAGGAAACCACAGACGAGACTGAGATGAAGCTCTCCGTGATTGATCGAGCGGTTTTCTTCGTTTACGGAAGAAAGGAGGAAAACTATCTGAAAACAAATCTGAACGTGGAAGAGTGGTGGGAATGATATCTGTAACAAGATCAGCAACATAATGAGAGAAAGAGGAAATTCAACCGTACATGACAGACCAAAAGTTTTCACGCCGTCCTCTCTCGGCGCCGTCAGATCTCCAAAGCTGTGGTTGGTGAATCAGGAGAAAATGAACTTTTTAACTGAAGAAATCTGAGAAGTTTTTGTCACAATCACGGTAACAGATTTCCTGCCGACATATTTTCATGCGAACCTTTGTCTCTTTCAGGAAACTTTGTTTTTTTTTTTTCACAGAAATCTGAAGTTGTACTTGTTAGATGCTCGCTCACACTGAGTCACACTCTCCTCATTTCTTTTTCTGCAAGTGTTGCTACAGTCTCCACGCCAGACTCTTCGCGGTTGTGAGACAACAAAAAAAATCAGAAACTGAATGAAGAGATGAAGTGTGCGCTGCAGCGGCACGCGGCGATACGGTCCGCCCACCTTCATCTCGCCCGCGAAGCTGAGAGGTCGACAAGCAGCCGGCTGACTCTGCGCGAAAACACTTCACCGACAGAGGAGTCTGAGCCCGCTCCGACACGCCGCGCTGTCGACAGGAGTTTCTCTGTCGGAGCTGGAGGTGAGTCACCGCGGACGACTGAGCGCGCTCCAACATCACCCACCCAGAGTACAAACAAACAACAGGCGGGAACATCTGCGGGGAGAGGCCAGAGGAGTCAGGCTGGAGGACTCGGAGACGAGAGGAACGTGTTCATCAGGAAACGGTTGTTTATAACCCGATAAGAGCGACACCATAACCAGGAGAACAAATGTTGTGACAGGTGTTTGACGTGTTTCTGACGAGTGAATCGAAGGGCGAAGAAAACAGTTTTATTCAGGTCTTTAGTTATCATGGAGCAGGTTAAAAAATGAACAACATGCTGTTTATACGCTTTACTGAGGAAACAGCTTTTATTCTGATCACTCAGCGGTGATGGATACTTGATTCTGATTGGTCCAAACTGCAACAGATGATTATTAACGATGTAAGACAAAGGGACACAGGAGAATAATCGCGTCATCGTCACACGTCAAATCAAACGAAGGAAAGTAAGCGCGGCTCGTTTTCAGAGTTGCCAACCTAGCGACTAGATTTAGCGACTTTTCAGACCCTCCTAGCGAATTATTTTCAAAAAAACGCCTAGCGACAAATCTAGCGACTTTTTCTAGAGTTTAAAGACTTTTACATGAACGCAGGTGTCGACCCGTTGAGAAGAGTAACATTTGTTTGGGTAGCTACTTCTACAACAGTTACTAGTGACTTTCCTTACTGAGGAGTCGGTCAACACTGCTCGTTTTTCATTTGCTTGTTTACACGGCAGGCAAAGACGTTAGTTTCTGTTAGTATTAAACAAATTCAATGCTGCCGTCATCAACTTTCACAGCTGTAGTAATGTCTCGTCACCTGAATAGTTTAAGTTTGCATTTATATTCAGGTCAAGAAATCATACTTTAAAGTATATCAAGTTTATCCGGTTGGACGTGACTTTAAAATGCTCATTTATACTTTCACAAAAGACATGAATCAGACCAATCCAGCTGATAACCCTTGAAAACGCCCTGAAATCACAGACTGTGTCACACGATCACAGGACTCACTGTGGTTTTGATGTTGTTCGGTGCGTGTGTGGCGTTACACCGGAGAACGGTGCTTTCCAGAATTCTCTCTCCCTGTGTTTTCTAAGAGCGGTTTGGTTCCACTTGTCTCTTCAGAGGAAATGATGAATGTCACCACAAATCGATCCGCAGTTACTGTGAGTGATCCACTTTATCCCTCCATGAAACACTCGTCTGAGAGGAGTGGTGTCCAGGGGGACAAAGCTGCAGCTGAGAACACGAGGGCGGCTGTTCTTCAAAGAAACACAAACTCTGAAATAAAGACGAATATTTTTACCACCGATCGACAGGATTCAACCTCCAACTATTAACTGGATGACTTTGAGTTTCTTGTTGCTGTCAGGTTTTTTTTTTTTTTTTTTTGGGGGGGGGGGGGTTGGCTTTTGATTGGATCACCTAAAACTTAGTATGGACTGGAGAAGAAGAGATGAAGGAAACGGGGTTGGAAAGATGGGTGCAGGTTATGAAGACAGTTAAGGTGTGGTTCTGCTCTTCAAACTTACTGAATGGTGCGAATGGCAGCCGATGCAGATGTGCTGGACAGGTGGACTGTGGTGACTACCATAGACGCTAACCCAGGATTTTCAACACATCCAGAACGGCTCCAATACGGAACGGTGGCGATTTTCGCCGTCCGCCAATTCCTACCCGATCCAGTAGGAATCATGAGAACTCACAAGAACCCGCAATAACAAGTTGTCTTTAGCCACAGAGGCTAACCATATAAGCAGTAGATTGTGTCCTTCCAGAGGAGGAAATCTACTTCTAGACTTCTAGAATCAGCATCTCCTCATCCATGGTGTCATCGGGGTGAAATGACGTCTAAAAAACTTTCACTTGTTCGTCTCCGCCCGTTTGCATGGTGTGAATGTTTTATTTTGAAAAGAAGATGGATCTGTGCCCGACTTCCTTTCCAGCACGGGTTAATCTGTGCTGAATTTATCCGCCATGCTCCGGAAAAATAGAACTCTTGCGATCAGCTGCGGAGTCCGGTGATCCGGTGGAAGACGGTGGAAATTGACTCATTCACTCGAATGGTTACGATCAGCTACGATCGGCGGATACGACTTTTCGTAGCCGTTCTGGATGTGGTGGAAATTGGGAGTAAATGACCTTCAAGCCTCGAGTAGATTTGCTGGAGGCGATTGAGTCAGCATTTCCAATGGACTGAGAAGGACTTCAGGAACAGAAGACCTCCATGGGTGCAAGTCTGTGAAAGAGACTTCCTACAGCGCATGCAGACTTCCTAAGGAGTGTTTCATACAGTCTGTGATAAATCACCGCCAACAACCGATATTTACAAATCAAACTCTGACAACTCGTCTCGGCGCCGTCCCAGTCCTAGTAAAGTGAGACACATGTGACCTACAGGTTTTACGGTGGTCATTGTGGTATGAGTGACAGTACCAGCAAACCTCAGATCCGGATCAGATCCAGAGTGACTCAGAGAGGCCCATAAAGCTGATTAAAGAGGTCAGCCGTGTCTATAAATCCTCCGTTATATTAAAAGACAATTTGTTTTCTGTTGAGGAAGCTGTAAAACGCCCTGATGTCCAATCTGACCGAGGCATATGTGAGCTGTAAAAGGATCTTATGGCTGACATATTTATCTCTCCGCAGCATCAACAAACCTCCAAAAAAAGCCTCTTCACCATCCCACAGGAGGAGGAGGAGCAGACCAGACCGCCGTTCCGCATGATTGATACATCGGCGTATCTCATCGGCGGTCATGTCTGGCGCTGTACATGATAGAGCTGCCAGCCAGCTGAGAGGCTTTTAGCCGCTGGACGGGTCAAACGCCCTTATCGTCATGGTAAAAGGCTGGCGTAAATCTCTCCCTCGCTGCTGCTGCTCTGCCAGCTGATCAATACTGATCTAAAAGTGATGAATGAGAGCTCGATGGACTCCATCTTTTCTCCTCCCAGTGGCGGGAGGGAGAACATCTTATCTCTCTGGAAGGGAAGACGCTGAGAGGGGGGAGGCGGGGGAGCATCAAGCATCAGGGGGCGCTGTTTTATTTTTATTTGTTTTTATTTTGATGTCCAAGTGTTGACCAGCTGAGCTTCCACATCATCAAACCACAGATGTGTTCCTCTGATAGACGCTCAGATGGTTCAGAGAGGAGATGCAGATCGAACGACGACCTCTAAATAAGTCAATTAAAGCAAAGTACACAACGCTGCAGTTCCGCAAGTGGCCTCTAGAAGCTGGCTCCAAAAGTGAGTCAGCTCTCATTGGACACCATGTTAAATAATACAACTAAACAGTAGGATAAAATGTGTTTACAGCCTCTATAGCACCAAAGTGAGGTTTGAATGAGTAAATTTGACACAGGCTCTACTGGACCTCTGAAGGTGTGGTGTGGTTTGAGGTACCAGTTTGTTTGCAGCAGATGATTTAAAGGTGCTGTCGTCAGGATCTGAGTTAGTTCCAGTTTTTAGGAGAAATCTTGAATGTAAACTCTACCCCTCCCAACCAGTTTTCCCCTCAGCTCCTCCTCTCCCCTCAAGCCCCGCCCACAAACAGACGCTCCTGCTCGCTCGTATCGTTCCAATTAAATTCAGATATAATGCAGATAAATACTTCAGATCATTACAAATGGGGCCCAGTCAAGGTGAAAGTCAAAAGCATTGGTGCTACTGTAGATGCCAACAGACTACCAGCAAACACAATGTTTGCAGGACTTCTACAACGAGGATAAAGTGACATAGTCCAGGACCCGAGGTCAACGGTTTAGCGATGGCGCTACAACACGCTACAGCAGGTCCGTTTGACAAGAAACACTTCTGTTACAGACACTTGTCTTACTTTGTTAAAGCGGTTTACCTGTCCAGCAGAAAGGTTACAGGGTCACCAAGATCCCCAAGCGTCCCCCATGGTTTATGTTGACCCGGCTTTTTAGCTCTTGTCCGGTCTACCTCCGTTTTAAGCGCCCGTTATTCCTCCAGAGTCTCCGGTATTTACTTTGTTTTCTTGCTTGTGTCGGCAGTCGTGGCCAAAGGAGGATTCAGACAATTTTCCGAACTTTCTGGTTGGTTTCTACTGTCCGATATTGTAGCACGCTAACTTTGTTTGGGCTCCTGAACGACACGGGGGAGCAGCGTCTGCCTCACAACCAATCAGGTTAGAGGAGGTGGAGAACGGCTTTGTTTACAGTCAGAAAGAGCGGACCGCTCAAAAATGTTCAAATGTTGACGACACAGACATAAGAGAACACAGAGATATCAATATATTACCAAATGTCATCAATAACTAATAACTATTGACTGATGTTAAAATCTTTTTTTGTAAATACACCACAAATAAAGATGCTTCTTTAACGAAATGTCCATGGACAGCCTCCATGGATTGGACTTGGTGGTCTAGCACATCCACAGATGCTGGATTTGTTCACGGTATTTACACACCGCAAGGTCAAATATGTGTCAGCCATATTTCTCAGACACCAGATCACGCTCTCTTCAGGCTCCTCCGGGTCAACAGTCGAAGTCTACTTCCTCTAAAACTTCCTTCTGAGTGCATCTGAATTTCCCTTTTTACCTTTTCCTTGAATTTCTTGGATATCCACACTGCTAATGCAGAAGGAAGCAGATGTTGGAGACATCATTCACCGCAGACTCCATTTACAGCCATTCGGGCTAAAAGATGTCCCTCTCTTGCTCTTTAGGCCTCTGTTCTAGCTCACCTAGAAGCCATTAGTGACCTGAGGGACCCATGTGGAGCTGATGGACCTTCGCTTACGCTCGGAGGACCCGCGTGTACGTGGAGAACGCTGCCGTTCGATCAATAAAAGGACGGTGAGGCGGTTCAGCTCAGGCAACACAATGAGTATCAGTTGTTTCCTCCGTCTGAGCCCTGAGCTGCATTTTCCTGCGGCGAACCCTCCTCTTCAGCCGCCTACCCGCCGCAGATAATGATAAAGGCCGTGAATTGAAGCCATAAATTACCTCCTAATGTTGAAGAGTGTGATGATTAATCACTCCACAAAGTCTCCACTGAGGAGACACAAAGATGCGTCTCCTCAGTGCCAAACAGCTCCTCTGTGTTGGCTGCCGATGATTTACAGCTCGCCCGGGCGGTTCAGCGTTCGGCTCGGCTGTCGGAGGCTGAATCAGAAAAGCGTTTGGAGATGCCAGGTTGACAAAGAGCACAAGACAAAGTCTGCGGCACCTGTGAAAAGCTGCATTATGGACACGTTTCGCTGATGATGACGCGCTCTCTCCCGCTTCTGTCAGAGGCAATAATGGCCATCCGGTCAGAGACGCGCTCCATAAATCAAACAGACTGCCGGTTTGTTTACCCGCCGGGGTTGGAGAGAGGTCTGAAACAGCAGTATCTGTCCCCGCCAGCTGTTCCAAGCCCTCTCTGTCTCTCGCAGCCTCTGCTAATCTCAGCTTTCCAACTTTCTTTAATTCTGCCTCTGCTTTGTCCTCCTCATAAAGACTTTTTGGAAACTTTACCTCGCTGCTCTGCCTCTGGAAATTTCCCTGCACCCTGTCTGCTATCTGCTGCCAGAGTCCTGACTCGGTGTGCTCTCCTTAATTCGCTCTTTTTTCTGCTCCTCCCGGAAGAGCTGAGAGGAAACTGTTGGTTTAACAAACCAGGGGGTTGTGGGTAAACAGGTACCTCCTTGACTTGCCTGTGTGTGTCCAGTGTAAACAGCACAGTCGGCACGAGAGGAAGCCTTCGCTCACACAGCGAGCTCACCGGGCGATCACAGGCTGTTTGTGTTTGTCTGAAAATGACTGAAAAGGTTTTTTTTTTCTCTGTTTGGATTCCTGCTCCGGTCCTTAAACACTCGAACTCAGATCTAAACCAGATACTTTTAAAGGCGCCTGTCTGTTTTTTATGGAGTCCAGAACAGGTTTGAGAGTTTTGTACATTTTTTCATTCCAATAATCAGAATTTAATCAACCAAAAATAAGAGAAACTTTGTCATTTTTTGGTCATCCTGGAGGATTTCTCAACCTTGTGTTGTCTATGAGGGGCATTTACGATCCATGTATTATCCGTCCATTTAATTATTCCGTTCAATCTAGTAACAAAAGATGAAAAATGAGTCAATATTTTGTTTATTTGTTTTTCTATATAACCAAAAATAAAATATTAGTGTTTGTTTTTGTATTTTCAGCTCAAAACAGAATATGTAACAGAAAAGGAAACGAAAACAAAATAAACCTTATTTACGATTATTGATTTTAAGTGCGCCTGTTTTGAGCATACGTGCATGGAGGCTACACTGGCCTTCCCATGATCCTCAGCGACAGTTACCATGGCGAAAGATGCGACAGAGCGGTTTGATTGCCAAAACCTTCCGTTGTAACAGAGCTCTGGTTGTAATTTTTTCGACAGTCATATCTTCCTCCTTCAGCGTCACCCTCCTGGCGGCTTTGAATAATACGTAGGATGATGCGTCCGTCTCCATGACAACAGGTTAGCCTTTCTCGACCGCTCTGGTCTGGAGTTTTTGGTCCATGTTGTTGGTGACTTTGTTGCGAACAGTAGAAAGGCACTGTGGGAAATGAGGACATCAATAACCCGAAAACAAAAAGTAGATTTATTATTTTGTTTTCATTTCCTTCTCTGTTATATATTCTGTTTTGAGCTGAAAATACGAAAACAAACACTGATCTTTTATTTTTTGGTTATATAGAAAAACAAATTAACAAACTATTGACTTGTTTTTTCTTTTACTTGATTGAATGGAATAACTGAATGAACGGATAATACAAGGACTATTTACCATTTCTGTTTAACAGATTTGTTGTTTATTTCAACGCTGGCCTGGGCTAGGATCACTTTTAAAGTTCTCAATATATGTTGAAAATATGAGATAATAACAGATTTTACAGTTACAGTTATACAGTAATGTGCCGTGAGCAACAATTGGACAAAAACTGTAAACAACAGGCGATGGTCGGTGTTCTTGGCGGCCAACGGATTTTCCTTTTCAAACGAAAAAAACGACCAGTAGAGATTCAGGAAACAGAAAACAAACCGTTTTTCATTTTGATCAGTTTTCGACTTTACGTGATTTGACTTTAAACGGAAATCGAAGATCGAAATACGTGTGTGGAAATCTTGTGTTTCAAGTTTCATTCACTTTTTTGTTGTGACCCGGAAGTCTTGTTAGCATAGCAGCGCCCTCAGAAATAAGGTGTGAGGAGGAATAAGAACTAACCCAACAATAGGAAAACGCCCGTTATTAAAAAACTGTCACCGTGATTGAAAATCTATTAACTTAATAATTTTGGTAAAAAGGTTTGTTTTCCGTTTTCCAATTCCCTTCTGGTCGTCTCCTGATTTTGTTTTTTCATTTGAAAACAAGAATCTGTTGGCCGCAAAAAGTCTCTCATACGACACAAACATGTCGAATGATGGGCAGGTAACATTGTCAACGATAAATAAGGGACTTAAAATCACAATTTTTACAGGCAAGAAATTCAACACAACAGCGGTGTTTTGCTTACTTGTTAAACTGGCTTATCTTGTTTTGTGCACCTGCAGTAAGTCGTCATGAGATCAGATAATTACGGCCAAACAAAAATCACGATGACAACATGATCGCTAACATTTACTCAAACCAACACAATTGGTTTTTTGGAGGTTAAAGAGGACGAACAGGTCAGAGTTAAATCCTCCCATCTGTCAACCAGTTAGTAACCTGATGTTAGAAAACACTTAGTTTAACATTTTCCATTTCTTAAATTATAGTTTTGTCAGAACTGTTTTACTCTGGGGGCAAAAACAAGTCCTTTTTGAAGCCCTTAATAAATCTGTCATGAAGTCTTTGATTCTAAAGACGAGAACCAAGTTGTTCCCATCATTTATTTACCGAGCCGTTTGCAAAACCAAAGATATTCGACCAGAATTAGCCTAATTATTCTGCGTCGCGGTACGTACAGTTCCATAATTATACACAAAAAGCATCAGCACAGCAATTATCAGCGGGTACACGGTGTTTCTTTAAACATCAGCTGATAACTCGGTGTCCTGGTGCGGCTGTCACAATAAAATGACCCGAAGAAAACCTCGGGGCACAAACTTTAGTCTGACTCACCGCTTCTATTACTTTTATGTTGCTCATATTAAAATGTAGAGTCGTGAAAAAAATAAACATCCGGGTATCACATCATACCTGCTCCTGTTTTGACCCCACTGCTTATAAGAGTGTGTTTTTTTTCTCTACGTTACATAAACTCAGATCAGATTCACAGCTTCCAATGTTCTGTACGGACAGTTGGAGGACTTTGGATCAGTTAGATCACCAGGATTGTGGCCAGTTGGTCGTTGTTTTCTCCAGAAAATCAAAAACATTTTTCTCCTTCATCACCGACCGAGCATTTCTCTCTGATTTCTCAGACTTTTTTGTAACAGAGAGGTTTATGTTTGTTGGAGTTACGCAGGTCGAACATTTCAGACGTTAAATGATAAGAAATTTTAGAAGTAGTGTGTGCAGAAAAATCAAACATTAAAGCAGCAGAAGAAAATGTTTGAACCTGTTTTCCTACATGCCAGTTCTGACTGAGTTCAGCAGAGTCAGCAACATGCTGTTTCTGTGCAGCTGTGAAGCTCTTTCCAAAACCAGGCCTGATACTAAGTCCATTTTTGGGTTTGGTGGTCTGGCTGGTGGTTCATCAACAGAACATATAGGGTCACAGACATAGTACTAGACACCAAACATCTTTTTAACTTTGACTCATTTCTTTAGCAAAGAGACTAAACACAACTCACCTACTCTCTTCCAGCAGCCGCTGGTTTGTAGCGAGACCTCAGGCCAGTCCATTACAGACTACAGCGGGGTGACGCAGCTCAAGGAAGAACATTTATGATCATTTCTTCATGGAAATACAATCAGACCGAGACGCTAAGACAGAAGAACTACCGCGTCTGCAGAGCAAAATGATTAATATGGTGATTATTACTTCAAGGAAATGATAAAGAAATTATCATAAATGTTCTTTCTTGAGCTGCGGCACCCCGCTGTAGTCCGTTGATGAAGTTAGGTGCTGTTCTGAGCATTATTTGTGGCTATAGAGTGGCGTTTTGGTTGAGCGTGTGACTCTTTGTATTTCTATCCTGTGGTCGTTACTAAAGTTGGTAAAACTAGAGAAGCAAGCGGTCGACAACATCTCTGGAGGGGGGGTCTAACTCAGTGTTACGGTGTGTTTGACCCTAAATCAATTTTACGCCGGAATATCCCTTTAAATGATAAGAAATTTCAGAAGTAGTGTGTGTGGAAAAATCAAAAATGAAAACAGCAGAAGAAAATGTTTGAACCTGTTTTCCTACATGCCAGTTCTGACTGATTTCAGCAAAGTCATCAATGTTCTGTTTCTGTGCAGCCGTGGAGATCTTTCCAAAACCAGACCTGATACTAAGTCCGTTTCTGGAGGTGGTGGTCTGACGGATTCAAGAGCATCCAAACTCTTCAGTTCCTATTCAAAACCAATTCTTATCAAGGTCAGTAATGTCATCATGTACGATTTCTGGTGCAGCCGTGTCGCCTTTTTTAGTGCAACATGTTTACGACCGTATGGAATTTGCAGTCCTGCTATCAGACATCGGTCAGGGAGCTCCGCCCCCGTCTGCTGATCACTTTGAATTATCAATCGAACCCTTTGACAGTACGTCACAGTTTATTCAGTCGCTCCAGCTTGTGTGTGTGAGTCGTGGCTGCAGCTCTGGTGCTAATCTTCTAAGTTTCAGTGTTTTTGACTTATTTTCTGCGTTTGAGGAAAATCAGCCAAAGATTTACTTTCGAAACCGTTCACAGAGATGCTCAGAGGTGACGCTGCGCTAACCTTTCACTGAGCGCTAACAAAGGAAAAGCTTTTACCCGTTTTATGAGCGGGACTGTGTGTCTTAATTGACACCTCCTGAGCCCATTGTTGAACCTCTTCATATTCTCGGTTGGAAAACATCGTCTCAGGCCGAGACGGAGACAAAGAGATTCATTTTCAAATGAATCCACAGTAATTCAAGCCCAATGAGATTCCTTCAACGTTGTCTCCACTCGGCTGCTCGTCTCCTCCCCTCCAGATGAAGCTGCAGAGCCTGGCAGCCCAACACAAGCTGCAATTGATTCAAAATCCTCAGCGGCAAAACAGACAAAGGGGTCATCTATTATCCTCGCCGTCCTCGCCCCGTGTCCCCCTCTCCCCTCTTCGCCTCTCCTCAACCCATCTTTGGCGGTCACCCGTTAAAAAGAAACTCTGGGGACGCCGTAGAGCTCTCTGCACCGCCGGCCTCGCTCCACTTCTCCGAGGCCGGGGGCCGGGGCTAATTGGCGGATCCACCAGGGAGTCCTCCAACCGCCAAGCCAGCCAGCCAGGGGGCCCATTTGCAAGCATGTGATCTCAGCTGAATAGGGGCGAGAGCCAGAGACGAAGGAGGAGGAGGAGGTCGGGGGAGGCTGGTGGGTCTAGAGGACATGGGAGAAGTGATTCCCATGGGGTGTGTGGGTGGAAGAAACGAGAGGGGGAAACTTCTGAAGCGCTCTCCGCGCTGAGAAACCGCTCTCTCTCAGTTTTCTCTGCAGCGAATTTAAAGATATTTTTAAAAGAAGAATAAACAACATTATCTCTAAACGTGCTCCAAAACCCTCGAGTGGCCAAGTTTCTGCCGAGAGGAGCGAATGTAAAGCACGGCGGTGATGCATTCACAGCACAGGAGCCGTGGTCGGAGAGCAGAGACGCAGACAGAGAGGGTTTTGTGGGTAATTGACAGGCAGAGCTCCTTTACCAGCAGCTCTTTGTGTTTATCAGCCCGGCCGATCGATGGTCATCTTAACCCCGGGAGAGCGAGGGCCAGGATGGATGAAAAGTAAAGACTCCTCTTTTGTTGTGCGGGCAGCTCTGTCCAGCGCCATCGGCAAAGCTCCCAGAAGGCCCTGCTCAGAAAAATATGAAAGATTGGAGCCGTGTCAAAAAAAAAAAAAAGCTCGAATAAATCTTTCTATATTTCTTATCCCCAATGCACCCCAAAATGCTTTCAAATATTTTGGTTGGGCTCTCACTTTGAGCCTCTCTTCAGTGACCCATTTGGGTCCGGAGGGAGCAGCGAGCAGCGAGGAGCTGGAGGAGTGAAGCCGCAGAGTGACACAGTCGGATTTTGATCATGCAAGCCAATGCAAACTCGAAAACCACAGTAGCGCTCAGCTGCTGCTCGCTGCTCTGTTCTTTATGTTGAAACTGGATTTTTTATTCCTGCCTGACAGGGTTAGCTTTCGTAACATCATGCAACCGCTCAAACTTTTCTGTGTCTGAGAGAAGTTTGTAACATTTGGGGGGAATTTTCTTATTTACTGCGTTCAGATGAGAAAATCAATATCCTCTTTATCTCCATCAGCCATTCGTCTTCTGCAGTGACCAACATTTGCAGGCGTGCTAAGCCAACATCTGACATCTGGCTTTGGATATAAAAATGAGAGCGCTATCATCTTTAGATAATGTTTGCATGCCAACCCGGTAATCCTAGATTGTGAAAATGAAGCACATTTGAAAAATTGGATCGTCTTTTTTCTGTCTAGACTCTTAAATGCCAGTATTTTGGTTCCAGTAATCTGGGAAGCCAGCCGTCGCTCTCAACCACAGCCCCCGTGGGAAAGAGACGATGAAGTGACCGCCCGGGAGGTGACTCAGAAGTAGAGTCACTATTTAGATGCTGAAAGACGGTTTAATTCCTCATTTTATCGTGTAAAAGGTTTTATTTTAAGTCTCTGCTCTCTACCCAGGAGTCTTTGCTGCTGCTCTACCTGCGTTAACTTTTCATAGAAGGTGTGATCTCTCTGCCTCAGAACCGTACGGCCAAATACGACGTGTTGCATTCAGACAATAATTCTATTTAAAGGTAGGGTAGGGAGGATTAACGAAATCCTGTCTACCCTACCTGCCTGGTCAAACACTCTCGTCTCCTGGTCCCAGAAGCTCAGATCTGAACTGAATCCTGAACGTTCAGCTGTGTGTCACTTCAGGAGATCAATCTCAGGCTCCTCCCGCTAAATGATTCGGTGAACGAATCTTTTGAACGAATCTTTTTAGTAAACTGATTCTAGTGATTCAGTACATCTAAAAGAACTGCCGTGCCCATCACTACTTTATTCATTCTTTCGCACTATAACTTCTCCAGCTTTTATTTTGGTACTTCCTGTTACCAGCATTCTGAGTTTGCATATTCGCTAAATATTTAGTTTCACCCGAAACGTTTAAGAATTTAATAATTAGCATTTAGGTGCAACGTTTAATATTTATAAATGTGCTCCAAAGTGACTTTCAAAAATTTACTTCACTTTTTAAAAACGGTTTGATGCAAAATGTGACAAAATGTCGCCGTTATTGTAAAAAATGAGCAGCTTTATAAACGGCACCACATAGTAATTGATAAATTATTAACGTTTAAAACAGACAGTTTTCTTTCTGTTAATCAAATCACCTGAAGAAGGACTCATCAGGAGTGTAGGAGTACTGAGTCTGTGTCTGTTTGACCTGATGGTTGTGATCCAGTCTCAGTATTTAATTCAGTTTCATCTCAAACTTTAGATGTTTCTGCCCCACACACACAGAGTCCTCATCATTGCAGTTTCTCGTTTACTTCTCCTGTCTCTCTGCATCCGTCCTTCTGAGGATAAAACTCCCAGTAATGAACTTGTAAAGATCATGTCAGTCTCATGTCACTCTGGTCCTAAAACCCTGACCCCGATCCATCTAAACCCCGTCTCTGCAGCTTCACTCGTCTCTCAGTGAATTTGATGGACAGAGGAAACCGGTCTCCTGAGAGAAAACAGCTCGGCCTGTCAGTTCTATCTAAAACACTTGGGAACAAACAGCTCTTCATATCTCCTCCTTTTATTTCCCTCTCTTCCTGTTGCTCTTTTATTCCTCTGTAAACTTCTTCAACACTTCGTCACAGCCTCTCTTCTTTTATCCGGTCTGATCTTCAGTAAAAGACTTCGCAGTCGCTGTTGTGACTTTAGTGGAGCACCAATAAAGTTTGTAACGTCTGCCTGTGTTCAGAGAGAAAAAAGCAGCAGCTCCTCGTTTTTGTTTTATATAATCAACCCATTTAGACTCTGCAGAAACCTCACTAACGTTTAATGGACTTCTTCATCACAGCATAAACAGCTTTACAAGGAGGAACATTAACGGGATTGTTTTGTATGTCAGCTGTAGTTTTAGTGGGACTAGGCCTGGAAAATGTGGGGTTTATAAGTCCAGGTCCCAGTACAGACCAAGTTTGCGACCTGGACTGGTAGTTTTACAGGATCCAGCTCACATCCAGTAGAGACCACACAGTAGATGGAGGATAACTGAGGTTTTACAGGCTTTTAGTTGATGTAACTCGACTGTGATAATAAAAAACAGCTGTTGACAGACGAGCACCAATCTCTATATCACGGTTTTATCGTGCTGCATCTTGAAAGGAGAGTAAAGGCTCATTTCTGCTCGCCATACCTATTTCAAACGATGGCTCCGTCGCTGCTCACATACTTCCATGCGTCCTTTACGTTGCCATGGATGTTAACCATTACATCCACCAGGGGGCAGGCTGGAGTCGAAAGTTTCTGACAACAACAACAAACAAAAATGAAACACGGCGACTGTGGAGGAGCGAGTGATAATGTTTGTTTTTCGTAGGACAGAGCCAGCCCAAGGCATAAGCGAACTAAGCGCCCACTTAGGGCCCTGCAGCCAGTAGGGGGCCCCCAAGAGCAATCCAAAATGAATAAATGTAAATATTTTTTATTTTTTGCATGTATGAGTGATGCTTTCTGTCTGATCAAATATATTATTATAAAAATAAACTAAAGTGAAAATATTTCAGTGCTGCTGCTGCTGCTATCTATGATTCTTACTGCCGATATGTTAAAGCTCCGCTACCGTAATGTTCCTCCTGCTGTGAAATGTGCACTGAGCATCCAAAGAGCAGGTAGATGTGGTGCAAAAATATGTCGCAAAAAAGGAGATATCCTTCAGGAGCCGAGAAAAGACAGAGGAAGAAGAGAAAAAACTCCAAGATGTAGGTATGTTTGCATGTCAGGGAATGTTAATCAAAGAGATTTGTGAAGGTGTGTGAATGATCAACAATCAATATTATTGGCAGAAATAGAGGGCCCCAAAATCACATTTGGCCAGCCACAGTGAGGCTTGGGCCGGCTCTGTCGTAGGAGACAGAAACGGAGGCAGCGTTGGAGGAGGCGGTGGTCGGTCAGGACACTAAATGTCTCGCAGTTAGAGGACGGAGGATTCTTTTTCTCTAGTCGTACCGCTGAGAGAAACTAACGACGATCCTCAAAAAGCCCCGCCATTGTCTTCTGCGTTTCTCTCTAGAGATGTGTATCAGGTATTGACAGCAGCAACACTGCCCCCATGGTTTCTGGTGGTACTGCTCCATCTGGCCCGTATCAGTAAACTTCAAGGATATGTGCAAAAATACGGATGAAAAAAACGTGAAGCACGGACGGAGAGTTTGGTTCGTATCCAGATCGTTTTGTAACGTTGAGAATAAATGAGCCTTTAGAAAATTTAGATATCATCCCAGCTTTGTTTTCAAAATGTTAAAATCCAAAAATCTGTCGTCATGGCTGCCTCTCAAGGTTTTGAAACTCTCTCTTTATTAATGTAACATATAATATAAAAATTCTTTCTCTGCTTGTTCTCCCCTTTAACTGTTTTGTGTTTCACTTCATTAAACAAAAAAAAAATAGTTATTTTTTTACAGAAAACACATCCTTCTTTAAGCCGTACTCTTAAATGAAAGTCCCTGTGATGGAGTCTGGTTCTCCGACTGTCTGTCTGCATGGTTCCTCTCTGTAATGTGTTCAGAGACTTAGTAAACCAAACTCTGATGTTGTTTTACTTTGACTGGGTCCATAAAGGATGAGTCTTTGTGGAAATATTGCAGGAGGTAAAGATTTATTTTTCATTTTATTTTTACTCTGACATGAGTTATAAAATTCAGCCGCTGCTTCCTCTGAGCAGAACGAGAAAAAAAAGGCGTTTAAGTCTCCAGATCCTCGGTGAAAGTCCGATTCATCCTCGCCCTCGTCCCTGCCAGCTCCTGCAGTAATTTACTCCAGGTCAGGTCGAGTCTGTGACCTGTTACCGGTCGACTTCAGACAGGGTGAGCTGAAGTTTCTGCTGCAGGGTGTTGGGGGTTAACACTTCTACTCCACTACATCTCCTCGACTGACTGCACGCCGGCCTTTTGTCCTCTTCCTGTCCGCTGACAGGAAGTGCTGGTCAGGGGCTGGTACCTGCCAGACACTGTGACACGTTCACAAAGCGAGCAGATTTCAGGAGATTCGCCAAAAAGAAAGAGCGTGTCGTTGAAAAAAAAAAGGGGCTTTTACTCTGAAAGGCGGCGGTTGTCCGGCGGCTATCAGCAGCTCTTTGTTGTCGGAGAAAAGCCGGCAGGTTCCGACACTTTATCTGATGGACAGACGCACCAGCTGACTGTGGACGCCGCCTCCGTCTGGGGTCAGATTAATCGCTGGGGCAGGGCCAACCCAGCCACCACTGTCTGATTTTAACAACAGAAGCTGTTTGAATGTCATCTTAGTCATGAATGAAGCTCGCCACAGAGCAGCGCCGACCAGGAGAGCGTGCCGATAACCCCGCAAACACGACTGTGAAAGGAGGAGCACGGGCTGCAGGAGTCGTATTAAAGATAATGTAGTTCAGGAATAATGAAGGAAAATATTAACAAAAAAGAAAAAATAATAACCAGAATGTCAAAACTGCTCCTGAGGTACAACAGTAGATCGTTTAACCAAACTGTGTCTGCAGGTTCTGACTGCTTTGGACCGGGTTTATTTAAACTCATATCCAAGAATCAACCAGACTCTGGGCTCTATTTTCGTGCCTCGCCAGAGACGTGCCACAAGCGCAGCGTCAGTCAGATCCGCCGCGCTGACAAGGCGTTCCCAAGCACATTTTGGTATTTTGGTGAGCCGCGCAGCCCGGTGTAAGTATCCCCCCTCCCTAACTCAGCTCCTCCCAGCAGGATAAGTCGTAGACGGGGAGGAGAGAGGGCGTGGAGTGGGTTTAACACAGCCGAGAACTGTTTTCACCAATCACATAAGCTCCTCTCCTTGCCTTTAAATCCGCCACCGGCGAGGCGTATTACTATTTTCATGAAGTAGTCAAAGAGATCAAGAGATGTCTTAAGACAGCAATGCCACAAGATGGCGACAGAGGGCAGCTGCTCAACAAGTGTCCTCCACACTCTCTCATATGAGCACAGATGGATTTGGTGTGCGTAATGTTGGACCCACTGGTAAGACAAACACCCTTTTCCACAAATAAAGACACTCACATAAAGTTGCTCATATTCAAACCTCACGTGACAAAGGTGGGTTGAGCGCACTGATCACAACATAAACTCCAAAAATGGCATTAAAATTGGAACCATCTGCGCCCTCCGCCGCCTCACCGGCACGCAATAGAGCCCTCTGTGTTTATACCCTGTGTTAATAGTAACACACCAGCTGAACCTGTCTAAAGATAACAGGAGCAAAAGCCCTGATTGGTTAGATTCATGTTACGCCAAAAACACACCGATGAATGATTGAAGGACATAATCCGACTTCTCTGTGCCTGTCGTCTCCGAACTGACCAAAATGCTGTCGGACACTTAAAATGTTAAATTGATAAAACTGTTGTTTGTACTTTACTGAACTTTTGTGTGACCAGAGACCGACATTCGTGAAAATATTTGACACTTTTTACTTGGAAGAAAAACTCCAGTTGGCTCAGACCGATCTTTAAGACCACGAAACCAACGATCGAGGCGGTGAGAGTCCATTTGAGGAAAGTCCAAGCATATTTAGCAGATGACTTTAGATGAAAAACTGGTAAATGTTCCCAAGGTTGTTGATGGTTAACTTTGGAGAAATCAGGGTTTCATTTGAGTAGATCTTCCTGTAGCATCGTCTGTTTGACGGCCGCGTAAAAAAACAACCTCAGAGTGTTGGAAAATGTTCACCAACACAACAGTTTTAGTGCTAAAATTTAAAAATACAACTGTGTGGTTTTTAAGGGACAAACCGACAATGGCCTCTTGGACTAGATGCTGATTTCCCTCATTGGATTCACACTTTGGCGCCCTCCTTTTTGGGTTTTTCCCTGATAGACTCACAACATCTCCAGAAGGTTGACTCTTTAGATGCCATCAACTCCTCAAAGGCCCAGGTTGGGTCTTTCCTCTCGATCCAGTGACTCCCTTTTTCACGAGTCTTGGAGAGGTCTTTGACTGCCTGCCGGTGGACCTTCCCCTCGATCTTCCATCCGTCGAAATATCCCAGATCTTGAGGTGTCTACTTCCACCGGGCGTACCTTCACTTTCCAGTCTTGTTGTCCTCAAATTAAATATCCGATCAATCTTTGTTGACACACTCAGGTAAATCATTTTCCTGGGAAACACCCCCCTCAACAACATCTGTCCTTTTATTTTTAACTAGCAGCAGACAGGATATTTCAGGCAAAGCAACACCTCTCATCCGTTTAAAGCTGCTCCTCTCCCTCTCGTTGGGGCGTCTTCCCTCTGAGGTCGGCGCATTAAAAATTGAAAGCGTTCTTTGTGTTGATGCAAAAGGGAGAGAAAACAGCGACTGTGCTCCTTTGAGTGCTACTCCTGCGCTCTTAAAAAGCCGACATCAATGAGAGGCGGGGAGGACGGGGGGAGAAAAAAGAGAGAAAGAAGGAGTGGAAGAAAAAAAGGGACATGAAGAAGTTGTTGTTGCTCTGTTTGTTTTTAATGTTGGGATTTAAAAAAAAGCTGTGGTTGTGGTAAGACGAGCACATGCAGTACATGATGTTAGATCCTTCTCCCCGAGGAGTCTCACACACACACTCACACGCACAAACACACACACACACGCACACACACACACACACACACACACACACACACGCACGCACACACACACACACATACATGCACACACACACACACACACACACACACACACACACACACACGCACGCACACACACATATATTAAAAAAAGACATCACAGCTGGTGCAGACAAACCCAACAAACAGCAGCCCCTCACTCACTCACTCACTGATGCATGTGCAGCAGCTACAGCAAACAGGCGTTACCGACCATCCCTGAGGAAACGCACTCTTTTATTCTAACGCATCATGCTGCAGCAGCCAATCAGCATTAAGATTCATTTATCAAAAACTGAGGGAGGTAAAGAGAAAGATAAAGAGATAAATAGACGCTGGCTCGGAGGAAATCATGGCGTTTAAGTACCCCTTCTCTTTACTTATGTAAATTTGCACTTAAAGGTGGGTTAGTCAGGATCTGAGGAAGTTCCAGTTTTTAGGAGAAATCTTGAATGTAAACTCTACCCCTCCCAACCAGTTTTCCCCTCAGCTCCTCCTCTCCCCTCCCTCTCTGCTCCAGCAAGCCCCGCCCACAAACAGACGCTCCTGCTCGCTCGTATCGTTCCAATTAAATTCAGATATAATGCAGATAAATACTTCAGATCATTACAAATGGGGCCCAGTCAAAGGTTACAGGGTCACCAGGATCCCCAAGCGTCCCCCATGGTTTATGTTGACCCGGCTTTTTAGCTCTTGTCCGGTCTACCTCCGTTTTAAGCGCCCGTTATTCCTCCAGAGTCTTCGGTATTTACTTCGTTTTCTTGCTTGTGTCGGCAGTCGTGGCCAAAGGAGGATTCAGACAATTTTCGATATCGTTATATTACCAAATGTCATCAAAAACTAATAACTATTGACTGATATTAAAAGATTTTACTCCACAAAAAAAGATGCTTCTTTAACAGAATCCTGCCTATCCCACCTTTAAAGTGACTAAAATCGGCAGTAAATTACTGTAAATTGTGAAGTACAGGAAGCGCATAGAGAAAGGATAATACAGAGATGCTTTTATTTTGTTTTTATTATAATAGCTTTAATAATGTTTGTCTTCCCGTCTGTTTCTGTGGAAACAAAAGACAAAACCTAAATTAGAGAACCTCCATGTTGCTGTTCAGATCGAAATCTCTCCTCCAAACCCCCAAACTGATCCTGAGTCTCCTGTAAAGTGAACTCTTGTCTGCAAACTTACTGTTATACTTTTTTTTTATGCATCATTTTTAACTTTGGCTTGTTATAAATCACAGAATACTGTTTTCATTCCTGGGAGTCGGTGTTTTTCGCAGACATACACCTTGAGAGTCGTACCTGAAATCAAAACTCAGCTCCGTCTGTGTCCACAGGCTTGTTCCTTTTACTTTTTAATCAAAGTCGGAGAGATTTCCAACACTGTTGCGTTTTGTCTGGATGATTCAACCAAAGGAATTGAATATCTGCGCCTGAGAACAGACTGAATCGTCAAATGATTACACCATTTTCTGTTTCCATCCTCTGTCCGACATTGCATCTTCTCCGTTTCCATGGAGGAGAGAGGTCCAATAATCCAACCAATCAGCAGAAGAAAACATCATTTCAAGTCAAAATAGTTTCACAGCACTTTTTCATTCCACCAGTTATAGATATATGTGTGTGTGTGTTTAGATTTAAATTTATATGTATGTAGAGATTTCTTTAGGCTACAGCAAATTGCAGTGGTTATCCAACGAGATTAAATTATATTTTGATTTGAGTCGTCGTTTAAATTTGACTTCCTGTTTACTGTGGCTCAAGACACTGAAAGATGTCACACCCAAAGCGAGATCTCTTATCATTTTCTAAGTAATAAGTGCTTTTTTTTAACAGCGTAGATAAAAAACATTTAAAAAAACAGACCCCATGTTGGAAATACTGACTCAGCCTAGCTTTCAGTGGACTTTAGCTTCCTTGCTAACGGCGACAGCGTGCTCACGTCTCTTTTTATGTAAATCTTGTAAACTAACATCTATTTAAGAAATGAATGAGTTGTGTGTTCTGGTGAATAAATGAGTTAACCAGACCAAAAGACTTTTCTGCACCAGGCTGTGAATGTTTTTAATTTTACTGTAAAAATCGGCCCTTTTGAATGGGTGTGTATGTGGCTACAGTTGTTTCTGGAGTAAGCCTCTAGTGGACACACAAGGAACTGCAGTTGCTCTAAAAATTAAGAAACATATGAAATCATGATTCTGATTTTGTAGTTTGACAGTTTGAGTTGTAGCAGACTATTTCATCTTTTTAGATTTAGTATTTAGATTAGTGTAGTAAAAAGTCAATCTAGTTACACTGTTGAGAAATTAGCTAACATAGAATCTGGAAAATTCATAATTTAGTTTTCACTATTTACGACTAAATAGTTTGCAGGAGCAGAAGTCACATCTGGACTGAATCAATCAGTCTGCTTTTTGATTTTATAGAGTTTGACACGACAGACTAATTTCCCATTATCGCCACCTATTGATCTGGCATGATTAAGCAGCCGCAATTCTTCCACATCGTCATGCAGACAGAGGAATATTCATAGACCTCATTAGATTGTGGATTTTTAATGAAAACAGAGGAAAAAGAAGTCTGTCTTTAAACCTTTAACCTTAATTTGGTTTCTGACTCTCGTATTAGTCTCCCCCTGACGCTGAATTTCATGGTCACACTCATCTGAAAGTCCCAAGTTCTGGTTTTGAGTTCTCAAAAACATCAGAGTCTGATGATAAACCTTAAAATGATCTCAGCAGCCCGTCTTCATGACGTTCAGAACAGGATATTTTCTGAGCTGATAAAATATTCTGGTGTTGAATATGCATGATTGTCAGTGACACACAGGAAGCTCCTTCAGCTGCATGTTTATGTCTTACAGGTCTGATTCACTGTCCTGCTGTGTTTCACCTGAGCGCCTCATCTCAGTCCCAGAGGAAACCGCCGACTCCTCATCCATCCATCCGCCCATCACTCATCCTTCCATCAATCACTCTTCCTGCAGTCCTGACAGCAGGCGACAGAGGGCAATCTCCCCCAGGCAGACAGGCGGGAGGGTGGGGTGGGGGTCTTGATTGACAGCTGCAGCATTGGAGGGCGCTCGCCTGGAGTTGGCAGACGTCCTGCCGGAGAGAAGCTTACACGAGGGTGGGAAGAGTTGAGTACACATGCGGCTTATTGCTGGAAAGAAACTGCAAAAAGGAAAAAGAATCAGATTCTTCTGCTGTGCTCCTCTACAAGCTGCTGAGAGTGCAGCAGGATTAACGGCTTCTGGGTTCATGACGTCTCTCCCTCTGCTCTTTGGGTTTAGTTTGATTCCTCGCTCACGTTTGTTTGTGTTCTTGTCTCCGCAAATATCTAACAACACAGAGTTTTAATGTTCAGAATATCGGCATCAAGGTTCACCTGCAGGGGAAACACCAACACAACAGTTTTGTTTGACTGTTTCTGGAGACATGGAAGTTATATTTAGGGATCAGCGGCAAGAGTGTCACCGCCTGGAAAAGGATGAATCAACACATTCGGGGAAATGAGAGGGGAGCTGCGCCTATCTAAGGGTCTGATGAAGCTTTAATGAACAACTTAAGTTTACATAACAAAAAGGATGTTTTTCATTTTAATTCTCATGCAGATTTTACACCACACTCTAAAACAAATAACCGTCTCTTGGATTCTGAAGACATCTCACATGAGTTTTACATATTTCCTTAAAGTCCAGATTAAGTTTGACAGACTCCATCCAACGTTCCTCAGTTTAAGACATCCAGTTAGTTTGCAGGGTGTCAAAAAAGAAAGCTACACATTGACATGAAAACTGCACATTGCTGAATTACATTCAAACTCGTGTTTTGAGCATATCCTTTAATAGACAGCCTTCAATATGGCGGAGCCTCCGCGGGGAGACTGTATAGGGGACGGTTTGGGATTGGACCAATGTCTCTCAGGATTTTGACCAAATTGGTGCCGCTGACACCTCCCATTGGACAGTTCCCCTCACCCCCGATCAGCACCTAAATGCTGACAGTGGTACAATTACGTTCTGACTAAATGGACACACCCCTGCAGCGATTCCATTGGCTGATTCAACCTACCCTATTTAAGTGTTGTTTTTAATACATTCCTGATGACCCCGATGAAGGCCATTTTCCTGTTTTCCTGAACTACAAGTGTTACTGAAGCTCTTTTGACCACTGATGAAACTGTGAGAACTTGAGTCCACAAACACCAGGACATGTTCTTGCAGGTAAAAGTTTAAATGCAAAGTTAAAGCTATTGTTTATTGGTTTATCTTCTGTTATAAAGGGACCCATGAAAGGAACTGCAGTCATGAACAAATCCTTAAACTGTAGTCTGTTCACGAGCGTCAGGAATGTGAAAATCCTCCCCGTCAGCCCAGCGTCTCTTCATCTGTCCTGCTGTCTTTGACTGATAGCTGGTGTGTGTGTTGAGGTGTGATTAGCCGACTCTAATTAGGATCCATGCTTTGTTGTGAACACGCAGGATTAGCCGCAGACTAACTCACCTATCAAACAATTAATACAACAATCAGCCAAAGAGCAGCGCTACCTTTCAGTGCCATTAACGCTGCTTAGCAACTATCTCCAAACCCCTCCAGTCTTTTCTACTTCTGACACTTTGAAAGTCTTTTTTTTTTTTTTAATTTTGCTCATTTCTGTTATTCTTTTGTAAAATAAAAAAGTCTCTGGCTGTTCAGTCTCTTATTTTCAGCTCACACTCGACTTCCTTCCCTGAATTGGTCTCAGATGAAACAGCAGGCTGATTCCATTTGTCCAGTTTGTCTCTCTTTTTGTTATTCTGACATGCCATAATTCATTCACTGAACGTTCATTTTTCTCTGTTGAGAAAACATGAAGTGCTCCGCAGGCATCCGCGGCTGAAGAATGCAGCGTTGGTTGTGTTAAATAAAGAATGTGAATACTTTGAGACAAAGAGGCGATGCCTGACAAAGACTTTCCAACCTTGAATTCAATTTTTATCTGAACAGAAGTTGTCTGCCCCGGGTATTTGCTGCAAAATGAGCCCAGGTGAAAAATGTAATGTTTTATTCTGAGAAACTGACCGTATTAGGGGGATATTTTTTAAAAGTTTTGAGAAGTTCTGAGCGGAGTAATCTGGGATTTTTGACTGTTTTGTGGTTTAACTTCAAAACTAAAAAAGTCGCTTTTGGATTTAACTTGTGAAATTATCGCTAAAATCAGGGAAATACTGTATATTTAATGTGGTCATTGACTGGTAAAGTGCCACATTCTGTTTTAAATAAAACAGCTCACAAAGACAGGATTGTACGGCAGGTATGTTGGTGATGAAAATAGATACTGTAGGCGATGGTGTGATTATTTACGTTTCAAACCAGCATTCATCTCATGTCAACAGTCCAGAAAAGCAGCAATCTTTGAAGGTAAATCTGAGCCTCAGGGGAGATCTCAGTCAAAGCGCTCTGGAGCTAAAAAGACGTATTATTATACATTTAATGAAAGTTGATGTGAGGATGAGTTCAGTTTGTTGTTTTTCCGTCTTCGTCCTCGTTCTTCTGTCGTGCTCGAAGGGAGACGAGATGTCGTATGTCACTTTGTTAGCCAAGAGCACGGAGGTTTGGACAAGCGATGAAGACAAACGTCCAGGATCGCCTCGTTTTTCATTCATCTCAGGAGAGCCTTAAAACCGCCACCGAGGTAAAACTCAGAGCGAGGCGCCATCGGAACT